GGCACCCAAATATTATCCAGTACCTGGGCTCGTGTGCGGACCCGGACTCCGGCCTACCCGTCCTGTTTATGGAGCTGATGGACGAGAGCCTGACCAGCTTCCTGGAGAGGCCGGTGGAGCCTCCCCCTCTCCCCCTCTATGTACAGGTGGACATTGGCCACGACGTGGTACAGGCTCTCTCCCACCTCCATCGCCACGAGGTACTGCACCGCGACCTCAGCAGCAACAACGTCCTCCTGATCGGCAGCAGGCGAGCCAAGGTGACCGACTTTGGCATGGCCAAGCTGTTGGGTAGTGACCCTCGCCTCACTCCCACCTACTGCCCTGGAACCAATGGGTACATGTCTCCCGAGGCAATGACAGATCCCCCGACATACACCAGCAAACTGGATGTCTTTTCCTGTGGTGTGCTCTTGGTCCAGCTGATTACTCGCAAGTTCCCTGACCCAGGCCCTCGTACATACACAGTACCAATAAACGACCCTCGTTTCCCATCAGGAATGGCATTAATGGTGGTCCCAGAGCTGGAACGTCGTAAGGAGCACCTGGATCTCATCTTACCCACACACCCTCTCCTGGATATAGCCCTTGACTGCCTCAAAGACAAGGAAGATGATCGACCGACGGCTGAACAGTTGTGCTCTCGCCTGATTGCCTTGAAAGAAAGTGTTGCCTACAGAGAAAGTATCCAACCTGTCCCCCCACAGGGGGCAACAGGTCAAGCACCTCTTGCTGGACACCAAGAACTAGAGCAACAACTGAGGGAAAGTGAGTTGAGAGTTGAAAACCTCACCAGAGAAGTCCAGCAACTGCAGCTGCAGAAACATGAGCTACTCAACAAAGAATGGAGGAAATCCAGCAACTTCAACAGCAGAATCAACAGAGCAAAGAGATGGTGACTTCTCTGAAGGCAGAACTTCAAGGAAAGGTCGCATTGCTACAGGAGAAAGATAAGCAGATACAAGAGCTGGAACAGAGAGTGAGCTGGAGAGAGGGAAGCTGTGTGGCCACAGGACCTCTGCAATTGAAGTGGAGGGAGGGACCTCCTGCCCCATTTCCTACACACGGACACTCTGTAGCTGTTAGTGAAAACAAAATCTACTGTTGCGATGGTTTCAATGATACCAAGGTACTAGTCTTCAATTCAGAGACTGAGCAATGGACAATTCTTTCAGAATGCCCAAGAAAGTTTTTTTCTCTAGCAGTAATAAATGGGCAACCGACATCAGTCGGAGGGGAACAATCGGGGAAAACTACCAACACTCTTTTAAGCTTCACAGAGAGAGACCTTTCGCAACGAAAGTGGATCGAACAATATCCACCAATGACACACTGCCGAAGTAATCCAGCAATCGCTTCTACCAGTACATCGCTGATAGTAGCTGGAGGATGGGAGGGCTTCACCGACAAGCTGACATCGGTGGAAGTTATGGACACCCAAACATTACTTTGGTGCACTGTAGCCAGTTTACCTTTTCCTCTGTACGAAGCTACGGCCGCAATTTGCGAGGACGGCTGTATCTAGGTGGTGGGTTGGGCTCCAAAGGAAAGGCTAAGTCAGTGGTAGTGTGCAAACTGAAAAATTTCCTACCGTCGCAGTCTCGATCACTTGCCACCAGACTACATCGCCCAGTGTGGAAAGAAGTTGCTTCTCTTCCAGTTGTGAAATCCTCTCTTGTAGCCTTCCATGGCCAGCTTCTGGCAGTAGGTGGAGGAGCCACAGCATCTGGGGCTGACTCTTCCTCTGGAGTGAGAAGATATGATGCAACCAACAATTCTTGGAATGTGATAAGTCAGATGAGGGGGAAACGACACCGCTCGTTTGCAGCTGTTCTCCCGAACGGAACCCTTTTTGTTTGTGGAGGATTCACACCGGATGGACCCACTGTGTCTGTTGAAGTCACTTCTGTTTAATCTGAATTGTACACTGAAAATTCCATTATGTAGTTTTAGCACACCAACAGCACAGAGACCCAGTAACCCATAAATATAGTCACATCAACAGAGATTGTAACAGGTGAAATTTGCCTAATATTACTTTTTAAACGAAGTCTGCGCACAACCAATGCAAATGACACACTGCCAATTGTTTTGCACATATCCTGTACAGGTGAAAATAACACTTGTTTCGACAGACATTTGACTAGGGGGTTGTGTGTAGCTAATGACACTTTCTTGATAATATAGCACAGTCACTGACTTTCATGAAAAACGAACACACTACACACCAGGGTCAATAGTGTCTTGATAGTAACACACCTCGATAAATGACACATTGCTTCTCTGATGGACTGACAACCTACGTCAAAACATAGCTACAGTTTGTGTATATATCCTCTCTACATTCTGGCATTGGTTGGTGCCATAATCATTGCCAGCTACTACTCCACACGAGTGACTCGGCTCCTCGGGACCAATGCAGTCTCAGTTCTGGCCACTCTAGTCCTTCTCTCCTACACCAAGATCCTGAGAATCCTCATCACAGCCTTCTCCTTCACCACACTCACTGGGTCACAGGGCTACCATATAGTGTGGTGCAGCTGGCTGATGGCAGCATTGAGTACTTTGAACCCAAACATCTTATAGCACTACTAGTGCTCCTGCTATTGGGAGTACCGCTAGCTATCTGTCTTGGTGCAGGCATCTTCTTGTTCCCTTCCTTTTAAATGACTTGACACCCCCTTCATTTCATATAAATGATTATTACTTGTTCCGCTATAATTTTTTTAATATGGGCAAAGCCCCAACAAAAAGGAGATGTAGGAAAGTTAGTTGTGGTGCAACTGTTCACCACGCGCACCGCACTTCATACGCACATGCACACGCACTGTGCATGCTGAGTTAGCAGCAAATGGCGTCGTTCAATGTCTACCGTGAAGGTGCATTGGTCGAATCTAAAATAAGTTGCAATTGGCTGAATTTTGCCCTCAGAAAAAGATTTATCATCCTCTCGCTAGCTACCTGTGGATTTCATGAATCATTATAATTATATAGATAACCAGTTGAATGCATTACAGATTGTACTCTCTGGCCAGTAGCACTTTCAAAAAGGGAAGTTCACTTAAGACCTGGAGCTAAACCCAACTCCCCTGTTAATTATGGTTATCACCTGTCAACCTCCCATGAAAAAAAAACATCATCACCATCACCTCCACTCATGATAAACAGAAAATACAGACATGGCTACACGTGGTCCTAAAAATATCTGAGTAGCTACAGCATCTACTTGGAGAACCTGGAAGGAAGATGTCTGCCCTGGGGTCCCCTGGGTCGAGGAAAATTAGATGTCAGAGAGGGCAAACCACTGGTACGAGTTGGCTGCAGAGAGAATTAATGTAGAGTGGCAGGGATAGGAGGCAACCATGTATGCCAACTGGGTAAAGTCATAATTATACGGTGGAACCTCCGAACACGGGACAATGATTGTAGAGGAGTCGTCCCTATCTCAGAGGTCAAAAATGCACCAAGTATTAGCATGGGATTAAAACAAGTATCCTTTGTACAGAGGTCGTCCCTATTTCAGAGGGTCCTTATCAGAGGTTCAACTGTAGCTATACCACAGTAGAAACGTGACAATATAAAAAGGTCACACACATGTAACAATAGACCATGTGATGCCAAGAGAAAAAAGATGGGAGCTCTGGACAGCTGTTTCGGGCTTGTTGGCCCTCATCAGCAAAGCATACCGCAACTTCTCTCTCTGGCATCACGAGTTTAAAAAGGCAAAGTTGAGCGCAGCACTTGTGGTTTTGAACTAATCCTCACAAGGCTTTGCTCAGAGCGCAGCGCTTGTGGTTCTGAACTAATGAGATTCATCCCCACAAGGCGTTGCCAGTACCGAGCCAAAACCCGAATTCAGAATGCTGACATGTTAGTCTTAAACATACATCGTGAAAGGAAGAAGGCTCTTCAATCAGTCGGTGTTTGCGATAAGCGATGGGTGGTGAGTGGGTCGAGGCGAACGGCACTCTTCGTTTGGGAGCTACAGGTGGTGGCTTCTTGTGGGTGTGGCCAGGTTGCATTGGAGACCTAGGAACAGAGAGCATGGATCAAGATGTGCAGCTTGCCTTTATGATGCTTTATGATGTAAAGAGAGTATTGGGTATATACTCACAGTGACGGGTATAGCTATTAGGTATTGTCCTAAGCCCTGTGGACAGATAAAATGTGCTGGCAGTGTTTTAACTAATAATCAAAGTTGTTTTTTTGGTGACAGACCCAGTACAGCTGGCCACGCCCACTGTTCTGGGTGTTAAGTCTATGACCTGCTTGTTGGAAAAGGCTGCAGCCGCCTGTCACATGTACAGTGTATTAAAGCAGGTACGCACTGGTCAGATGGCGAGTCAGCATTTCTCTTCCTTTGAAACATAGCCTGGAGTTCAGAATGGATAGCGAGATGTCGAGATGCATCACCTCCATCACCTTTTTTACCACTGTAGATGGAAAATACAAGGAGAGGAAAAATCACAGTAAAAATAAGCATAATGCATTTTAGTCTTAGTGGATGTGATAACACAAAGACTGTTATTGCATCGCCCAAGAGCACTAGTTTTAAACTTCACTATGCAGTACATAACTCAGCCAACTAGTGTTTGCGGAACCAAAATACTCTTTAGAGGGTGGGGTCTGGCACGAGACTAAGACAGGACTGGGTAGTTCGATACTGGCATTTAAAAAATATTTTCCCATATTCACCTCGAGTCAGGAGGAAGGGATAATACACACATACACACACACATGCACACAAAGTAGCAACTCTGGCTGCTTATGCTAAGTTTATGTGGTGCACAGTGAATGAGCATTGGAATTAAAACGTGGGTGTGAAAATGGTAACTCGGTGCATGTGGCACATTAATGCAAGACGTAATGAGCATGTGCGATGAATTAACCATGACAATGGCATGATCAGACATACGTACTTCTCTAGTCTTACTCCAAACGGTGTTCGTAAGGCGGGAACTGCCTGGTTAGTCGAGGACTTGTCTTTCTTCTCCTCCTCATTATCTGCTACCTGGTCAGTCGACGGCTTATCTCTCTTCTCCTCACCATCAGTAGGGGAAGGAGTCTTCTCCTCACCATTAGGAGGGGGAGGAGTCTTCTCCTCACCATGAGCAGGGGGAGGAGTCTTCTCCTCACCATCAGGAGGGGAAGGAGTCTTCTCCTCACCATCAGCAGGGGAGAGGAGTCTTCTCCTCACCATCAGGAGGGGGAGGAGTCTTCTCCTCACCATAAGGAAGGGGAGGAGTCTTCTCCTCACCATAAGGAAGGGAAGGAGTCTTCTCCTCACCATAAGGAAGGGGAAGGAGTCTTCTCCTCACCATCAGGAGGGGGAGGAGTCTTCTCCTCACCATCAGCAGGGGGAGGAGTCTTCTCCTCATCATCAGGAGGGGAAAGAGTCTTCTCCTCATCCTCAGCAGGGGAAGGAATGTGTGAATTAATGTCAATGCTGGGAGGGTCATGGAATTCTGGGACATCCAGGACTCTGTGAAAAGGTGATAGGGAGGGTAGGGAAGGAAGAAGGGCGAAAAGGAGCATTATATGTGGTGTGTGTGCTCTAGGGGGCACAAAGTGAGACTGTACATGAGCACTGGTATTAAAAAGTTGGTGTGAACATGCCTCAATTGCACCTCATTGGACATACGTATAATAGACAGTGAGTCTGTGAATCTAAGATAGACCCGAGAACCATCACGCCATAGTGCTCCACTTATAGGATGTGGTCTTTTTAGATGTAGATTTCGACGCACAAGCTACCCATCAGGATACACTCAATTTGACATTTTCAGAGGCAGCGGCCTATCAACAACTCAGTAATGTGGACAAATATCGCACCACACATGAACAGCATTGACTGTAGTTCACACAGATGTCTAGATCAGATATAACTGTTCACAAATACAAAGCTTTAAGTGATCTCATATATATACGTGTACATACAAAATGGTGCCCCAAGGCAAGTAACTATTGCCAACTGCACAGCACTTGATCGAGCAGAATTACAGGCAAATCCACATATGCATTAGAAAAGGAACACAAAAGTAAGTTACCACTGTGTTAACCCTATAGTTCAAGATGGGTCTTAGAAACATACTTTTCATCTCTGACTTCAAGCTGAGTTATGGATGTTTGAACTGTGAGGTCGGCTGATGTCTTTTCTTCTTGCTCCTCACCACCACCAGACACATGAGTACGGGAGTTGGAGTTATTAGCGGCTACTTCATGACCATTAGTAGTGTCATTAGTGGTGACATCATTGACATTAGTGGTGACATCACGGGCATTAGTGGTGACATCATGGGCATTAGTGGCAACATTACGGACGGGCTCAGGGTTATGTCATACCTGAGGTGAAGAAGGAAGTGTCTGTGTAAGTGATACATGCCAACCATACCGAAAATTCCGGTATTGAAAAGTACACAAGGAACTATTAACACAAACACAGATGTGTTTGATTGTCGCCATGCGTTTGTGTATGCCTTCATACATACTAAACAACCCTCTACCCACTGTACAAACCAGTTCTCAAGGCTGGGCATCTGGTGTTTGCTTTCATAAAGTGCTGTGTGCATTTCGTTAGTCTCATGACTATGAGTGGAAGAGTTATGGTGTTAATGGTTCAAAAATGCTTCTACATGAGAGTTTGGACTTTCTTCTGAGTGTCTGGAGAGGCCAAGTTAGACTAGGAGATTAAAACACTACCATTTGAATGATTAAAGTGCATTTGTGACACCGTCACAGGCTACATGTCCAATTTTATAGCTAGCTTTTTGCAACCTCAAGTTTCCCTCAAAACATTACTCATTAATCATTGCACATTTTTTTAATGAGAACTTATCCTTGCACACATTTTGTGTTCTGTGTGCCCTGGCATTTATTAGTCTAACAAACTTGGGGTCCACTAAAGTATTTGAGTGCCCTTTTCACAGCCATAAAAATTCCCACTTTAATTCATTCCTCAGTGACTGACTGTTTGACTTCATCAGGGATGTCCAGCTCCTCCAGATTGAGAATGTGCTCCAGTTCTTCCAGCCTGTTAATGTAGGACAGCTTCCTCCCAAACTTGTAGCTGCAACACGAAAGAGAGGTCTCAGTGACCAATAATAGAGGCAACATTATTACTTGAGAAATGCAAGGCATTGTTGACGAGCGAGCGCAAGCAGTTCAATATTTCGCACGTGTATTTCACGTTTTTAGAATCACATAGGACATTACGGTATGTGCAGTGCCCGTGCAGTATAATAGAAAGTTCCGCATTGAAACAACTAGGTAGGCTTGCTGCGCTGGCAATCACAACAGTCGTATCCTTCAACACCTATGTAAGACAGTTTTCTTCAAAACTAGTATATAGCTGCAACATGGAAGGGAGGCACCCTACCTGCACACATTGGTAGAAGATTTGGGGATATATCTCTTAAGTTGCTTCACATACATCAGATAAATAAATTGGAAGTACGCCACTAGACTCTATTAGTTGAGGTACGTATGTATAATTATCATGCACATTAAAACCACAACTAAATGACAGCTTTACTTGAGGAAAGGTTTCATGAGCGAGAGAATGAATCTGACGAAGTTGGTTGGATGGAGAACATACACTTTCTGGATGTTCTTCTTGTACCTATCACAATAATAATACATGTTAAAAAGACAAAAACTCCCTCACATAGTTTGAAATTTTAAAACACCGTAATTGCCCATACATTATAACCGTGCTCAACAAACACCAAAAATGCGTGGATTTGCCAGCTATACACGCAGTAATAAACAGTAACACACTCGTCAAATGCACAATGGTATGTACTCACTTTCTGTCCATTTCTCCGTAGACCTGTCTGAGCCAGGAGAAGGATGGTTTGTTGGTACTGGTCAGGCCGTAGTGACAGTAGACCACCGTGTACTTCTCCTCCACTATCTTATCCAACACATACTTCCCATACCTGGTGGAATATAAAGCACTAGAATGCACTCTCGATGCTGCAGAATAAGGGTAACGCTAGACTGGATACTCGTCCTTCGAAAAATCTCGTGTCTCCACGGTGCATTTAATAGGGGGTAAACCCGCCATAATTATTTTGAGTATTGACTGTTTTGTTTGTGTTTCATGCTATAACTAACTATTTCTGGAGAAGAAACTCCACCTACTTTTTAACCAGTTGTTATGTGCATAGATTGATTTGTTGGCTGAATAATGCTGTCTGAGAAGAGATAACAGCTCACAGACCAAGTAATAATTATTATAACCTTATAAGGTATGCATTAAACAAACTGCATGTCAGAAGAAACATTAAAATGACAGGTAAGTGTTACATCTAGGCAAACACAATGTATGAAGTATATCATCCTTATATACCATACTTAGAAAAAGGTGGAGTTACGTTGTCTCAGTTTTTAGCATTGGTAGCAAAATTCATGTAATAACCCTGCTTTTAAGGTTCAGCTGCTTCTATTATTGAAACAGGTTTCACGTTGCTTCATGTGAACGGGATTAAACACAGTGCTAGGAAGGTTTCTGCTCTGTGTTTTGAAGCAGTTTCAACCTGCAGCAATCTCTAGTGCTTCTGTAACATGTGGTGTTCAGTGCATTATGCTGTGTAGGATAGAAATAGGGGCCAACACTTTGACAATCTGTGATCCACTAATATGACTTGTCATGATTCACTGACCCACAGAATGTACTAGCTAGCTAGAGCACCGCGTACAATGTGGTATATACATGAAGTAGTGATGTATACCTGAGTAGAACATTGTGGTCGATGGCATCTGATGGTGGGAGGCGACATGCTGAAATGACTATGACTGGATGACCATCTCGGTCTGATCCTGAGAGGGGGGAGAGTTGTACGTGTAAAAGGAGGTAGCTAAAACGACAGCAGGGATGAATAAACAAAGGATAAAGAATGGGGGTGTTAAATGGTTTCCGTGGAGTAAGACACAGAAAGTTTTGTATGTGCAGGAAGTTAGTTTTAGTACACATCCGCTGCCTTATTTGACCATAGAGAGTAGCTGGTTGGTTTACTATCAAGCCTGCTTATGCAAGCTATCTGATTAGCCCTAGATTGTGTGGGTACAAACCAGAGGTGGAGATGATGCTGTACTTCTCCAACATCTCGAATGCCTCCTCGTACTCCACCACATCATCTCCATTGTTCTCTGGACGAGCCCCTCCCCCTGTTGCCATACCAACAGTTTGAACTCAACTGCCCCTGTTTGTGTTAGGCCGCAATAGTGTAGTTCTCTGGTCCTGCATGTAATTAAGTGGTACATACCATTTTGTAACACTTAGTTTCATATTATGTTACTTTTTGCTTAGCCTGAGTATAGCACTCTTAGCTGAAAGACCATGAGGAGAACCAGTGCTGATTGTGCATATTTCACACCATATCTTTTGAACACATTCATTTTCTAAATGTTTGACACTAGCATAACATATGAGTATCGCCAAGCGTGCTCAGATTACTCTTCCTTATGTGCTCCTGGCATTCCTCATAGGCTGGCATCCTGTAGTGCCAGAATAGCTGCATGCAGACAGACAAACACACACATAATACCAAGTACTGCGTAACCATTGCTGTGCAAGTTCTCCGAGGGTTAATCATGTACAAATAGAAGATGGAAGGGAGAAACAGCAGCCAAGTTTGCATGGCCAGTGTACTCTGTACTTGTGGTGGCTAATCCAGGGCATAGAGTGGTATTATACACACTATTGATGTAGAGGTGGGTATATATGCACAATGTTGTGATAATGTGGGAATGGAGGAAGTTTTCAAATAACAAACTCAGCAAGAGCGTACAATGTAGGAGAGGAGTGAATAACCCACAAACAAGTTCAGTTCGATATACAGGTAATTCAGGTATAGCTCAAATAAATGGTACCAAATAAAGCCCATCACAGGGCACCCGGCCAATTTAGCACCTATGTCTTGCTTTGCTGCTCTTTTTGGGTATATACCCACATTGAGTGCAAACACATGTCACTGTCTCAAAAACACGGCACAGGAGACTGCTTTAGGAGCCGGCAGGTGTAAACATAGCTAGAGCAGAGTAGAGCAGTAATAGCTAACAATAAAGAGGAGCCACTAATGTAGGTCGCCTTTAGAAATGGCAAAAATCTCCTGTCCCTAATATTGCGATGATGTCAGTCTGGATTCTATCCTCACGACGCGGCAACGCAGCACGTCGCGACAGGGCAATGCGGCGTATTGTGAACCTAGCCCTACGTATATACCTACTCTACATCGCCACTGCGAACACAACTCTGTACACCAGGTCCCTTGACTGCTAGGTAGCTACACGCCATATTATGTTTACATCATCACAACGTCAAACGAAACACACGAGGAGCACGCACCTTCCCAGGAAGAAGTGAGTGCTGGCGCGGCTTTCGGGCTCTTCGCGCGTCAAGCTCTCCGTCGTTCCGTCGTCAAATGCGTGGCCATGCCCTCTCTCCGTCGGCGAAAACCTCTGTGCGCATGCGCGCCAAGGGAACGCGCGAAAATATTTCGAAAGACGGTGATTATAAGGGATGTATACTAAAAGCAAGGAGACAAGAAAGGGATGACCTTGTGTATACGATGCAGTAGTACAATGGATACTCAAATTCACATTGGTTGCTCGTGAAGTTTTCCCTCCAAACAAGCCACTCTTAGCTACTCATGACATGAGTTTGTTTAGAATGATGTGTGTAGAGTGTGATGACTGAGAAAGGGATTCTATAAATAGCTATATAAGAAGACAGCATTGAAAAACTGTTAATTCAGTAAACATGGATGTCTTAGACTAACCTAGGAGCTGTGAGAGAGGGCAGCACCTGTGGATTACCTGTTAGCTACATTTGCTTAGGAAATGAGTCATAGCTGAGGCAGCACATTCATGCTTCGTGACAATATTACAGGGCTTGTGTGGAGGAAAAATTTCATGAGCTACCAATGTTTATTTGAGTATGGAGCTATTACTACTGGATCACATACACAAGGTCATCCCTGTCTTGTTTCCTTGCTTTCTAATTCACCATTATTTTTCTTAATTTGAAGAATATAATACCTTCCCTTTTTTATACCACCGCAAACACCATTTAGCTACAAGTTTCATTGCCTTAGGCTGTTGTTGTTGTTTACAAATTATAATTCTGTTTCGATGAACTATTATCAAGTGTAGCTACCAAGGTCCTTTGTTAGAGGACCCACCATAAGCATTATAGGATCAAACACAGTTGGCTAGATTTTAAGGTTCTTGTTTTAACCCTCGCCTGCGCGCATGCGCAGCGAGGGTTATTGCAGTCGGTCTGTCTGTGTGTGTGTGTGTGTGTGTGTGCGTGTGTCCGTCCGTCCGTCCGTCCGTCTGTCCTCCGTTTTTCTCGGTAACCGCGGCAACTCTGAGCGTGAAACGTGACATATTTTCAACTAGGAGGCATGCATGGTAAAATAAGATTCTGGAGCTGAGAAGCCCGGGGAAGCGGGTGAAACGGACGGCTGCCGAGGTGGGTGTGCGTCAAATAGAGATCGTTGTATATACTTAGATGCTAGATGCTTTGCGTGTGTGGAGAAGATTTGCTGGTCTGGACTGGCTGTATTGATGGAGCAGTTGAGATTGCCGGTGAAGTGAGAGCAGCACACGCCCCAGTGAATCCGTTCAGTGAAGGAGCCACGAGGTAGCTAGCTATAGTATGTAGCTGAAGACCAGTGCTTTTCACTTTGCTGTAGTAGTAACTAGTATTGAACTCGCATGTGGCAAAAACTTACGTAGTGTAGCTAGTAGCCATTGGCTGAATAAAGTGGCGAGGGTTATGCACTTTCAAGTGCTTTTCATAGTTCTGAAGCCGTTGGTATTGCCCATGGGCCGCCTCGTAGCCTGTAGTGCAAGAATAGCATGTGACAAACAGACAGACACACACACAGATCAATTACTGATAACCATCGCTGCGCATGCAAGCCAAGGGTAAATTACAAATGGCTACGCCACGAAGTGTCGCTTTTAGGTTTGCTATATAGAACAGGTTAGCGAAACGGCAGGAAATAACAGCCTCAAAAGAGGTGGTTAAACGCAGACCAATGTCTGATAGCGGTTTTAATCTCTAAGGGAGCCACTATAACCTAGTTACGCTTTAGTGAGTAGCTATAATACACAAAAAAATCACGAGCATTTATAAGCTGAACTGAATATCAACTCCCATGCTGAATAGCTAGAGACAACCTCCAAATGAAGACAAAAGTGATGTCTACGGAAAACGGGATGCTGTGGAGACTCAATCATAGATTTCCAGTGTTACTGAGGAGGTTCGATGCACTCCGAACTAGAGTACAACTACCTTTGCGTTTGGTTGTCTGTCCATGCCATTATTGAGAGGGCCTTTAGAGTCCTACAATGTTCACTACCCATGCAGTACCCAATGATTGCCCTTCTTGACGCTCTATGATCTTAGCACTATCACTGCATACTACATGTGTTTTTACAAAATTTCCAGACCATTAATTATGTCTTAGGGGGAGTCAAGGATTATTATAAGAATACCACACAACGCAAGCACCAAGTACAACTGTCAATACCTATAAAGTTGGTGTTATCCATATCCACCTATGCAAACTTTAAACGATCCGTTACTTCGGCGTGCTCAAGACCGAAGTCACGGACAAAAACATCAGAGTGTTTCAGCCTCGTAGGCCTTCTTCAGCTGATAACTGAAATGACCCTAGCTGGGAGCATATGACAAAGAGAAGTGACAGAAATGGGGGAGAGGTTAAATGAAATTGAGAATATGTTTATAGTTTTATTATGGCCTCCAGATGAAGGGATGCCATTCAAAGTCAGATTTTAGTCCAAGTTTGATGTTTTTCTTACTTCTCACTGAACCTTCCTCTTCAGCAGTTGCAGATTTGTTGTTCTAATCTTTTTGCTGATGGCCAGTCCACTGAATGATGCTCTCTCCAAGAATGTGCAGCTGCCCTAGATGGGTGGAGGATATTAAAAGGTACCTAGGTGAGGTCTCTCGAGAACCCTTTTGATGAATCTTTTAAGCCACTCCATTAGAAAACCTTTGAAAGGTGTGTGAGCTCTGCTGTTCTCGCAGTATCACTACGCAGGAGAGCACAAAGTGGCCCTCAATATTAGTGGTTTGAGTATATACGTATGTAGACTGACATAGTGACCACCACTGTCTTAGTGGCAGGTCCCTTAGTGGACTAAAAACTAGATTATGCATCCCTCCTTTGCAAAAATTATTTCACCTTACACCTCGTCTTAGAAAATGGTATGTCAAGAGTCCTCTGATGCTGAATGCATCATCAGGTCTCTTATTTGCTAAGACGCCAGGTTTTTGACTTCTTAGTAGTCCACTATAAGACTTGCCACTAAGACACTCGGTGGTCACAATATTATGGCTAGGTATGCCAATTAGTCTCACCCAGTTGCCACAGAGATAGTATAGGCAGACAGGTACTCAATTATTGTTTCATAATCTTACACAACCAGGTAAGCAGAGTCAGCAGTACAGTAGGATGGCGCCCAATATGCTAGCTTAATTTTGGAATAATAGGGGCTGCCCAGAGACTGGCATCATTCTGGGAATAATGGGTCGAATTGCAGTATGTAGGCGTTTGCGCCCTTCAACGGTTTTGCGTAAAGATGGAGAGCTTACCCTGATATCTTCAATATGCAAAAAGAGCGAAAAAATAAAGCGCATCACTCCCCGGGAAAGGCAAAACTGCGCGAACAAAAGTGCAGACTCAGCACTTTTCCTCGTTCTACACACCCTCTTTAGCGCAAGGGTTCCAGCGCTAAGGGAATAGTAAGGGCAGCGAGGGGGAATATAGGAGAATTGCGGGATGGAATAATGGGTAAAAAAATAAGCATAATGGCTCAACTCAGTTGCGTAGCAGCAGCACGTCGACTTCGCTTTCCGGATCAGGATCAAAAAGCTCGTCCCATCCAAGATTAAACTCACTCCCCGCTCACCATAACTAAGACGTGGAATTCGCGCGCCTTCGAGATGAAAGGCGCCTTGGAGTTGTGCGCATAGACTATACCCATACTGGTGTATTAATACGCGTAGCGGCGTTAGCACGGATGGTTAGCTAATTACACGGAAGGCTGCTAGCTTCCTGCTTCCTTGATAGCCGTTGCCAACAACCGCACTAGTCCGTCGGTATAATGAACGTGACGAACCGATCTCATTCGCCATAATTTTACTATAAATTATAGTCGCACACGATCACCTAGCTCCCCTCTTCCACTGCAACGGTAGGAAAGCGCCCGAGGTGCCAAACAATCGCAACAACTGGACAACGCTTGTGTCAAGACTGACAGGTAGCTATAGTATTGTCTCTTCAGCTACAGCCCAAATATTTGTTTATTGTCTATTATTAAATGTCAGAATTAATCAGGGGAGCAGACCAATGATATCGGCAGACAACAGCAATCGTTGAAGACTCCCGCGTTGCTAAAGCCGCAGAGCCTGTTTCTTAGCTGGCAGACCAAGTGACGAACCGATCTCATTCGCCATAATTTTACTATAATTATAGTCGCACACGATCACCTAGCTCCCCTCTTCCACTGCAACGGTAGGAAAGCGCCCGAGGTGCCAAACAATCGCAACAACTGGACAACGCTTGTGTCAAGACTGACAGGTAGCTATAGTATTATTTCTTCAGCTACAGCCCAAATATTTGTTTATTGTCTATTATTAAATGTCAGAATTCATCAGGGGAGCAGACCAATGATATCGGCAGACGACAGCAATCGTTGAAGACTCCCGCGTTGCTAAAGCCGCAGAGCCTATTTCTTAGCTGGCAGACCAAGTCAGTTGTTGACAATAATCCTGACTGTTCTAACTTTGATTATCGGACATCAGAATCATTCCCTGTGAGATCAGAATTCCCTGCATGCCGCCGTCTAACTTTCGTTGTATTCCGTTGCTTAGCTTGCCTTTTGTTTGCCAGTTTGTGAATCAAGTATATACGGATCATGAGGTTCAACGACGAAGTCCAGTCAGGACTTTTCTCATCATAACTGCCTCTGGTCTGCCACTGCAGGTAGCTTGCATTTTTGTCTTGACAATGGTTTTCCGTTAACCTAGTAACGTCAGGTAAGTGAGTGTAGCTAAAGGGCAAGTTGGGACGAGACAGAAAAAATGTGTAAGCTGTAGAATGATGAACGATGGTGAAACAATCCTCAAGCATGGATCACCAAATTCCAAATTCCTTGCAAGTGCAGGATTTGCATCAACTGTCTGCTCCCCCTGATGACTTATGACGGCAAATTTTTACAACTGGGGTTTCCTTGTTTCCATTGAGTCCTCGGGCGCGCCACGCGTCTACTGCACTGGTTATCGGCGCGGCGCGTAGACGAGCGTTTGGCACGTTTGTCTGCAGCGAGAAAGTAGCGTCCATGATTCGGTGTCATCATGTATATAAATCCATGTGGCAACCTCTAGACGCATTATTTTGTTAGCGAGCAATGTTTCCCTACCGACAAGTGCCATCCTTCCATGTCGTGTTTCCATTTTCCATAATCACCTCCCATTTTCCATTTTGTACCTCCACTTTCTGTTCGCCATCACGCGCTGCGCACGGTCGAATGATGCTAGGCCTACGACTCGTCAGAGAATCGTGGATAATGGACGCACACAGAAAAGACATATTTGCCGAGCCTTGCCGGTGCGGCTGGGAATATTGCCGGCCTGATTGCGCCGCTAACCTTCCTCGTCGAGATGGGGGGGGGGTCCGGGGGGGTGTGGCGACTGGCGACTTTGGACTAAGAGTGCGGGCAGACCCTTACGCGGAGGTCTGGGAAAAGGAGAACGGAAGCGCGAAATGGAAGCGCGAAATGGAAGCGCAAAATAGAAAAAGGAAATAGGAAATTGGAAGTACAAAATGGAAAATGGGAAGTGAATTTAGAAAATGGCAACACGAAATGGAAATTAGAAGGATGGCACGATAGGTGCCATGCCCCCGTTTTCCATTCCATTTTCCAATTTCCAGCGATGCGTTCCAAATGCTGTCTTGATTCCGGTTTTCTAACCTGCGAGCTGGCAGCTAGGGTAAGAGAGTGGCTAGCGTCTCGAAATCTGGTGCTACTAATGCGGCGGAGTTACGTAGCAATACTACTAGATACCCTTACCCTAAACCCTGCGCTCGAGCGGGCTTACCATCATGACGTGTCCGCACGCAACGCAGCGCCGCGTTACGCCCCCTTAGCAGTGAGTAACGGCCGTGTACGATCGTAGCCTTGTAGGCCGTTTTGCGGGGCATGGGATTCCGGAAGGAGGCTAGGGTCGTGTAGCAGCGATTGTATTGGCGAGCACACTTCAATCGTCCTCCCTTCGCTAGCGCATGGGGAACAGGCCGCGGTGATAAACACGGAATGTGGAACGTAAAAACGGAATTTGGAATGGAAACAGAAGTGTGAATGGAAAACGGAATGAATATCGGCATGGCACCTATCAGCCACCGTAGGATGGCACTTGTCGGCCACCCCTTCTGCCAGTGCCAAGGACTCCAAAGTGTACCGTGAGTCACTTTAGAGTCTCTTTGACTCGGAGTCCTACCCACTGTCGGCGCCAGAGAGAGCGTGATTGGTGTTCTTACTGTCGAATAGTCTACTGCGCTTGGGTCTTTTCCCCCAGTTAAAGAGTGCGCTCGGTAGCCTAACCCCAATTACAGACAGTGTGGCGTCGGTTGGCTGAACTCTGAAGGCACTGGCATGCAGTTCACCGTGTCACTAGCTAGATACACGTTCCGTGCGACAACCGTGGGCGATTTACGTGACGTAGAAAATCCTGCAATCTGATTGGTCCTGCATGAATAGGGAACAAGGCAATGCACCAGGCTACATGCGGCGTCTCGGTGACTATATTAGCCTCGTATGTACTCAGGCCATGGGACTAATGCTGGGAGCATTCTCTGTTGGACGTGTATGTAATATTACTAGGCATTCTTTGGGCGAGCGGAGCGAGCCTATACTGTACCGCAAGTATACACAACCATCATCATTAATAGCGATAATAATTATAGCTACGTATCTACAGGTAAAATGTTTCAGCAAGTAACAGAAGTTGTTATGGTGTTGTCATATTATGTTGCGGTGAAACTACCAGAAGAGCAACGGAACGGCAATGTGCAGCCCGACATTGCTTTGCCCGCTCCCGCTCTCCATCTCTTAATCGTCGCTGAAAAAGACGAGCCTCTCTGTCGTGAGGACTTTCGACGGCCGGGCGTTCTGCCCTTCGAACAGAAGCAGTATCTTTGCCTTGCCCGCTCTCGATCTCCATCTCTTAATCGTCACTGAAAAAGACGAGCCTCTCGGTTGTTAGGACTTTCGACGGCCGGGCGTTCTGTCTGTCTTTGAACAGAAGCAGTATCGTTGCTGGAAACCCCCGGGCTCGCGTAATATTTGCGCATGCGCATAACCCGACAATTCCAACCACTATATAGTCGCTCCGCTCGCCCAATGAAGAGGCAATGTTCGAACAATAATTCTTAACCTCCCCTTCTCATCCACAGATGGCTCATTCAATACTTCATATAGTGACTCTGTTACTCTTTACCGGTAAGTAGTTACAAGGAACCTTTTCCTCATGTTTGCATGGAGAACACAATAATGGGGTAATGATACAAATTACGACACATCAATTAAAAAAAATAAAAAACACTGAAGTGCAAACCCTCGGCGAACTTCGCGTGCCGTAACTCCCGAACGGAGCATTTTCAGAGAAAACCCTACAAGTTTTCGACCTATATAATAGCCACCTGGTATTTTTGTGGAGTGATTCATGGCTCGTGAAGTGAGATGTTGGGTAACAGGCAGACACACAGGACAACTACAGTAACCCTCGCTGCACATGCGCGCCGAGAGTTAAATTATATCTTTATAGAGGCATTGTTTTAGCAAAGCAATTCCTTTCATAAATCTTGCTTCTAATGAGTGTCATAAAGAGAATGTATAGGAACGTCTATGAATTAGTGCATCAAAAGTGAGTTATGAGCTCTTTTTGCAATCACCATTGTTACCAATAATTGTTCTCATGATCATCATCCATGTCTTTATACCTGCAGCAATAATAGTGGCACCTGCGACATATTCGTCAAAATCTGACGGTGAGGTGAATGTGGTATCTAGCCCCTGATTCACGCACTAGCTGCCCATTAGCTACTGCTTTCAACAGTTAGAGTTTGTCCATGGTAGCCACACCCATGAACATCAGAATGACTGTAACAATAAGATGCGGTGTTGTCATAAGCTGTTAAAAATTGTGGAAACAAGTGGAAAAATTATTTCTTAAAAATGAAGGGAGATATAGGGATCGCTTGAAGCACCAAAAAAGAAGGAAAGAGGGATCATTACACAGCAAAGATGCACATTGCTATACATGAAACCATCCCTATATATTTTGTTAGATTAATATCGAACAAAGATAAATATAGGGATGGCGTCACGTAGCTTTGTGCAACTTTGCTGTGTAATACTTTGCTGTGTAATATCATAGATATCGATGAGTGTTCAACCGGAAATGCTCTTGTCATTATTAATTAATGCTAGCACTAACACTTGCACTAACACTGATGGAAGTTACTATTGCCAATGTCTTCCTGGTTTTGATGGGGATGGCTTAACTTGCACCAGTAAGGAAACGCCATTATTTGTTTTTCCTACTCCAACGATGTAGCTATTATGGTATGAACATTGTTGCTACGTTTATGTTCTCAGTGCCATTTGATATTCATTTACCTTTCTTTTGCAGATATTAATGAATGTGTTATACCCGACACAAATGAGTGCAGTATGTATGCAAAATGCACCGATACCATTGGAAGTTATGAGTGTACATGTTCAGAAGGCTTTGCAGGAGACGGATTTACATGTCATGGTAGGTGTATATAGAAAATAATTATTGAAACATTATAATTTTAACACAGATGTTGATGAGTGCTCCGATCAGGATATATTTCCATGTCATTCTGAGGCCTTTTGCAACAATACTTTTGGCAGATTTACATGCACCTGTTTGACTGGGTACTCTGGAGATGGAATGACATGCAATGGCAAGTCAATCCATTAAGTGTATCAATTTTTTAAATACCTTTTAGACATAAACGAGTGTGAGCTGGACACAGACATCTGTGACAACAATGCAGAATGCATAAACACCATCGGTTCTTACAACTGTAGCTGTGAAATTGGTTATTCTGGCAATGGATTCAACTGTACAGGTACAGTGTGTTTAGCTTCAAGATAATAAATGAAAAGCACTAAAGTGCAAACCCTCGGCGAACTGCGCATGCGCGGTACCACTAATTGATGGGCTGGGCTTTTCTTTTCTTTACTCGTTGTATCGCGCTAGTAGCTCGCGGAGAGTCTGGCACGGGCTAGCTACAGTAGTAGATTGCATGCGGGAGTCGATACATGCCCTTCGTTGTGACTTCTGCCTTCAAGATACACAGAGCGCGCGGACGCAGTCGAGGTAAGCCTGTGCTAATTACCTGGTTTTCACGCCATAACTTTAGAACGCAGTAGTTTTACGAAAATCACCTTTTTTAAAATCAACCCAGTGTAGCACTGAACCCGATCATATCGCTATTTACCTGATTTCGTGCGCGCGGTGGCAGAAAACGTGGTAACAGACAGAATGAAAAGCACTGAAGTGCAAACCCTCGGCGAACTGCGCATGCGCGGTACCGCTAATGGACGGACCCGCATTCTCCCGCTAGTAGCTGGCGGAGAGTCTGACAAAGGCTAGCTACGGTAGTAGATAGCATGCGGGAGTCGATACACGCCCTTCGCTGTGGTTTCTTGTGCCTCCAAGGTACACAGAGCAAGCGGATCAGTCGGGGTGAGCCGACGTTGATCGCGTCTAATATACCATGCGCACCGCTTATTGATGAGTTGGGCCACGGAACACGGTCCGCGACGGTGCCAGTTTGTCGCTCTCGAACGCAGTCGTTTCAGGAAAAACCGTTCGATTAAGCTGATCCTTATTACCCGTTTATTACGTCGTATCGTTTGTGGGACGAATAAACCATCGAGAAGTCAGTTGGAGCATGGACAGACAAACAGACAAACAGACAAACAGACAAACAGACAGACAGACAAACCCAACTACTGTAACCCTCGCTGCGCATGCGCGCCGCGGGTTAATAAGACGGTTTCCACAGATATTGATGAATGCTATGAAGGATCAGATCTGTGTGACTTGCATGCAGACTGTACAAATACCATTGGAAGTTATGAGTGTACATGTTCAGAAGGTTTTGCAGGAGACGGATTTACATGTCATGGTAGGTGTAGAAAATAATTATATATGACCATTATATCAATTTATATACACTGTTAAAATACCTTTTAGACATGAATGAGTGTGAGCTGGACACAGACATCTGTGACAACAATGCAGAATGCACAAACACCATCGGTTCTTACAACTGCAGCTGTGAAATTGGTTATTCTGGCAATGGATTCAACTGTACAGGTACATATGTTTACCTTCAAGATAATAAATAATACTGTTTCCACAGATATTGATGAATGCTATGAAGGATCAGATCTGTGTGACTTGCATGCAGACTGTACAAATACCATTGGCAGTCACCAATGTTCCTGCACAGTTGGATACACTGGGAACGGAATTACTTGTGGTAACCTTTATTTTTTATGGGGTATAAATAATACTCTTCTCTTACAGACTGCAGGGACGGGGAGGTTCTTCTGTATGATGGTAGTACACTCTCCACCAACCACTGCAATGGAACTGTACTGGTTTGTCTGGACAATGAGTATGGTACTGTGTGTGATGACTGGTGGGATCCTCTGGATGCCACTGTTGTGTGTACTCAGCTGGGATTCTCAGCTACTGGTTTGTTCTCTTCTGTCTATCATTTGTGTATCTCTCCATCAATTCCACATCTTTCACTTTCACAGGCTCTCTGCCAGTGGTCCGCTCAGGTCTGGGCAGTCCTCCAAACAGATCTATCTTCCTGGACAATGTGGTGTGTACTGGAGGAGAGGGCGACCTCACAGAGTGTGGCTACACCACCATCACCAACTGTGACAGATCTGAGGAAGCTGGAGTTAGATGTGAAAGTATGGAAATGTTTGTACAGGAAAAGTATGGTTAATTCTTGGGCTCTTTGTATAGGCACTTGTGTGGATGGCGATGTTAGACTTGCAATTGAGAACCTAACTGAGTTTTATACTTCAGTCACTGAGTACGAAGACTATTATTTCATAAAAGATGAATTAGCAAGAGGCAAAGTTGAAGTTTGTATTGAAGGGAAGTATGGGACTATTTGTGACAGCCAATGGGGCGACAAGCTTGCCCCTGCTGTTATCTGCTCTCAGCTTGGGTTCTCATATTTTGGTAAACATAATATTATTATTTTCAAACCTTCCATGCATTCTAATTACCTCTTCAGGGGCGATACCTGTGTCTAGTGGTGCATTTGGTGATGATATTGAATCAGCCGTCCTCTATGACATTGTTTGTTTGGGCAATGAGACTAGAGTACTGGATTGCTCCATTTCCCCCTCTGGAACCTGCCCTGAACACAGTGCCGCTGTTATTTGTCAAGGTATGTCAACCAAAAAACCAGATACTTGTGCTACTGCAAGTCATACCTGCAGATTTATCTACCTCATCATCAAATTGTACTCACGGAGCGTTGAGATTGTCTGGAGCTATCACTAGTAACCAGGGCAGACTGGAAGTGTGTATGAAGGGAGCATGGGGCAGTGTCTGTGATAGTCAAGGTGTGTTCAGCACAACTGAAGCTAAGGTTGCCTGCAGACAACTCGGAAAGTTACAAGTTGAAGGTATAAACCTGTTCATGAGCAATGCAATAGCATTAGATGAGGAATATGGTTTTTACAGACGAAGTTGGTGTTGTAGATGTGACTCAGTTTTCTGGGGATCCAGTTGGGCCGATATTCATGGATGATATTAGTTGTAATGGTGAAGAGGAGACACTGTTAGACTGTGGGTTCACACTACTACAGATGTGCAGTCACACACATGACGTTGGTATCATCTGCCATCGTAAGTCCATACTAACCAATACAGAAGGTTCTGTTACCCCTTTCCATTTTGCAGCTGCAAGCGAGTGTGAAATTCACAGTGCTGGCTGTGACCACTACTGTACTGAGACAATAGAAAGCTACGCATGCTCATGCTATGTTGGGTATACTTTAGATCTTGACGGGCACACGTGTGTTGGTAAGCAAACCTTGCTACTACACTATGCATAACCATTACCAATTTGGTTTTGTCTAGAAGTTTTGTGGTATGTTCTATATTATAATTTCTGAAAAATAGACCTGGACAGTTGTTCAACTGGTGGTGATGTTCGACTGGTGATTGGCTCCACTGCCTATGAGGGTCGAGTGGAGGTGTGCTCTAACAACACATATGGTACTGTCTGTGATGACTCATGGGATGAACTTGATGCCAGAGTCATCTGCAGACAACTGGGATATAACCATACTGGTGTGCATTAATGATGTACACACCAATATTCTCTAACTTTTTCTCTTTTTCAGATGTGGTTCCTGTTAGGAATGCTGGTTTTGGAAGTAGTATCTCTCGTGAAATTGTTCTTGATGATGTAACATGTACTGGCAATGAAGAGAATATACTGGACTGTTCCTATGACTCTGTTAGTAACTGTGACCACTCAGAGGATGCTGGGGTCATCTGTGGTGCAGTCTGTCGCAGTGGAACAGTGAGACTGGCTATTGGAGATACGAATGCATTTTACCAGGGCCTTGAAGATGTAGAAAACAGTTATTTCATAAAAGATGAATTGGCGAGGGGCAGAGTTGAAGTTTGCATCGGGGGAAGATATGGCACAGTCTGTGACAAATCCTGGGATTTTGAGGACGCATCTGTTGTATGTTCACAGCTTGGATTTTCATCCAATGGTAATGTTTGTTATCACATTGGAAACATTTACAGTATATTTATCTGTATTTGAACAGGAGCAATTGCTATCATTGGGGGTCAATTCAGTAATGCCTCAGTCTCAGTTGTGATTGGCAGAGTAGAGTGTGTTGGCAATGAGACTGGCCTGCTAGACTGTTCTCATGTAACAGAGGCTCACGAGGAAGTGATACACTGTGACCCTATTAAAGTTGCAGCAATCACCTGTAATGGTATGTCGTTCATTTCTGAAACTTTTGCATCGACAACTGTTTGTGTTTCGATAGATCTTTCTACTGCGCTTGCCGACTGTGTAACGGGGGAAGTAAGATTTGTAGACATATCGAACAACCCAGAAGAGGATTCTCGACAGGGAACTATCCAGATCTGTGTCAACAATGCATGGGGTTCTGTGTGCAGTGATGACTTCTTTGACAATACGGATGCTGCAGTCTTTTGCCATCAGTTGGAAGGTTTCACATCCAGTGGTAAGAGAGTTTTTTTTTTACTGTTAATATTGTACCACATGTTTTATCTGTAGGTGCAACGAAGCTCACAGCTTCAGTGATAAGCAACAGTGTGGTTCCACTTTTTCTCAGTTCTTTAGATTGCTCAGCGACACATCAATCACTGCTTCATGACTGCTCTCATGTAAAACTTGGTCTAGCATCATGTGATGAGGACTTTGGTCTTGCAGTTGTCAAATGCTTTGGTGAGATAACTAAGTTCTCTTTGAAAGTTAGTCTGAGACAATTTTCAAACTTTGTCTGTTTTTTAGATATTGATGAGTGTGCCGAGAACACTGACAACTGCTCTCAGAATTGCTCTGACACTCTTGGTTGCTACCTGTGTGTCTGCTATGATGGATACACTCTGGACTCTGACCAACACACATGCAATGGTGAGCAGAAATTTAGCTTTAGCCATTAATTAGTCTGCTGTAATGTCCCTTACTCTAGATGTAAATGAATGTGGGACCGGGACAGCAGAATGCCACAGCAATGCTACTTGCATTAACACAGTTGGATCATACATCTGTACATGTGTCTATGGATATGTTGGTGACGGAAAGAATTGCACGAGTAAGAAGTCTTAAGGTTTATCATCTATGTACAAGCAAGAACCTTTGTGTAGGGAAAACACTTTAAAAGGCAATTTCAATTCTCTATAGGGATAAATCTGTGTGAAGTAGGACTCACTGACTGCCACACTAATGCTACCTGTCTGGACAGAGATAGAGGCTATGACTGTGAATGTAATGATGGCTACACTGGCAATGGAACACACTGTGAAGGTAGGCTATATCTTCATCAATTCATCTCTAATCTGAACACTAATTATCCATATATATCATAGATGTCGATGAGTGTTCAACCGGAAATAACTATTGTCATATAAATGCTACTTGCACTAACACTGATGGAAGTTACTATTGCCAATGTCTTCCTGGTTTTCATGGGGATGGCTTCACTTGCACTAGTAAGGAAACAGGTTAGATATGGGCCCGTAAATGCTGGTGTGTTTTGAAGGCCTTAGAGTGATTCTCACCGAGTTTTTAGTCGTTTTGTATATACGCGGATCACGTGAGATTTCACCTGTGCCATTCCTATATAGAGCATCTACCGACGCTCTAATAGTTCAAAGAAGTTAAAAAAACTTCTAAGTAAGAAAAGTAGATGTAGCTGTACTAATCCAGGTTATAGCCAAGTGATCCCTTTACTACTTACCTTCACATCTAACTCCAGCTTCTTCAGATCTGTCACAGTTAGTGATGGTGGTGTAGCCACACTCTGTGAGGTTGCCCTCTCCTCCAGTACACACCACATTGTCAAAATGAAGGGGGATATAGGGATGGCTTGAAGCACCAAAAGGAAGAAGCCATTACACAGCAAAGATGCACAAAGCTACATGACGCCATCCCTACATCTTTGTTCGATATTAAACTTTGCAATAAAACAAAGATATAGGGATGGTGTCATGTAGCTTTGTGCATCTTTACAGTGTAATGACCCCTTGTTGCTTCCCTTTTTGGTGCTTCAAGCCATCCCTATAATTATCTCCCTTCATTTTGAAGAAATGATTTCCAGCTACGTATCTACAGGTAAAATGTTTCAGCAAGTAACAGAAATTGTTACGGTGTTGTCATAATTATTATGTATGATGTTAATTAAACACCTTTTAGACATAAATGAGTGTGAGCTGGACACAGACATCTGTGACAACAATGCAGAATGTACAAACACCATCGGTTCTTACAACTGTAGCTGTGAAATTGGTTATTCTGGCAATGGATTCAACTGTACAGGTACATATGTTTACCTTCAAGATAATAAATAATACTGTTTCCACAGATATTGATGAATGCTATGAAGGATCAGATCTGTGTGACTTGCATGCAGACTGTGCAAATACCATTGGCAGTCACGAATGTTCCTGCACAGTTGGATACACTGGGAACGGGATTACTTGTGGTAATTTGTACTATAGTACCTTTATTTTTTTATGGGGTATAAATAATACTCTTCTCTTACAGACTGCAGGGACGGGGAGGTTCTTCTGTATGACGGTAGTACACTCTCCACCAACCACTCCAATGGAACTGTACTGGTTTGTCTGGACAATGAGTATGGTACTGTGTGTGATGACTGGTGGGATCCTCTGGATGCCACTGTTGTGTGTACTCAGCTGGGATTCTCAGCCTCTGGTTTGTTCTCTTCTGTGTATCATTTGTGTATCTCTCCATCAATTCCACATCTTTCCCTCTCACAGGCTCTCTGCCAGTGGTCCGCTCTGGTCTGGGCAGTCCTCCAAACAGATCTATCTTCCTGGACAATGTGGTGTGTACTGGAGGAGAGGGCAACCTCACAGAGTGTGGCTACACCACCATCACCAACTGTGACAGATCTGAGGAAGCTGGAGTTAGATGTGAAAGTATGGAAATGTTTGTACAGGAAAAGTATGGTTAATTCTTGGGCTCTTTGTATAGGCACTTGTGTGGATGGCGATGTTAGACTTGCAATTGAGAACCTAACTGAGTTTTACACTTCAGTCACTGAGTACGAAGACTATTACTTCATAAAAGATGAATTGGCGAGGGGCAGAGTTGAAGTTTGCATCGGGGGAAGATATGGTACAGTCTGTGACAAATCCTGGGATTTTGAGGATGCATCTGTTTTCTGTTCACAGCTTGGATTTTCATCCAATGGTAATGTTTGTTATCACATTTACAGTATATTAATCTGTATTTGAAAAGGAGCAATTGCAATCATTGGAGGTCAATTCAGTAATGCCTCAGTCTCAGTTGTGATTGGCAGAGTAGAGTGTGTTGGCAATGAGACTGGCCTGCTAGACTGTTCTCATGTAACAGAGGCTCACGAGGAAGTGATACACTGTGACCCTATTAAAGTTGCAGCAATCACCTGTAATGGTATGTCGTTCATTTCTGAAACTTTTGCATCGACAACTGTTTGTGTTTCGATAGATCTTTCTACTGCGCTTGCCGACTGTGTAACGGGGGAAGTAAGATTTGTAGACATATCGAACAACCCAGAAGAGGATTCTCGACAGGGAACTATCCAGATCTGTGTCAACAATGCATGGGGTTCTGTGTGCAGTGATGACTTCTTTGACAATACTGATGCTGCAGCCTTTTGCAAGCAACTTCCAGGATTTTCACCTGATGGTAGTGGCTTTCATACACGGCTACTTGGAAAAACTAATCTTTTCAATGACAGGTGCCTCTGAACATCAGGCGGCTGCTATAACCACCAGCTCAGGTCCCCTGTTCTTCAGTTCTCTTGAGTGCACTGAGACAGACACATCACTGCTCCATGACTGCACTCAGGATGCACTTGGTCTGGCAACATGTGATGATGATTCTGGACTAGCAGTTGTTAAGTGCTTTGGTAATGATAAATTCAAATGTCTGTGAATTTGTTTACATTGACACATTATTGGCCAGATGCCAATGAGTGCTCTTCAAACACTGACACTGCTCTCAGAATTGCTCTGACACTCTCGGTAGCTACCAGTGTGTCTGCTATGATAGACACACTCTAGACTCTGACCAACACACTTGCAATGGTTAGGAGTGATGCATATCTTTGTGATAGTAATGGCACCATAATATTATCTCAATTAGACATTGATGAATGTATGGAGGGAGGAGCAAACTGCCATTCTAATGCCACTTGTACCAACACTGATGGCTCATACAACTGCACTTGTGTGTACGGATACATTGGAGATGGAGTAAACTGCACAAGTAAGGCTGTCATATAAATACTACTTGCACTAACACTGATGGAAGTTACTATTGCCAATGTCTTCCTGGTTTTCATGGGGATGGCTTCACTTGCACTAGTAAGGAAACAGGTAGATATGGGCCCGTAAATGCTGGAGTGATTCTCACCGAGTTTTTAGTCGTTTTGTATATACGCGGATCACGTGAGATTTCACCTGTGCCATTCCTATATAGAGCATCTACCGACGCTCTAATAGTTCAAAGAAGTTAAAAAAACTTCTAAGTAAGAAAAGTAGATGTAGCTGTACTAGATCATTACTAATCCAGGTTATAGCCAAGTGATCCCTTTACTACTTACCTTCACATCTAACTCCAGCTTCTTCAGATCTGTCGCAGTTAGTGATGGTGGTGTAGCCACACTCTGTGAGGTTGCCCTCTCCTCCAGTACACACCACATTGTCAAAATGAAGGGGGATATAGGGATGGCTTGAAGCACCAAAAAGGAAGAAGCAAGGGACCATTACACAGCAAAGATGCACAAAGACATGACGCCATCCCTATATCTTTGTTCGATATTAAACTTTACAATAAAACAAAGATATAGGGATGGTTTCATGTAGCTTTGTGCATCTTTGCAGTGTAATGACCCCTTATTGCTTCCTTTTTGGTGCTTCAAGCCTACCCTATAATAATCCTTCTTCATTTTGAAGAAGTGATATTTCCACTTGTCATCGCCCTATCTGCATAATCGCATTTATTTACCCTTGTACCACAGAAACCCTAGAAATCAAAGGCACCGCATGCGGCCGGCCGGTCGGCCATCTTCTTTGGCGTGAACCGCCGGCATTCGATGGGCGTGAAGGATAACCTGACTGCGCACTAAGACAACTCATTAGTATGCATGCCATGGTGTATGGTGTGCTGACTCAGCCATACACTCACATGTGGTGTATGAGCTCTCATACACCATGGCATGCAACTAATAAGTTGTCTTAGTGCGCATTCCTGTAGTACAAACCGGTTACACTACACCCACTCGCCGGTTTAGTGCATACACTACTCGTGCTGCGCACTCGTAGTGTATGTCGTCTCGTGGGCATAGTGTAACCTATATTTACACCTCTAAAAGCAACATAAATTTCTTCAGTCCCAGTGCTAACACCAACTATTATACGTTTTATAGCTCTCCCATCAGATTTATATGCACCTTTAAGCTCAAAATCTCTTCCTGTGCCAGATTCATCTTCAGTGACGTCACCATTTTATTCCATTTCATTACCAACTTTGTCTTCTTTTTTAACAACACTTGCTGTAACCCGTTTTCCTTCAGTGACAACATCTCCTACTACAAGCATGTTTACAATTCTGCCTTCGTCACATTTATTATCATCTGTATATTGCCATCCAGCCTAAATCATCTTTTGCTCTAACCTATATATGGATTATCATCTAGAATTATTGCCATCAAGCCTACACCATCTTTTGCTCTAACCCATTCATCGCCTTCCTTTACACCATTGCATCTGCTCCGCAACACCTCAGACAGCAGCATTGGTTCACCTTCATGTCCAATGGTAGTGCAGCATGAATTGTTATGTAGAAAAGCCGGCTAGGTATTGGGAGTGGCCGAGATCACGACGTGTGAATCTCCCTCTGGCAATGGGATTTTGCAGGTGGAAAAGTAAATGAAAGGGATGTAGGGATGGCCCAAAAGGAAAGAACAAGGGGTAATTAATAGGGATGGCTCAAAACACGGAAAAGGAAAGAACAAGGGGACATTACATTCATCAATAGAACAGAGATATATAGGGACGGTGTCATGTAGCTTTGTGTGGTGTAATGACCCCTTGTTCTATCCTTTCTCTTCGTTTTCAAGAAATGATTTTTCCACTTGTTTCCATGAGTAGCTATATACTACACATCATTTACTTTAATGTGAATAACAACACCTTTTTTCGATAAAGCCCTTTACTCAATTTTGATATTTCCACATGTTATATACAAAGATCCTGTCTTCACATCCCCAGGTGTGAAGACATCTTCTAGGGAAACAGCAGCAATAATTGGAGTTGGAGTGGCTGGGACTGTACTAGGAATCACTGCCATACTAGTGCTTGTGGTGCTTATTTACATCATCAAAAGAAGATACATCAAGTCGTGAGTTTGGCCGTGTATACGCTGCTTGAAAGATTTTTAAAACTTGCTCATTTTTCTGCTAAAGAGAATGTAGCAGCAGTATGTAAGGGATAAAACTGATAGGGCCTTAAGTTTTAGCAACGTTCCCTTTATTACAAAAAAAGTTGCAGAAGCCAGTCAAGGATCAACAATAATTTTCCCCTCCAAGAACTAACATTGATTCATGATACAGATACAGAAGGTTTGTTTTTTAACATTAACACTTTGATAATAGCTTATAATTAATAGCCTCGGTTCCCCACTCCCCCGGAATTCCTCGGAACGAGGCTAACATTATGACAGCAGAATCAGGGCTAGATGACTTGGGGTTTGTTAGTCTTCCTCCCACTGACATTCATAGTTGCTATAATATAGTCCTATCCATTACAGTGGTATAGAGAACGATAACATAGAACACCTCAAAACAGATCTCGATAGAAAAGGGATGATTGTCCCTAAGCAGCTTCTTGAACTTTCATCTGTTGTTGGACAAGGTATTATAACATTACTTTTTACATCATACATCAGAGTTTCTCTGTATATACAGGAGAGTCAGGTCTGGTGTATCGTGGCTATATTAACTATGCCTCTGGCAAAGAACTTGTTGCTGTGAAAACATGTAAAGGTATAATTGCAGCATGGTATGATATTAGAGTAGTTAGTGTTGTATTTATGAAACAGCCTTATCGTGGACAAGTGATATGGAGAGACTGATGAAAGAAGTATCTGTCATGTTCTCTTTCCGTCACTGTAATATAATGCCACTGATTGGAGTGTGCTTTGATAAAGGGGCTCCCCTAATAATTATGCCCTTTATGACGGGTGGAACTGTGTTGGAATATGTGAGACGACACAAAGAAAGCCTGCATTGCACATCTACCTCTGAAGTATGTGGTTAACACACACACACACGAGAGAGAGAGAGAGAGAGAGATTTCTTTGTGTAGGTGAAAACTGCCATGAACACGTGTCTGGGTATGTGTCTTCAAATCAGTAAGGGTATGGCATATCTTACTGACCAGAGATTTGTCCATCGTGACCTTGCAGCAAGGAACTGCATGTAATGTTTGGCACACATTACGAGCACCCTTTCAAAAATGACTTTTTGCAGGATTGATAGGAATGGTGTTGTTAAAGTGGCTGATTTTGGACTAACAGAAGATTTATACAAAACTAAATACCTCAGTGTCGAGGTAAGTGATGAGAGACTGCCAATCAGATGGATGGCCCCTGAAAGCATCGAGAGCAACATCTTTAACGAGAAAACTGATGTTGTAAGTATTAACAGGCCTTGCAGAAATCTACATAATCATTTTACTTATATATTATTATAGTGGTCATATGGAGTGACATGTTGGGAGATATTCACATGTGGAGGAGTACCTTATGCTGGTATTCATCCTATGATTGTTCTAAGAGAGGTCGGATCTGGCAAGAGATTAGAAAGGCCCAGTAACCTTGCCTGCTATGATGAGATGTAAGACCACGCACTTACATTATAGTATAATTATGTGTATTCATTTCTTAGTTGGGATATGATGGAATCATGTTGGGCAGGACATCCTATTCAACGACCAAAGTTTGTCAGTCTCACAAAACTGTCCTCTGGGCTCCTGGAAAAACACTCAGACTATACGAAACTGACTCATGTAATAATATAGAAAGCTGACTCTTATGGTTAGCTATATACTTATAACAATGTATGCAGTTATTATCTGTGGAGTTGTAGCTACACAAGTGGAAATCATTTTCTTCAGACGGATAATAATTATAGAGATGGCTCGAAGCACCAAAAAGGAAGGAACAAGGGTTTGTTAAAACGCAAAGACCACAAAAGCTATACCATCCCTATATCTTTTCTAAGAAAATGGTATGTCAAGAATGCTTTGAAAATGAATAGCTAATGAGGTTAATTTTGGGCTACACGCAGGTCTCTTAGCGATAAGATACCTGCGGTTAGGTGGCTTAGGTGGCTTAGTTCTAACAGGAGACCCTCCAGTTTACAGTACGCGCAGACCGGGGGGTCCAGGAGCGACGATCACGAGCTGAGACTGCTCAGACCTCGCCCTGACTCGAACAGTTGCGATGCTGCTAATAACAGTGATTCTCAGTCATCGTCGACGAAGTCTTAGACAGTGCCCAGTGTGGAATCGGGAGGCCTCTCCCCTGCCGGGCTACCGTCGAAAAGTTGAGGCGCCGCCGCTAATAGTCAGTACTTACCAGCATCGACGCAATCGTGGATTGCGCCCGGTATCGGCTTGGGAGAACTCTCCACCCCGGTGCTTTCTTCAAAGAGCTGCTACAAACCAAGGTTGAAAGCGGACGAACTGCAGCCAACCGTACGGCTATCCATTTTCTTAACAACTAAGACGGCAGATTGGAGTGTCTTCGTGGTTCTGCAGCCCGCGTGGTCGGTTGGAATGACGCAATAGAAACCTCGGCTCCGCCTCGGTTATTGCGCATTCCAACCTCCCTATCCCTCTTCAAATGATTTTTCCACTTGTTTATTTAAATGTGTGTAGAGAGGTTGACCATCAAACCCGAAAGCTTTAGAACCACGAAGACACTCCAATCTGCCGTCTTACCTATACTTGATAATTATTATTTTGCTATGAGTCTATAATGACAAAGATATAGGGACGGTATCATGTAGCTTTGTGTGTCTTTGCGTTTTAACAAACCCTTTCGAGCCATCCCTATAGCTATCCCTCTTCAAATGATTTTTCCACTTGTTTATTTAAATGTGTGTAGAGAGGTTGACCATCAAACCCGAAACCGTGTGTATCATTGCTTGCGGATATAAACGGACGCTGAAGCAGATAGAGCGGTAACATACACACAGACACACAGCTATAGCTACAGAGAAACAGACACAACAGTAACCCTCGCGCATGCGCGCCGAGTCAATAAATGAGTATTACAAAAAATAATACTTGTAACTAAACAACAACACATTCTTCAATGTAGTCCATAGCTCCAACTCCACCCGATCTTTTCAGGTGATGGACTGGCTACTAAACAGTCGAACCTACCACTAGTCATAGAGCCAATCTCCACCCACTGTCCATCCACTAGCTGATGAATGGAGTCGACTGCTGACCCAGATCGCCTGCCACCAATGAGTACTAGCCGTCCACAGAGAGTGGCAGCTGTTGAGTACGTCTCTCGCTGCTAGATGAGGGAGAGGTTTCCATGATATGAGGTGTGGTATTGACTGTGGTGGGATTGGTTTGTCACTGGATGGTAGAGCTGCAAGACAACACGAGTAGCCGTCACCATCACATCCTATCACATGTACTATATCACCACATAATATTGTGGCTGAAGGGTATAGTCGAGAGATTGTGGTAAGTCTGTTAGTTTGTACCATCTTCTGCTCTTCCACTTTAAATAGTTCAACTGTAGCAGTCGAACTACCACCACCATCAAGCCCTCCAATCACAATGAGGTATTCACCATCAGATTTACTAACTACAGCAGTGCTACAGCAGTGTTCATTGGAGGGTATTTCTCAACCCATTTCCTCTGTTGTAGTGTGTATAGTTTGTATAAGATTCCTCCACAGCAGTTATATAGCTCCCTGTCAACAATGACTAGTCCAGAGTTTTGATATGGACATGAAGGAAGTTCCTCGCATTTATCAGTACTACATTCATATTGGTAGACTGAGTTGGAGCCAAGTGGGGTGAAGTATGCAAATTGACCATCAGTTGTTACAGATCCTCTCCTCATTCTAAATGGTGCTGTCTTCTTATGATGACACTGCACAGTGAGCTGAGGGGAGATCACATGACATGTAATGACATCATAATCATGAATGGCATCCATCACATGACTCACATAATATAATTATAAAAATCAAAATCCACAAAACGGGCAACATTAATTAATAGGCATGGCTTCAATTTCGATCGATCATCATTATCCCAATATAAATTTTTTCACTTTTACATATTTGTGACACATTAAAAGGCATCGCTAGCTCCTGTCATGATAGTGAAAGTGTGAACAAATATTTCATGTGCAAACTTTTCTTTGACTGGTGTGGAATGTGGTACAGCTGATGGTAGAAGACTATAGACTGGGTCTGGGAGGGTGGAGTAACAAATAGCAGTATTCACAGGCAGTGGATTTTTTTGGAGGCGCAGATGGCTCCAGGCACGGCCACCTCCTCCACGCTGCCGTAGGCTCCGGCGCCGATTCTGATGCCAGTGAGTCGCACGTTGGGGAGGACGAACGGCCGCAGCTCTGGATACTCGGCGAGAAGGCCTTCCGCGGCCATTTCTCGTGCTGTGGGTCACGACAGTCTGATCTTGCTGGTCTCTCAGTAGCCACGGTTCAAGATGAAGATGACGACCAGGGCCCCAGCTCTCTGCGCTGGGTCCGGGTGTGTGTGTGTGTGTGGGTCGCGCCCCAAAAATGTTATAACAACGTGCGCATGCGTGCGTCCTGTTAGTGGGAATGCTGATTGATACACAGAACGAAGATGAACCACCATTGTAAGTAACTTTGTATATGGACAACGCAAAAACCATATCCCCTCTGTTAAAAAAACTTCGAGCCTGCCGATGCACATTTCTCTGCTCCCACTTCCTCCCTCCCTTTCTTACCTTTCTTTCCCTCTCCCTTCTCCCAATCCCTCCCTCTCTCTAAGGTCATCCACCCAGCTCAGGTGCCAGTGGTTCAGGAAGCCTTCTCTCCCAGTGAGGAGAGGGTGGAGTGGGCCTCACGTCTCATTTCTTCCTTCAACCACCACCAACACTCTGGACAGGTCAGTCTGCTACACTACATGTAGTGTCCTGGGTGTCGTTGATTTGTTGCTTTTCACTTGTTTTGCCTTTCATACCTCACTTATGATTCATCTCTACTGCTGCCTTCGTGAGCTTACTGTATATACCAAGCCTTGATCCTGGATCACTTCCCTTCCCCAGCTATGTACACTCGCCCAACTTTCGCGACAAACAGGAGGGATGAGGAAGTTAAACTTCCTATACAAGTGACAGAATTACACTTCCTATGAGTGACTAATTGAAATTCCTTAGCATGCGCGACACTAGTGTATGTACCACACATATTGCTCCTAGTTTATAAGGCTATTGGCAATAAATCATGACTAGGTTGTCTCGCTCCCACTCACCAAATAACCCTTGTGTATTATATTATTTAACCCCTCTGTTCCACAGGGGGCATTTGTGTACGAAGGTCACATGATTGACAGACCGCTACTACTGCAGGCCCAGTCTCCATGGCAACGTCCTTAACCAATCTTCAATTCATTTTGTGTGCAGAAGTTATGGAAGAATATTATTGTAACAGCCAGCGCATAATAAGAATTCAACTTGTTATAATTATACTGTACAATGAAAATATACTTGTAACTAAACAACAACACATTCTTCAACACCGTACAGTGCTCCATATCCACTCACTATGATGATCTTGTCAGGTGATGGACTGGCTACTAAACAGTGGCTCCTACCACTATCCATAGAGCAAATCTCCACCCACTGTCCATCCACTAGCTGGTGAATGGAGTTGACTTTTGACCCAGATCGATTGCCACCAATGAGTACTAGCTGTCCCCAGAGAGTGGCAGCTGTTGAGCCTGTCAGTGGGAGAGGAGGGAGAGGTTTCCATGATATGAGGTGTGGTATTGACTTTGGTGGGATTGGTTTGTCACTGGATGGTAGAGCTGCAAGACAACACGAGAGTAGCCATCATCACCACCTCCTAACACATTCAACTCATCACCACATATTGTGGCTGAAGGGTAGTCGAGATTTTGTGGTAAGTCTGTTAGTTGGTACCATCTTTTGCCCTTCACCTGAAATAGTTCAACTTTAGCAGTACAAGTAACACCACCTCCAATCACAATGAGGTATTCACTATCAGATGTAGTAACTACAGCAGTGTAGGAATGTGCAGTGTTCATTGGAGTGTATTTCTCAACCCATTTCCTCTGTCGTAGTGTGTATAGTTTGTTAGTATAACGAGGTCCATCCCGTCCCCCCATAGCAGTTAGTTCCCTGTCAATAAAGACTAGTCCAGAGTTCTTATGTGGACATGAAGGAAGTTCCTCCCATTTCTCTGTACTACATTCATATTGGTAGACTGACTTGGAGTCACGTGGGGTGAAGTATGAAAATCGACCATCAGTTGTTGAAGATCCTCTGACCATTCCACATGGTGCTGTATTCTTACGATGACACTGCACAGTGAGCTGAGGGGAGATCAAAATTAATTTTTCACCTGTGACGCATCGCTGGCTCCTGTCAAGTGTGAACAAATATTTAATGTGCAAACCTTTCTTGGTTTAATATTGACTGGTGTGGAATTTGGTACAGCTGTTGGTAGAAGACTAGACTTGGTCTGTGAGGGTGGAGTAACAAATAGCAGTATTCACAGGCAGTGGATAAGAGATAATATCTAAGATTATTGGAAGTGTATACACAAGTCAGAAGGTGAATGATTACAGGTTGAGATATATACAGCTGTTGCTAGACAACCAGACTGAGTCTGAGAGGAATGTGTGGAGTAAACTATTCACAGACAGTAAGACTCACCTTTGTCCTCTGAGTGGCTCTGAGTCTCTCTGCTGGAGGGTCTTCTGGAAGTCAGCCACTAGAGCCTCACTTGATCGCAGCAGTTCCTCCTGCAGTCTGGAGAACCTCTAGTCACAAAACATGACACATCCTGCAGTTATCACTATTCACCTTCTGTCTCAGTTGGTGCTGAGTCTCAGCTAACTCTGCTTGAAGCTGCTGCTGTTCTCTCCTGATAGTCTCCTCTGCTCTTGTCAGCTCTGCTCCTTGTCTAGCTAACTCTTCCTCCTAAAATCAGAAACACAAAGTCATCACCTACTTAGGAACATGGCAAATTTACCTTCTGTCTCAGTTGGTGCTGAGTCTCAGCTAACTCTGCTTGAAGCTGCTGCCGTTCTCTCCAAGTTCAAGTTGCAGAGACCACAGCATTACGGCACACACACTCCCTCACCTGGTTCCTGGGCTGTGTCTGAGCAGCTTGCACCTCTTCCCATCCGCTGTCTCTGGCTCCAGCTCTGGCATCCTCCAACAGATGCAACACCTCACGAATATTCGGGCGTTTGTGAGGACCGGTGTGCAGGCATTGCTGGATCAGCCGAATGAGAGGGTGGTCCCCACAGAGCTGACTGCTGGCATGGAGTTGCTCGCTCACATGTCGCATGTACTCATCACGTCGCTGCAATTCACTGCAACCCATAACTACCCCAGTTTCTTTCATCGAGATAGGTTGCAGCAACGGGATCGCAGGGGAAGACTTCACCGATTGTGAAAATGGCAACTACTCCAGGAGAGAAGACATCGATACTGGCATCGTACTTTGAATTTTGGGCATTCGATTTAGCAGGAGCATCTTCTTTCCCTCACTTCCTTCTCCCAATCCTTCCCTCTCTCTAAGGTCATCCACCCAGCTAATGTGCCAGTTGTTCGGAAAGCCTTCTCTCCCAGTGAGGAGAGGGTGGATTGGGCCTAACGTCTCATTTCTTCCTTCAACCACCACCAACACTCTGGACCCGTGAGTCTGCTACACTACATCAGTGTCCTGGTTGTCGTTGATTTGTTTCTTTTCACTTGCTTTTGCCTTTCATACCTCACGTATGATTCATCTATACTGCTGCCTTCGTGACCTTGCTGTTGCTTCGTTTCCAGGTCTCGGATACTTGACAACTTGCCTCACCCAGGCACAATAATTTCTAGTACCCATACCCGATCACTCTCCAAACTTTGCCAACAAATAAGGGAATAAACAAGTTAAACTTCCTGCGAGTGACTAATTACATACGTGATGTTAATTTACGTACACAAGAATATTGCTCCAGGATAATGTCTCTAGTGCATTAAGGCCTGGGTGCATAAAAATCATGGAAAATTTCAGATTTTTGTTTGTTTTGAGAGTGTCACATTACCTTTTACTTTCAAACTTGGTAACGTGATAAAACTCATAGGTCTTAACTCCCTTAACAAATTGTGACCACGCCCACATTATTTGTTTGTTTGTTTACATGTAATTCGTATATGCGTTTAGGCGGATTGCTTACACTTCGAATTAAGAATTCATCTTGAGCTCAGAGAAACAAGTACATACTAAAGTAAATCTTTATCCAACGGGGAAATGAAAAAAACTAATAACGCGTCGATAACGAACTAAAATATCGAAACCGCGCCCAGTTTTACGATAAAAACGGGCCCTGCATCTAAAACTGTCAAGTTGCTCACCTTCCCCGTTGGATAAACAGTCAGAGGACTTTGCGTTTGTCTTTCTTAACTAAAAAAGTAGCTATAGACTAGGCGGAACCCTTCCGCCTAAGCGAAAACAGTTGTGAAAAACTTACTACCCGTCCGCGTTCCGCGCATGCGCATATTCGTAAAATGACGTCCGTACATGGCGTTATTCCGTATATTTTCCGTGAAACGTTACTACGGGGGCGTGGTTACGTGATTCCGTCCAGCTTCCGGTTTGCTGCTCGCGGACAGGCCTTAACGCACCAGAGGTGCTCGGCACCATTCAAAACTACTAGGTTGTCTCGCTCCCACTCACCAATAGACCCTTGTGAATTATATTGTTTAACCCCTCTGTTCCACAGGGGGCATTTGTGTACGAAGGTCACATGATTGACAGACTGTTATATACTATTGCAGGCACAGTTAAAAACTAGGGGGGCTTCAGCCCCCCACAGCGCCTATGACCTTGTTATGCCAACATCTGCAACCGAGATTGTATTAAAATAGACAAGCAGACCACCTCCCTCACAAAGGAGACTAAGGCCCCCTTCCACCATTATACCAGGCTCTATAGTCAGACTATGACATTCCACCCCACACCACGTTCCATCACCCATTAGCTACCTGTTGTCTCACTTACTCTAACAACTATGGAGGACCTCAGAGGCAGGGTAACAATGAGAATACTCAGCCTTCTAATCGGCTTTGTCAGACATCTCAGCCGATTTGAAGGCGGAGTACTCCCATTGCTACTTGTGGAGGCGTAGCGATAGGATACAAGCAAATAAATTCTTCGAATTAAGAATATTATAGGGATGCCATAAAAAGCAAGGAGACAAGACAGGGATGACCTAGTGCATGTGATGCAGTATTAGATCCCGGTGATTGGAAATCGCGCAATTTCATTGGTCCAAACGCGGGATCTATTTTCCGTAGATCCCGCTGCCCCGGACGACGGGATCTATTGGGGAGCGAGCGTGAAGACGCGATAGGTAAGAGACTCGAGCGAGGTTTCAGCTACCAGCGGCGAGCCAGAAACGGTAGGAGAAAGCTACAGCACTCCCTAGCTCGTCGTCCGCCGCGCTTCGCGGAAAAGGGCCCCGCCCACTCTACGCGCACGTATGTTCGAGGATTGGCTCGCGGCGAGCATGAGTTCCTTCTCGGAGTCTTCCTGGTCTAAACAAGATAGTATCTCGTCGCTGAACAGCTCGCCTGGCGTGGCCATATCTTCGCAAAACAGTTTGAATGGATCTAAACCGGTTAGACGCGTCGCCACGGTAACTACGCGTGGTAGAGTGCCTCGGGCTCCCTAGTAGCGCCCTCGCTGCGCTCGGGACGCCGACAGCTCGGGAGCCCTCGGCACTCTACCACGCGTAGTCACCTCGGCTCCGCATCTAAATATAGGTTAGATGCGGAGCCGAGGTGACTACGCGTGGTAGAGTGCCGAGGGCTCCCGAGCTGTTGGCGTCCCGAGCGCAGCGAGGGCGCTACTAGGGAGCCCGAGGCACTCTACCACGCGTAGTTACCGTGGCGACGCGTCTAACCGGTTTAGATCCATTGAAACTGTTTACGAAGATATGGCCGCGCCAGGCGAGCTGTTACTATCTTGTCTAGACCAGGAAGACTCCGAGAAGGAACTCGACATACTCATACTTGCCGCGAGCCAATCCTCGAACGCTCTGGCAGATACGTGCGCGTAGAGTGGGCGGAGCCCTTTTCCGCGAAGCGCGGCGGACGACGAGGGAATGCTGTAGCTTTCGCCTACCGTTTCTGGCTCGCCGCTGGTAGCTGAAACCTCGCTCGAGTCTCTCTTCACGCTCGCTCCCCAATAGATCCCGTCGTCCGGGGCAGCGGGATCTACGGAAAATAGATCCCGCGTTTGGACCAATGAAATTGCGCGATTTCAAATCACCGGGATCTAACCTATATGTAGCAATGGACAATGGCTACATACTTTGAACTGACATCGCTTGCTCGTGTAAAATATCTTCCACACAAGCCCTATATATTATGGTTGCAAAGTATGAGTGTGCTCCCTTGTATGATGCACAGCTATGATTTATTTTATAAGCACATTAGACAGGTAATACTATCTGCTCGGTTTTCAGTTGTGACTGCATTGTGTGAAGTCTAAGACTTCTACACATTTGCTCAACTAACCAGTTTTATATACAATGCTGAGTTCTTGGCCATCTACATACAGAATCCTTTCACCATTGTCCTCGCACTTCACTAAACAAACAGTAAAGGTGGCGACAATTATAGGGCTTGTGTGGAGGAAATTTTACAGGAGCAAGCGATGTCAGTTCAAAGTATGTAGCCATCATCCATTGTACAACTGCATCACGTTCACTAGGTCATCCCTGTCTTGTCTCCTTGCTTTTTTATGACATCCCTATATTCCACACTTTTTTATTTCTAAGAATTTTATTTACTTGTCTCCTTTACTTTTTTTACTGCATTCACATGCATGGTGTGCAATAAAAAGTTGGGCATAAGCCCATAAAAAAGTAACATTAGTGGCTTTAGCTATTGCCTCGATGTTTTGTCGTCATTCACATTACATCAGTGCACCAACTTTCATTGTTAGAGGACCCATCATAAGCAAGTTATAGGCACTGACACCATTTATAAGTCTTTTTTTGTCTCAGGCTGTTTGTTGTTGTTTAAAACCTTGTAATTTCTGTTTCGATGAACGACTCAGTGTACCATTGTTAGAGGACCAACCATATAGGGTGAGGCTCGGGGTGAGGGGGAGGAGCCTCAGGGATTGAAGATCTAGGAGGGTCGACGCGTCTCCCCCGACCCGCTCTAGTTCACACAAAAGATTATGGCTGAGTTTATTCGAGGTCATCCCGAGTTGCAGCCATTCGTGCTCTCCAATGTACGCCTGACTGGTACCACAATCGGTGCAGGAGCCTACGGCAGCGTGGAGGAGGTCGCCGTGCCTGGAGCCATCTGCGCCGCTAAAAAGATCCACGACTTCTTCCTGGACGCTGCCCAAGTTACATCTGCTGCTGTCCAGAAGGCTACGACGCAATTCGTGGCGGAATGTCAGCTGATGAGCACTCTCCGCCACCCGAACGTCGTCCAGTTTCTGGGCTTGTGTTTCATGCCCGGCTCGCGCCTGCCAGCCATCGTCATGGAGCGACTACTGACGAGCCTTCACGACTTGCTGGACCCAGAAACTTACCCTCCACCCCCGCCCGATGCGCCAAAGCCCTTCTTCCCGCTGAACCTGAAGTGTTCGGTTCTTCACAACGTGGCGAGCGGTATAACCTACCTCCACGAGCGATCGCCGCCCATCATACACCGCGACTTGTCGGCCAGAAACGTTCTCCTAAACTCGGGGATGGTGGCCAAGATAGCGGACCTGGGAGTGGCTCGGATCGTGCCTCGAATGAGAATTGCAGCCACCATGACAAAGGCACCTGGTGCAGGCGTCTACATGCCTCCAGAGGCTCTGGAAGACCGACCTCAAGATGAAGAAGTATCGAAAGCAAAATATGGTGCAAGCATCGATATTTTCTCGTTTGGAGTCGTGGCTATTTTCACACTCTCGCAGACCTTCCCTAGCAGTTTACTGCCTACTGCCTATCGCGAGCGTGGCCGTTTGCTTGCTAGAACTGAGCTTGAGCGACGAGAGAGGTACACGAGGATGATCTACAGTCAGCTACGCGAGAAGCATCCTCTCCTCCAGATGATTGAGGGGTGTCTGGACTTCCCTGAAGACCGGCCGAGCATTCGCGAGGTGCTGCGTTTGTTGGAGGAGGCCAGAGCTGAAGTGAGAGACGAGCAGACAGACATGAACAAACTGGAGCTGTTGCAAGCTCTTCAGACACAACGCGGGAACCAGGTGAGAGGGTCTGTGTATAGTGAGGGTGTGTTGAAAATTGGCTTGTGTTTGTACGTAGCAGAATGTTGAGCTATTGGGACAGCTGAGGAGAGCGGAAACTGAGTTAGCCGAGGCCCAGGGACAACTGAGACAAAAGGTGAATCACATATAAGCATGTTTGTCAACAAAAGTCCAACATTCTCTGACTATAGGAGGAACAACTGCAGTCTGGCGAGAGAGAGCATTTTGAAGAAATGATTTTTCCACTTGTATATCTGTGGCGGGAACAGTGTAGATACACCAATGGAAAATGTGCCCATAGTAGTTTGCAAAAAAATAGGGCTGTCATCTTCTCTGTTTTCAGCTGTTTCATGTGTACCTTAACACGGCATCACACCAGCCTTTTCTGAATTAGTAGGTGCAAAATGCACAAATGTATATAGGTAGTCTGTTGCATGCTAAAGTTAAAGTGCCAATTACATTCCATTTTGTGTGTGTGTGTGTGTGTGTGTGTGGTGAGTAGGCCATACTCACTGTAATGACAATTGACTGTTGGTTTGATATTACAAGAGCCAACTGTAGTTGCATATCAGATGACAAACTGCATTCCTGAGATGTGAATGTATACTTTAGCTGAGTGTGCAGTGGGGCCACAAGAAGAGGGCACCATGTGACATGTCTAGGGGCTCTGCGACAACCGACGGCCGGTTTGCCTATTTTACACCGTCTGGTTCTGCCTCGGTCTACCGATACGAGTGGGATTCGGAGAAATGGAGCCAACTTCCTTCGTGTCCTTCTCTTGACTCTGGTTTAGTTATCATTGACCGGGAGCTGACTGCTGTGGGGGGATATGCTGTAACTGATTCCACTTGGCCGAGAATGGTTTCTACTGACAAACTGCACACACTACGACTGTGGAGATGGGTTGAAAAACATCCTCCAATGAACACTGCACACATCTCTCCTGCTGTAGTTAGTACACCCGAATACCTCATTGTGATTGGGGGAGGCAGCCATACGATCCATTCATTTCAACCATCTGAATGGATTTGTACAGTTGAGCTTTACCATTTGAAGACGCGAAGCTGGTACTGTCTGACAAGTTTACCACAGCCTCTCACCCTCCCTTCAGCCACGATATGCGGTGACCAGTTGAATGTGATAGGAGATTACACCGAGGGCTACACGTGCTCTCTCCAAGCCCTACCGCACGGTGGCAAACCGATCCCATCGTCTCTCGCCCTCTCCTGGAAACCTCTCCCTCCTCTCTGTGGACAGCTTGTCATCTTTCGAGGCGGCTCTTCAGTCAACTCAATTCACCAGCTTGTGGGACAGACAGTGGGTGGAGATTAGCTCTATCGGTTATAGTAGGTTGGGTTGCTTAGTGGCCAACCGATCCCCGGAGGAAGTTGTCATAGTTGGTGGGTGTGGTGTCGTGAATGGCAGACTGTAAATACCGTTGAGAAATGTATCATCACAAAATATTTTTTCACCTGTCAATCACTTCTGTAACCGGCCTATTGATGTATGACGATATCATCTTGTATATACCTTGTTGTCTGTATTTTTTATATTCTCTATAATTATGTAATGATATCCGATTCTTATACAATGCGCAGGCACGAACGTCACATGTAGCAGCTGAAAGAAAGATCACGTTGAATGATCACGCATGAAATCCACAAAAATGTTTTATGAAAGCTCAATAATTATTATTATAGGCCGGGTAATGCGGTGCTGCGAACTCCGCCCACACAGCTTTTTCTGGATCTGGGGTTTTACATGTTCAGTCAGCATTGAAACTCATGGAGTGATGTCTTTTCAAACAGGTCCAAGCTTGTCGCTCTCAAAAAGAATTCTTTAATTAGTGATGACGGCCTAGTTGTGTGAATCAATCAGGTTGAAAAACAGAGCTAAGAACTGAAGTGCAAACCCTCGGCGCACTGTGACGCGCACGCGTACTAATAATAATACTCAGGTGGCTGCCATAGCACTAGAGCCATAGACCACGCACCCAGAGCAATGGGTGGAACCGTTAACAAACGAACATACACCATATGAACATGCGGTGTCTGTCTCACCTCCCAGGCACCTCAACTCACCCCTTCCACCAGTGACACCCTGCAGCTCCCCAGACGCAATCTAATGCGCGGTATACCACAAATTGATGGGCTGGGTTTAGTTACTCGTGGTCGTCTCTTGCCAGCTCGCGCAGAGTCTGACGCGGGCTAGCTACACTACTAGATAGTATGTGAGAGGCGATACACGCCCTGCGTTGCATCTCCTGGTGCTCTGCGTTGCATCTTCTGGTGCCTCCGAGGTGTGTGTCCGTTGTGTACTTTGCACATTTTTGGGGACAATCATGATACAATGTCTCCATCGAAAAACACCCCCCTTGAACAACAATAGACTTAGGGTGCTATAAGGTGATGATGAAATGAACTATAATTATGTGAAAGTGATCACCAAAGTTAATGCAAGTCTACTTGGTGTTGTGTTGTTTGATGTGTGCCTTCAACTTGGGAAAGTTGGACTGTTCTTCCCCACACACATGGCATCTCAGTGGCATCTTTAGCAGGGAGTCACACTTGGCCTTGTCAAACAGGTAGGCCTGTGCTATTGGCCTTGGCGCGCATGCGCATCGAGCGTTACGGACGACGTACCCTGGCCATAAGTAACAGCAGTGACCACCCCTTGACTATACCAGTGGAAATGCTTGGCATTCCTTAGGCGAGCGGAGCGAGCCGTAAGCGCAAGTATAATTGGCGAGCGGGAGCGAGCTAACCTAGTGGTTCAAACGGCGCGATTTTTCTATTTATTGGCGAGCGTAAGCGAGCTAACCTAGTGGTCCGAACGGCGCGATTTTTCTATATTTTATCTACGACCGTACGTCGTCCAACTACGCATGCTCCAGGATTACGCGCTTCTTTTTATCCGAAAGGATTTCAAAATTTCACATGCTGCCTGCCTGATGATGTCGTGCGTATACATGTGCATATAGTCCGGGGAAGATGCCCTTCGTCGTCGAAGAGAGTGGGACAGAGAACATCGTGCCCGTGAGACTCATGAGCAGAGAGGCTCGTTTGTATCAGCGTCGCTTTCGTGATAGGGAACGCGCAAATTTTTACACGCTGCCTATAGCTGTCATATCGTATAGCCAGCCAAACAACTCTCGTCTATTTGCTGGCATTCGTCGATACCTGACCGCGGCTGTCTATACCTCCTTCCAATCTTCGTGATACTAAGGTTCAAGTTGTAGGATGGCTCGTGCAGATAGAGTCATTGTGTGCTCGCTCCCGCTCGCCATGCATTCGCCTACTAGTTTATATATACTAGTAGGCGAATGCATGGCATTTTTGGCGAGCGGGAGCGAGCACACAATGACTGTATCTGCATTAGCCATCCTAGCCTATTTACAACTTGAACCTTAGAACCACGAAGATTGGAAAGAGGTATAATTATACAGCCTCGGTCAGGTATTGAAGAGCGCAGCGAATATATAGACGAGAGTTCTTTCGCTGAGATTTCCCATCGATACGACAGCTAGGCAGCGTGTAAAGAATATGCGCGTTCCCTGCTCAGGAGTCTCACTGACACGATGTTCTCTTTCCCTCTCTCTTCGACGACGAATGGCATCCTGATGCGAGAGTACGGAGCTACACACACATCAGGCAGCATGTGAAATTTTGAAATCCTTTCGGATAAAAAGAAGCGCGGAATCCTGGAGCATGCGCACTTACACGACGTACGCGGTCGATCGGTCGTATACAAAAAATAAATATATAATTATATGAGGAAAATTCCGCGCCATTCGTACCACTAGGTTAGCTCGCTCCCGCTCGGCAATTATATATACGACGACCGACCGTACGTAGTGTAAGTGCGCATGCGCGGCTTCGTTACGCGTTTCTTTTTATCCGAAATCATTTCCAATTTTTTTAAATGTGCTACCTGCGCATGCGTCAGGATAACGCTCTACTACACGCTGCTATGATGGCTCGTGCAGATACAGTCATTGTGTGCTCGCTCCCGCTCGCCAAAAATGCCATGCATTCGCCTACTAGTGCAATTACTAGTGATAATGACCCTCGGCGAACTGCGCATGCGCTGTACCGCTAATGTACGGACCCGCAGTCTCCCGCTAGTAGCTGGCGGAGAGTCTGACACGGGCTAGCTACGGTAGTAGATAGTATGCGGGAGTCGATACACGCCCTTCGCTGTGGCTTCTTGTGCCTCCAAAGTTCACAGAGCAAGCGGATCAAGTCGGGGTGATCCGCGTTGATCGCGTCCAATATACGCATGCGCACCGCTTATTGATGGGTTGGGCCACGGAACACGATCCGCGACGGTGCCAGTTTGTCGCTCTCGAACGCAGTCGTTTCAGGAAAAACCGTTCGATTAAACTGGTTCTTATTACCCGTTTATAACATCGTATCGTTTGTGGGACGAATAAACCATCGAGAAGTGAGTTGGAGCATGGACAGACAGACTGACAAACCCAACTACCGTAACCCTCGCTGCGCATGCTACGTACCCACAGGTAAAATGTTTCAGCTAGTAACAGAAGTTTTTATTGATGTTGCTTATCATAATTATTATGTTGAAACTACCAGAAAAAAGGTAGCTCGGAACGGTAATGTGTAGTCCGACGTTGTCTTGCCCGCTCTCCATCTCTAAATCGTCACTGAAAAAAGGAGCCTCTCTGTCGTGAGGACTTTCGACGGCCGGGCATTCTGTCTGTCTACCTCTTTGAACAGAAGCAGTGTCGTTGCCTTGCCCGCTCTCGATCTCGTAAACGTCACTGAAAAAGACGAGCCTCTCGGCCGTGAGGACTTTCGACGGCCGGGCGTTCTGTCTCTTTGAACAGAAGCAGTGTCGTTGCCTTGCCCGCTCTCGGTCTCGTAATCGTCACTGAAAAAGGCGAGCCTCTCGGTCGTGAGGACTTTCGACGGCCGGGCGTTCTGTCTCTACCTCTGTGAACGAATATCGGGCCCCGCCCAATATTAGTTGAAGCGCGTAATATCTGCGCATACGCATAACTACGACGGACGGTGCGTCGTATATAATTAAAATTCCACCCGAAGAAACCACTAGGGGGGCTCGCTCCGCTCGCCCAATTATCTTTTGCTGCGCATGGGCGTTAGTTCTATCAGTGCTTATTTATAAGGTCTACAGTACGAAGAAAACTGCAGTTGAGTGCTTTTGTATTAGCTACCTGCTCCGTTTTTGAAGTACAAATGGCGGTAAAAATGCACCGTCTCATGCTTCATGCCAGTTTTTGTCTTCTTTTTGGTAAAACACGATGGTTATGCAAGTTCGTACCATTCTGAATATTTTATAGTTACAGCAAACGCTGAAGACTGCAGTACAGAAGGAAATGTGAGGTTAGTTTCAGCTGATGGCGTTGCCGAAAATGAAGGCAGGGTTGAAGTCTGCGTAAACGGAGTGTGGGGCACTGTATGCGACGATCGCTGGGGTGCATCTGACGCCCGTGTTGTATGCCATCAGTTGGGACTAGTGGCTGATTGTGAGTGCGAGTGCGGTACGATAATAATTATATTTAATTATAGCTGAACCTCTATTTCTACTAGATGCTGATGCCATATATCGCTACAATCCTGGGTCTGGCCCGATTCATTTTTCTGGATTTCATTGTTTTGGTAACGAGAACCGCCTTTTTGACTGTGCCATTGAGCAAAATTCCAAGAATGTGACACTTTGTGGGCACAATCAGGACGCTGGAGTAAGGTGTCCTAGAGGTATGATTTTAGATGGGGTTTCCGTGTTAGAGTTATTAGTTTGGACATGATATTTTCCGGAGTATGGACACTTCAGTACGTTGCGCATGCATAAGTTTCTGAACTAGGTAAGCCGGTAACATAAATCTTGTCCATTCACTAAACACTGTTCGGACTGATGCTAAGTAGCTAATAATTGATTAACAGCAACAATAGGTTGTAAAGACAAAACATTCGGGCATGGGGCAACCATTCTTTGAATCTTCGTCAAGATTGAGAGTGCAGCTGGACTCCACATTTCGAAGCTCTCTTCCACACCAAATCCCAACTGACCCAGAAGTGTTTTTTCCGCGGGTTTGGTTCAATGATGTATCAAAATAATGTGACCTGCTACGGGAAAAGGGCCCATTTGATGCGGAGAATTTTTTTGTGTCGAAATGTAAGAGAAGATTCGCTCTACATGGTGCTATAAGCGCTTCAAAAATAGCACATGGCAAGATATAGATGGAAATGCACGAGAACGCATTCCGCGTCTATAATTATCATTAATATTTTTTGCGCAACAATGTAGGTAAGTATGCGTATATTTTGTTCCTATCGAGTTTTTAAAAAGCCAAGAGTATATAAACCCAGCGCGCTATTTTTTACTCCTACCGCACAATTACAACTCCGCGTCAAATGGGCCCTTTTCCTGTAGCGGGTCACACTTTTTTACCCTCGTCCAAGCGCCAGACCCCTATATAAGCATCGTCTTAGAAATCACATATTTGTGCTTCTTAAGCTCTAAACATAATATAAAAAATTTCATGCTTTAACACTCTCTAAAGCAGATGCTTATATTAGTTCCTTGCAGAGATAATGACGTTCGACTCAATGGTGGTAACGTAGTCCAGGTGTGTTTCAATCAGCAGTGGGGCCTTGTGTGTGAGCATTTATACAGCTGGTCTTCAATTGATGCTGGAGTTGTGTGTGATCAAGTTGGAATTCATTCTCAACGTTAGTTTAAATCCTGTTGTTGTATTGTTACAGATCATACCTCTTCATAATTCTAGTTCCCCGTGCTGCTCGTAGACCAAGACAGCCATATGATGCCTCTGTCGTACTAAGCGGAGTTCGTTGTACTGGATCAGAAACAAGACTCACTAATTGCAGTGTTATGCAAAGAGATGACTTTGATGCATGCGAATATGTTGCTGTTGCTCAGTGTGAAGGTATAGCCACATAGCTAACAAAACAACCTGTTTAAACAAAGGCCATATTTTGTATAAAATGCGCACTTAGCAAGGATATATTGCCTCTCTAGCAACAACAGTTGTCACAAGTGTTGAAAAGACAACCACTAGCATGGTTTCTTTAAAGAAAAATAAATAGACACTATACCTTAAGATTGGTGTCTGTCATCACTAGCTATAACTGCAAAAACACCCCTGTGAATAAACACCTATATAATACTTGTAGTGTTTTTACATGTTAGAAACAAAAATTGCAGTGAAATATATGTTGCACAGTGGTGCCAATTTTGTGCCAATACACATATCTAGTGCTTAATTCTTTATGGGGAAGAAATTGCTTTTCTGCTGTGATGCCAAATTGCGACAAAAGTGTAAAGCATTATGTGAGAAACGATTAAAATCAGATGTTCTCCCGCTGTTGAATATGCACTCTCTGGTGGAATATTAGTCTTAGTCTAGAGGAAGGAGATTGGGTACATGCATGAAGGTACTTCCACATGAATAGTGGCATGAAGAAAATTTAATGATGGCTTTGTGATTGAGTAGCTAAATGTGTGTCAACTCTACTCAGTATATTATACCAAGAAGTAGGTGGTTGAATAAAGAAACAAAAGATGAAGGCATGAACATTCCTCCAAGCAGATTTTGCATGGGGTTTAGCTGAGAGTCTTTTTGGCATAAGTATAGCATTATTAACCCTCGGCGCGCATGCGCAGCGAGGGTTACGGTAGTTGCCTCGTAAGTGTGTCTGTCAGTCTGTCATTCTGTCATTAACCCTCGGCGCGCATGCGCAGCGAGGGTTACAGTACTTGGGTCTGTCTGTCTGTCTGTCTGTTTGTCTGTTACTCTCTATCTCACTCCTCGAACGTCTGTTCGTCCCAGAAACGATACCATCTACCCAACGGGCGACGAAGGTCAGAAAATAAAGGCGGTTTTCTCTGAACATGCTCCGTTGCAAAGCTAGAGCACGAAAAAGCCAATATGCAAATACGCAACGGACGGGATGGCTTACCGCGGTCTGATCGATCCGCGTGCTCTGCGACCTCGGAGGCACCAGAAGATGCAACGCAGGGCGTGTATCGCCTCTCGCATGCTGTATGGTAGTGTATAGTTAGCCCGCGTCAGACTCTGCGCGAGATGGGCAGAACTAAACCCAGCCCATCAATTAGTGATACAGCGCATGCGTTTACTCACGCGTGCGCGTCACAATGCGCCGAGGGTTTGCACTTCAGTGCTTTTCATTCTGTCTGTTACCACGTTTTCTGCCACCGCGCGCACGAAATCAGGTAAATAGCGATATGATCGGGTTCAGTGCTACACTGGGTTGATTTTAAAAAAGGCGATTTTCGTAAAACTACTGCGTTCTAAAGTTATGGCGTGAAAACCAAGTGAACAAGCCAATATGGTAATTAGCACAGGCTTACCTCGATTGCGTCCGCGCGCTCTGTGTATCTTGAAGGCACAAGAAGTCACAACGAAGGGCATGCATCGACTCCCGCATGCAATCTACTACTGTAGCTAGCCCGTGCCAGACTCTCCGCGAGCTACTAGCGCGATACAACGAGTAAAGAAAAGAAAAGCCCAGCCCATCAATTAGTGGTACCGCGCATGCGCAGTTCGCCGAGGGTTTGCACTTTAGTGCTTTTCATTGTGAGGGTATTGCAGTTGTTTTCACAAGATTGGTTCACGTTAGTAAGGGATACCCCCGAGTACATGTATTAATGGAACTGGAAGGCTAAACTGACTCCATCCCGTGTGTACACAATGTGCACTTTTTTCTGCGCAGGTTATGGGCTAGAAACATTGTAGGGACAACAATGTTTGTTTAGACACCTTGCTATATGAATTTAATATTTAACAAGAAGACAGCATGCTCTTTGAAAAAAATTCAGTGAACTACAGAAATTGGTTTAAAATGTATGTTTAAAATTCCATACGGGACATGTTGCGCATGCTCTTCACCATGCATTTAGGCGTGGGTTGCCAAACTCTTGCACTGTTATATGAAATATTTTGCACCCTACGAAAACCTTTCGTTGTACGTTACTTAACTACTTTTCTCATGCACATGTGCTAACTTCTTTCAGATGCTTTTAGTTTTTGCCAATAAGCATTCCTCTGTCATTATAATCTATTTTGTTACAGTCAAGGAGTCATGTGAAGTGCCAAATTCGATTCGACTGACAACCACCTGGTTTAGAAACAGGACAATAGGACGATTAGAAATGTGCTCAGGTAACGTTTGGGGAACGGTATGTGGCAATGGAGCAGCTAGAGCAATTGCAGTGGTTGCTTGCAGAGAGTTGAATCATGCCGCTAATGGTGAGTTGGTGTTAAGAAATGCCAGATGTAAAATGTTTCTTTAGGAACTCTGTTTTTGGAAAGAATACTGAGCTTCGTACCTCCTTTAATTCCAATTACTCGCACCAACATGGTTTGCTCCGGAAATGAGACAAACTTAGCTAATTGCTCTTTTGATGGAGTGTATGGAGATGCAAACTGTCAACACAGAGATGACCTCTTCATTACTTGCATGGGTCAGTGATTGTTGACTTGTGTACTATTAGTTTCATGCATGCCATTCAACTTTTTAGCACGGCAATGCACTGAAAACAACATTAGGTTGCGTGGTGGCCATGAAAATTATTATGGGAGAGTGGAAATATGCTTGCATGGACTGTGGGGCACAGTGTGTGGTGATAGGTGGGATTCAAGAGAAGCTGCTGTTGTCTGCCGACAACTTCACCTTTATGGATGTAAGTGTGAGATGTATAAGGGACGATCATTAGTTGCTTTTGTCATACCTTCTATTCAGCTTCATATACGTTAAAAAGTTTTCCTAATCCCGATGGACTACCAATTCATCTCGATAATGTCAATTGTCAAGGCAATGAGAGTATGCTTAATGAATGCAGTCACCCTGGAATTGGAAATGAAAACTGTGCGGAAGGTTATGAAGAAGCCGGGGTTATATGTACTGGTAAGCTGTGTGTTAACCGTAATAAAGGTACGCATTAGATACGTATTATATACTAGTAGGCGAATGCATGGCATTTTTGGCGAGCGGAAGCGCGCTTACAATTGGGGTCTAATCGTATGAGTCACTCTTGTGTGTGCACAAAACAGTGAGATACATTGCACAGGACCAAGTAGGCCGAAACGACCCGAGCGCAGTAGACAATTCGAGTCGAGTCAAAAACAGTCAGACGACAGCGCGAATCAGGCATAATCCGGCAATCTGATTGGTCTTGCAGGAATAGGGAACAAGTGGCAATGTAGAAAAATCTCTCGCTGGACTGTGCAGCAATACTCGATAGCTTCGGAGGTGTTGCGCTTCCCCTGGTTCCGCTCGATTCAGGCAGCATTATGAAAATGTTGAAATCCCTTTCGGATAAAAAGAAGCGCGTAATGCTGGAGCATGCGCAGTTGGACGACGTACGGTGACATAATTATATATATAAAATATATATAATAATTATATATAGAAAAATCGCGCCGTTCGGACCACTAGGTTAGCTCGCTTCCGCTCGCCAATTACCTAGACAACCTGGAATTTTGAGGTATTCATGAGAAATCTACAGAGCAAATAGCTTCCCTTTAAACATTAATATTCACAGCTAATCAATATCTGTTGATATCTTTCATGTGCTCACAGTCCTTTTGCTTGACTTAGAGCTTGTTAGTGCTGTTACCACACTTTCGTTTGTGCATTACTAGACCAATTTGCTATGTTCCTTCTTCCTTTTCAAAGATGTAATGTGTGAAGATGGAGCTGTTCATTTAGTTGGCGGATCTGATATCTCAAGAGGGAGAGTGGAGTTTTGCTATCGTGGGAAGTGGTACACTGTGTGTGCAAGTACCTGGCGTGATTCAGGCTATGAAGCAAGAGTTGTTTGTAAGACACTTGACTACAATGTGTTTCGTTATGGTAAGGGCATATGCATCTTGGGAGAATCCTAGCTAACTGAAAATTTACATTGTCTTTACCAGGAGAATTCATTTCTAATTTTGGCAGAGGATTTAGCCCTATTCTACCGTATCAAATTAAATGTGGCGTGGATGATCTTTCATTGAAACAGTGTACAAAAACGGGGTTTGATACAAGTGAATGTGAACATGTTGCTGGAGTCATATGTGGAGGTGCATTCAGAGTGCAATAAATTCCCTCTATGCACTGAATTCTTCCTCTCTGCAGCTGATTGTCAGAGTTCTGGTATAACAGATTGTACCGTGTGTGGGGATCGTGTTGGTTGCCGCACCCAATACAACTGTAACTGCCACTCAAGATGCTATGAATTTGGAGACTGTTGTCCAGATGTGTCTACTTTAAAAAACTGTGTTGGTGAGTGCAAAATTTGCGCCATTAACTGGTTATGGTATTCAGTTCCTCAGGTGATCCTTTTTAATAATAATATTATGGAAAATGGGCATAAACTGGGCAAAAAGCGATAGGTTCCTTTATAGCACTTGATCTTAAAACTGGTGATTTTAAAGTAATGTACTGCATTCAAAGGTTATGTAATGAAACCCAAGTGAACAAGCCAATATTTCCGAAATAGCACTGGCTTACCCCATAACACATTTCGCCTGGTTTGTGTATAATATAGGCTGTATATACCACATTATTATGACTAAAACTTCCATTTCCCTGCCAAGTATACTATAATTATGCAACGGGAGGGTGATATTAATGTTCACTACTAGCCCATGGCACCAGCACCAATAAACAGCCTTACCATTATAAATAAAAGAAGGAAAGGTGTATGATAGGCCCGGAACGTATAACATATTCGTTTTGTTGATGATGCTGATGCAAATTTCTACATAGGTTTCTGTTGTGATTATGCCCAGCCCACACTAAAATTTTGTAACTATATATATTTTAGAAAACAAAATTCAAGTAAATTAAAAATCCTGCGAATTTAAAAAAGAGGCATATAGGGATGATATATAGCTAAACAAAAGGAGACAAGATAGGTATATAATATAATGGGATACATGAAGCATGGTTAATGGACAGATATGAGCACGCTGGCACACTTGATCCCATCACACAATCCCATTGTTGCCTAGGTAACCTTCACCATTGCAATAGTCAAAAATTACAGCTTGAAAAACCAAAAAAGACATGATGCTACTGAGTAACCAAGAGTACATGAGTAGCACACCAGGCAATGACATAATAGGGATTGTGCGATGAATCTGGGGTGTCAGCATGCTCAAATCTGTTTGTTAACCATGCTTTCGTGTATCCCACCCCTATCTTGTCTCCCTCCTCTTTTTATACCATCCCTATTGGAATTTGCAGGATATTTAATTTACTTGTTATTACCGTGCTTCGTGATGTATTTCATGGGGCTATTTGTTGTTGTTTACAAACAAAAAGGTATGACCAGTCTCTTCAAGTGACGGATATCTACATTACAAAATTTCATTACTGTGTATTGTTATTGTGTTATTGTATATTGTGTTGAATTTGAAGAAGAAGAAAAGGAGAAGATGAACAAAACTCCCTATCATAACCCCATACGTCTAGGTTCCATGCCCATCCGTATATACTAAGTACTACTGTACTTAGTGATTCACCCATCACATTCCCTCTGACTCCCCATACAACACTTGACTATCAGTCCTATTGTAGTATTTTTATCGTAATTATACAGTGAAGGAGTGTGAGTCAGGGGAAATTCGTCTAGTTGGAGGATTAACCAACTCTGTTGGGAGATTGGAGCTCTGTGCTAATGGAATATGGGGTAGAGTTTGTAATAGGCTCCAGTACTGGGGACCTGTTAATGCTAAGGTTGTGTGCAGACAACTGGGATTTTCTGAAGTTGGTAAGATTTTCATAAAAATTATTGAATGTGGTTACTAATGATAGGTAACAAATAAAGGTTCTTATGTTGTTGATAATGCAACACTCTTTGGAGAGTCAGAAAGAAATGCAGTCATGGGAGAGGTTCATTGCACTGGCGATGAACCAGAGCTCCTGGAGTGCTCTCACACAGATATAGGACGTCACCTCTGTGGCTCTCAATTCAATCCTGTTCCAGATATTGCAATTAGTTGCTATGGTAAGGGTCAAATCGATTGCCAATGGTGATTAGTTTAGTCGTGTAATTGTTAGATGAAGTTTCAAGTTGCGAAGAAGGGGAGGTGAGACTATCCAAAAACTCCAGTGGTCATGTAGAGTATTGCCAGCACCGAACCTGGGGAGCCGTCTGCAGTGAAGGATGGGATGACATCGATGCTGGAGTTGCATGCAGTCAACTTGGATTCAATCCAGCTGGTACAGTTATGACTTGATGGAAAATGCTACAGTTCACCTGGCAGATGACCCGGTGTAAACAGGTCAGGAGGGAAAGAGAAAGAACAACTTCCGTCCCCGCGAAAAGGGGAAGGAAGACCAGCTTTTGTCTGGCAGTTGTAGCTCAGTGCATAGTGCACTGGAGTTCCAGTCACAACACCTGAGTTTGATCCCGGATGGAAGTTGACTTTTCCCCTCCTGACCTTTGTACATCGATTATCCCAGCAGTTACGATATATTACTTGTAGAAAAAGCCAACAACAGCTGGCATACTACTGTAAAAAGCCTCATCTCGAAATGTTAAAACTAGCTTCCTGGAATGGAGTGAATTTCAACTGATGAATAAAGAAGTTGAACCCTCATATGAAACATTAAATTAAGTTTGAGACATTCATTTGTTACAGATGCAATAGCCAAAGGAAACTTCAGCCTGGCTGAAAGTATACCTATCTTTCTGAGCCAAGTAGAGTGCAATGGATCTGAGATTGGACTCAAAGACTGTGTAAAAACTATGCCTAATGCAAGGTGTGAATTTGCTGCTGGTGTGATGTGCAAAAGGAGTTCTCCAAGTTAGTATAATTTTTTATGAGTGCTCAAAAAGAAATATTCTATGAGCTACCCTTGAAGATTCAGGTGCAGAAAAAGGTGCAGAAAAAGGTGTTGCTGTTGCTGGATCAGTGATAGGAGGTGTCTTAGGCTCAATCATTGTGATTGTACTAATCATTGGGGTGCTACTGAGGTATAGAAAATTTAAAATACAGGAGAGGAATCAATTTCTGAATTATCAACTTGGCATTCTTACAAGGTGAACAAACAATTTAATAGACAGTGCTGTCATGTGGTGTTTGCCCTTGGGTTGTGTTTTAATGCACATAATTATTTTGTGCACGGGAGAACATGTGTATGTATGTATTTGCGAGTGAAGCTAGCCTACCAAGTTGTTTGAATGCAGGATTCTTCTTAATTTGTATATGACGGGCACTGCACAGGCAATGCACATAGGTACCATCCTTACATACTACACAGAAGGAAGGACTGAGAAAAAAGAGTGAGAAGGGCTTCTGGGGCTTAACTTGTTACCTATAGAGGCAAAACTCAAATACAAGGCAATGGCTAGCAAATCAAGATATACACGAAAGCCTCCACAAAGCGGCAGCATTAGGAAATAATTAGTGTATATATGGGATGACAAAATATATGAAAAAGGAAGGAAGTGAGATGTATAGAAATAGCAGTATTCACAAAATATGTTGAAAATACAGGGCAGCACAATTAGAAAGCCAGCTAGCATGGTTTAGGCATTGTGAGTACCTTGAGAACTAGGGATGTGGGTTAAAGAAATCTTTGGCCACTGGTAAACTCTACAAACTCACACAAGCCTTTAACTTGGTTGCACTGTCCAAACGCAACACACACCACTGCCACCCTCTTTGAGACGTGCATTTACCCATTTGGACTACTTGGGCATCTTTGATTCTCCTGGCCAGCTCTTGTACCACCATAAACAGAGTCTGAGGTTTGCCCCTGTCTTAATTGTATTGTTGCATCGCAGACTTTGACCTCGTAGCACTGTAGGGGCACTGGACAGCCAGTCAGTCCCTTGGGTTCTCGTCTCGCCCAGGGTAGCTTTGAATATACCGGGGTGGCATCTAACTCTTTGATTTTCAGTGGTTCATTTTGATATTATGTGATGACATTCAGGCCTCAGTCAGGAGGAACTAACAGACCCCAGCAGGAACATACAACTCAAACCTATGATGATGGAATAAACTGCAGTTTAGGAGTTAAACCAGATGAAAATCCGCAGATGGTCTCCAGTGAAAAGCATATCCCAATGGCTGCTGAATCATCTACTTCAGATAATAATTGCTATGGTAAAACATATTAACACTAAATATTTACATTTTGGCCTGAATTTCAGCTAATAATCAGCCAAGTTGTCATCAGAGCGTGAGTCGTACTAGGGTATACTCACACCATTTGAGGGAATTAACACGTGGAAAGTTCATTGTCAAGAAAGCAGACATCACATTGTTGGAGATCATTGGAGAAGGTTGTTGACACAACTACTGAGCTAAAGTTTGATGTTTGCTTTATTATTATTCAGGAGAGTTTGGTATTGTCTACAAGGCCAGGTTGGGTGTAATGCGAAATTCAAGAGTTGTGGCTGTCAAAACTCTAAAAGGTTGTTCTAGCTGTACGAGCTATATACTTAGCTATAATTATATCATCTACGTATAAGTTGCACATTCACCTATGCTTTTTAGCATGTGGAGTAATACAGTCTGAAATTACTCAGCTGCACAACCTTAATACTTTTTGCATGTGCAATAAAAAAATATGTGTCTGAATAATATTCCTATAAGCTATAGAGACCTCTATGCTCGGAAATCCTCATAGGTGATTTTGATCAGGAAGAAATTGACAGATTTGTAGAGGAGAGTTTGAAGATGAGTCGGTTCAAACATGCTCATGTTATGGGTCTCATTGGAGTGTGCCCTGATGAAGATTCTGCTCCTTTCATTATAATGCCCTACATGGCAAATGGTAGCCTTCTCAAGTACCTTAAGAATGAAAGAGATAACATAGTACTTTCAGAAGAAAATGATACAGATGAGGTAATGTTAAGACCTTCAAAGTGCCTATTATGATTACAACAATCATTCCCAGTATGACCATTCAGAGGTAGCATAAAATATGTGTTCCACAGATCAAGGACGTGTGTAAGCGCTTGTTGATGATGTGCAACCAGATAGCAAGTGGGATGGAATATCTTGCTGCTGGAAAATATGTGCACAGAGATCTTGCTGCAAGAAACTGCATGTAATTTTAACACCCATAATGCCATTGCAAAAGTTTGCTGTTACACCACCTTGTTGGAGAGTTTGGAACCTATGAATAATTATTATGTCTATGTGCAACCAAAAAAACTGGCTATGCCCTAGCTAAGGTATTGAACTCTTTACTGCCCACTACAGGATTGATACTCATTTCCTGATAAAAATCACTGACTTTGGTCTTTCGGAAGACGTGTTTCTGAGGAACTACTACAGGCAGGCTAAGAGTGAGGACACGGTGAGACTCCCAGTCAAGTGGATGGCTCCAGAGAGTCTTGCTGATGGTCACTTCTCAGAAAAGAGTGATGTGGTATGAATACTAAGTTCAACTTTAATTTCAATGTACAGTTTACACACTGCCTATACTGTAACAGAGCCTTATACACTTTGTGTAACCGAATCTTATACAGTTTGTGTAACCTAAACCTATAAGGAGCTGCCACTTCATGTAGCTAGTTATATTCCCGCTCATATATTATAACCCTGCCCATCTAAACAGTAGGGTAGTACACTTTTTAGGGAACCTTTGTTCCGCATTCTTGTAACATAATAAACTATGCAATACTAAGCCATCTCCAAGGGTCATCTTTGTCTCCAGGGTTCTTGTCTTACAAAAACTGTTTGATTTACAGTGGTCATATGGAGTAACTATGTGGGAGATTTTCAGTGGGGGTAAGGTTCCCTACCCAGGAACTACTCCTTTATCCGTCATTCAGACTGTAGAGGAGGGCCACAGGATGTCCAAACCTTGCAATGCTGCTTGCAACGAAGAAATGTAAGTAAACGGGAGTACACCGATAATTGAAGTAAAAAGAAGTAATAATAATAATACTCAGGTGGCTGCCATAGCACTAGGGCCATAGACCACGCACCCAGAGCAATGGGCGGAACCATTAACAAACGAACATACACCATATGAACATGAGGTGTCTGTCTCACTTCCCAGACACCTCAACTCACCCCTTCCATCAGCGACACCCTGCAGCTCCCCAGACGCAATCTGAGACTGGGTTTGTTGTACGCGGGGACTATCGCCGTATAACCTAACCTTTCTTAGCTCCAAAACATCCAAAATAAAACCTTTAACAAGCCCAAGCAAAGAACCAAATTTATCCTCCCACAGCTCACTACCCAATAAAAAGGATGCTTTCCTGAAACTATCAAGCGACTGGAAATGCTCAAACCCATCATCCCCAAGCTTCCCCTGCAGGGCAACTAAGAAATTTCTCCTAAGACTACTATATGCTGGACACTCCCACAACACATGACTCACACTTTCACACTCATCATCACACAACAGGCACTCCTTCACCCCCTCCCTCCCCCTATGCCTACCCAGTTCCTGATTTAGCCCATGCGTGCCTGACCTGAACTTAAACATTAATCTAGACCCAATCACTTTTCCCATGCAAGTACTTTTGAACTCTACCACCTTGTTAAATGTCTTATACAATAACAGCTTTACTTTGCTATTTAGCCCCTCTTTCAAACTTTCTAATCTCCTTCTCATCAATACTGTCCCCTATTATAGACAGAAAGCCCTTCAAGGAGCAATCCCCATTTTGAATATCATGCAACCACTCTGCCTTGTGAAGACCTAATGACGAAAAGAGATCATCAATGACCTTACTCCAACCCTTCCTCTGCCTACCACTCCGTGGCTTAAAATTCCATTCCTGATTAAAAAGCTTCTTCGGATACCTATTGCCTGGCAATGCCGCTAACTTATACCACCACTTCAACTTATTCTTATCCCTACACCCTTGTAACGTATCAAACCCCATATCCCCCCTAACGGCTTCATAGACGAACACCCAAGAATGCGCTTAGCTCCTCCCAGCATAACGGACTCTAACGCAGCTGCCTGAGTCTTATTGGCTTCCCACACCTCACCCCCATACTCTAAAGTTGGCCTAACAACCTCTAGCAACAACAACCTGCGAGCACTCAAATTAATATCCCTATTACTAATTACACTATGCAACTGATTAACCTTCCTTCTACCATTGTCTAACACATTCTTGATATGCACATCCCATGCACCAGTACTAGTAAAATCAACACCCAAGTATGTGTATTTAGATACTTTAGGCAAAACATACCCTGCACGAGTTCATTCAGCGTATAAATATTATCAACACAACCCCTTCCAACCCTAAAACCAGCCTGGCCCTCATGCAATGCCTTGCCCTCGTCCAGATGCTTCACCAACCTATTGTTCAATACCTTACAAAATACCTTCCCAACCACACTCAGCAGAGTGATGCCCCTATAATTCCCAGGATCCTCCTTATCTCCCTTCTTAAACAAGTTAACTATGAGGCCCTCCCTCCACTGTAACAAAAAAGTTAATTATATCGAAATTTGTGTCCTCAATATTGTACACATGATCACTTACAGTACTTGTATGTAGGGGTGTAGATGAGTGTGAGGCTAACTCACTGTTTGAGAAATACACAGCAATAGTGTGCATGATTAATAGACTGTAAGATTAGGGGTTCGCACAGTACTCATCTTGCCGTCGTTGAGGGCTTGCTTGATGGCAGCCTCCTGGATCTGTGAAGTAGCACATGAGTGTCTGGCACCCAAAGTTGCAAGTAGCTATAAAATCATGTCTCACCGTGAAATATACACTAGCAGAGACATGTATCAGCACAATTACAGTGACCGAAAGTTGGGGCAGCTAAAAGTATATATGCTTTGTTTTGCACTATAACAAACAAGTTTTCTGAGTTGTGGTACTTGTCTTGTGGACTCCGTTACTTTGGACAATACCCATGTGCTTCCATCTCTTAGAGACCCGTGGTTTAAGGTCGCAACATAGCATTTTATCTCCAAAAATGCACTCCATTTCTCTTTCAGATACTCCTTGATGGTAAAGTGCTGGGAAAAGTCTCCAAAAGACAGACCATCATTCAGTGAAATCTACAAAGAAGTTACAAAGTTCATTGAGCGTGCAGCTGGCTACCTAGATATAAGCTTTAACCCCTTCACAAATGATTAAAAGGAACAAGGTGATTTATACACATCACACGAAAAATTACATGACATTATTATAATATTGTTTGCTAACAGCTCTGGACAAAGATGCAAGGACATTATAGTTACTAGTCACATACTAAACATAGATAAGTAGACAAACAATAATTGTGTTAGCCTATAATGTTTTATTTCTGAATGACTACTTATAATTAGCTTTACATGATTGATTGTAGGGTGGTATGTGAACACTTTAGCCAGTATTATTGTAGGTAAGTACTTACCACTCTTGTAATCAAAGTGGAAAACCATTATGAAGACTCGATGGGACTTGAGCTACTGTAGGGATGACACGAAATGACAAACTGCTAAATTGATGGGCTGGGCTATTTGTACTCGTGGTCTCCCGCTAGTATATAGCCTCGCGGAGAGTCTGACACGGGCTAGCTACAGTAGTAGATAGCATGCGGCAGTCGATACATGCCATTCGTTGTGACTTCCTGAACCCTCAAGGTATATACACAGATCGCGGTAAGCCAAGGGCAATTATGCATATTGGCTTTTTCACTTGTTTTCACGCCATATATTATACATATCTCTCGAACGCAGTCGTTTCAGGAAAATCGCCCATTTACTTTTCAGGCTCGCGTAGTTCTGAAGCCGCTGGTATCGATAATAGACCGCTTCGTAGCCTGTCAGTGCCGGAATAAGCGTCGACACACAGACAGACAGACATACAAACCAACTGCACCCTCGCTGCCCATATACGCGGCGAGGGTTAACAAGGGGTGGTTACACACAAAAAGCTACTTGACACCATCCCTATTTTACATTGATTCTAGATGCACAAATGGTGGTTTTGTGTGTCTGCTGCTTTGAGCCATCCTTTATCTATACCCTTAAAGTAAATAGTTTTCCCGAATCGACTGCCTTCAAGTGATAATGCCAATAATGTGTATTTACAAACAGCTGATTATGTTTGAATGCACCCAAGCTCCCAACGATCAGCCCTGTAGCTACCACTGAAAGAGCTCGTGGAACCATACCTTTGTTGGAGGTAGAGCAGAAGCTCTGCAGTTCCTCCACCACCATCATCAGTGCCATATCTATAGTGGTTGTCAGGATCCCTCGGTGTCTCCACTTCCCTCACAGAACAACACAGCGACACCCAGGACAACCCAAAAGAAAAGAGCTGCCCTAGGTGTCGAATCAATGACTCCAGCCAAGCCTTTTATAGTGATGAGCTACACCTGTCAACTCAAATCTAACAGGCAAACCTCAAACCACGTTGCTACAGCACAGTTATATTTTACACCTCAGTATTATGGACTGAAAAACAATATTATTGCATGCACATTACTGCTTACTCAACAGTGGAGCACAGAAGTTGTTTCCAAACAGGAAACACTCTAGAGCATCAGCTGACACTCCTGAGGTAACAATTATTCACTAGCAGCATTTGAGCCCATGTCGGTGTAGCTATAAACAAATTGAAATAATCCAGCATCATCATCATAACTGAAAGGTGAAAGGGGTAAATGGTGATGTGATGAGTTGAGCTTCATGTGAGTCACAGTGAACCAACGGATCTCCTGGTCTGAACATAATAGTATCCAAAAAACCTTTGTCTAAAAGTAATAATTGGTATGCTGCACACCGAACTCTATACCTAGCTGGGCTGACACCTCGACACTTATCTGACATGAATCCAACATTTAGAGTATGCTGCCCAGCTATGGGATTAATCCAACACGAAACGTAATGAAGCTCTCGAGTCCAGCAAGGTTTGTCTAAAGATGTTGGACATGAGCTATGATGACGTGTTGCACCTGCTAAACCTGCCACCTCATGCTGGAAGCTTGTGTTTCCCACAAGGCATTTTTCATTTCTCAGCAGCCTACGTACAGCTCGATCTTCTGTAGACCTCGCCCCGGGACAGATTATGATCAGACATTCTTACATTCCAAGTGTAACTTCAGCATACGAAGTCTTCCTGTACTGTTTTACCTTTCATCTATATAGCAAATAGTTTATTACGGCATTTGGCTTTTTACTAGCAAATGTCATTGCCCTGTGTCATCATTACTAGAGATTCCTCATTGTTCACTCTGACGGTGACTCCGTATGCACGCGAGAGGGCCGTATCCAAACCCGACGCGCGCGCACTCTCGTGAAGGCGTAACAGCGCACGCACGCACTGACCTATTTCAGCCTGCTGATATCTAACTCCTCATAATTCCCCGGCTTGCAGCGAGCACTGCCTGTAGCTACGCGTTTTCGTTTGTGGATCTGCCGAGATTGACCTGTGAGTTCTAGCTATGTTCAGTTGTACTTACTATTATTTAGTTGAATCGAATTTTCAACGAGGGTAACGCTGGGACTGCACACGCGCAGCATACTCGCTTTCGTATAGCACGATGGTATAGGCGTGCGTACGTAACGAGGCGACAGCCTGAGAGGAGGGTTATATTATAGTAGGTTGTTCTGGGCACTCCCATTAAACTCGTAGATACCCACAATGCACCCAAAGCAGGTAATCTTGGAATTGCATCTGTGCTCTTTACTGGGTGGAGAATGGAGAGGCTGAGTTACTTTCAAAACACCAGCCCCAGGTGGTAAAATGCACAAGTATACGCATGCCCAATAATGTGGGCAAAGCAAAACATATTATAATGATGATAATGGGCGGGGGTATGAGTCTATAAAGTAGAGCTTTAAAGTGCACGGGAAAGCATAAGAAATGGTTTTGTATCATAGTTTTGAGGATATGGAATGGCTCAAGCTAACTGCATGCTACCTCCAAACAAAACTCTCAAGGGAGAAAGGGTCTGGTACGATTTAGAGCGATTTTGAGGGGAGAGAAATAATACTTGGCGTTTTTATGCGGAATAGACACATCAGAGGACACTTTAGTTTGGTGAAGACGAAGTCATGTTTTGCGTGAGTTTTACTGTTTGAGTGCTGTTCATGAATTTTGCTAAAAGTAGGAAGCTTTGCCTTTGAACGCCTTGATGCTCATCAGCTTCGACGTCACACAGTGAAATGTAATCTATAAAGCAGGCTAGCCTTTCTCCCTTGTGGGGTCTGTAGATGTGAATAGCTGCGCATGGGCAGAGGAATTTTTGCTGTGTACATTAGCGTTGCTATGATGTATATTATCATTATTGCTTCATAGCCGTCTTTACTGCATTATAAAAGGTTGTTACATGACACCATACCAGCACATTCGTAGTACTGTAGGAGTAACTAATATATAGGAATGAGGGTGAGGCTATGAATCTTATTATACCACACCAAAGTTAAACATGTTTGTGGCATGGCTATGCTGTGCTTCATCTGTGCATGGAGATACAACCACAGGTGTGTGTCCTAGCAAAAATAACGGTCCTAGGAAGTAAGGCACTCAAAAATATCAACCATAGCACCAAGGCGTTCAAGTTCTACTTGTCAATGAAGAGCACTGAAGTGCAAACCGTCTGCATACAATGATACTAGACATGCGCAGATGCACTGCACCCGTACGCATGCAGGGGTTACTACTGGGCTGGTCTATGCTGTCAAATTACTCGTGTGTGGTCTATAGTGAACTCCTCGGAGAGTCCGAAACAGATGAAATAGTGTCTATTGGCATCAAGAGGTGCATAACTGCCTATATAAAAAGTTGATAAATCAACCACTGCTTGCTTCATACATTGTCAACTGACTGGTCCTAGATTTCTAGTGCTGGTCATCTCAATCATCAGCCAAATCCCTTGGAAGAGCAAAGTCCTCTTGGAAGAGTGCAGAACATTTAGAACTCCCCCCCCCCTGTAATTTTCAGTTCTTAGCTTCATCTGAAGCTTTTCCACACTTTTAGCCCTTCTAAAGGCAGCATTACGCTTGACATCATAGTTTATCCACGGCAATCTTCTATTTTTTGGCATAATTTTCCTAGGTATGCACTTTTCCATAATAATTTCAAGCTAAGTCTGCAGCACGTTCATCTATGGTCCCCTTGAAATTATCCCAGTCTGTCTCATGGATTAGGCACCTGGCCTAAGTCAGCCTGACTGTAGATCCACACAAGTCTGTGTCGACCATTGCGACGACTTGAGTGCTCATTCAGTATCAATGATATTCCATGGTGATCCGAAGAACCCAAGGTACTAATCTGAAGAGCTTTGATGAGTCTGAAAGGAAGGCTAGATCAATCAACGATATGCCATTGGGATGGACTTGAGTAAAGCATGACACAACCTGTGTAAGGGAGAAGCTATGTACAATTAGAGAGTCGGTAGACTCTCTATAATAGGGATGACACGGGTGAAATCTCACGTGATCCGCGTACAAAACGACTAAAAACTCGGTGAGAATCACTCCCTAGGCCTTCAAAACATACTAGCAATAGTCTACGGGCCCATATCTACCTATACATGCCCCCCAAGACCTTTCAGTCGTCCACGGGAGAATTCACTCATACGCGATTTCACGATTTTCGTGTCATCTTCTTCTTCTTTAATGGGGAAAAATACCCGAGCGCAGTAGACTATTCGAGTCAAAAAAACAGTTAGAAGACAGCGCGAACCAATCACGTTCCGCGCGACAACCGTCGGCGAGTTTACGTGACGTGCAAAAATACTGCAATCTGATTGGTCTTTCATGAATAGGGAACAAGATGTAAGGCAGGCCTTCTCCCGCGCGCAGATTGAGAAGGCGCGAGGCTATGGCGTAACGAGCTACTTGGCGGTGACTAATTTTAGCTTCGTATATCCCTTTCGGTCACAAAATGTTGTAAATTTACACACTTCTAGAAACGTCAACAAAACTCTCACAATTGTGAACTTTGACCCGGTAGGCGGCGGCATGGCGGCAGTATCTCATTAAAAAACACCCACGCAACCTCAGAAGTGGTCGGTCGGCACTTGGATGTGGCGGTCGGAGCTTTGGTGTTGCTTTCATCTACCCTTTCAGTAAAAAAAGAAAGAAAAAAGCAACAATGAGTGAGACATGTCATAAATGTCACAGAGGCTGTGCGTAGGTCGTCAGAAAGAAAGATCGCTACAGCGCGGGATGAAAGGGGTGTGTAGATTTGGTCAGAATTACGCATGCGTGCAGGAGAGTTGCTGCAAAACGCCGATCGGGCGCAGAAGCCGAATTCGTGACTGAAAGAAATATATATACCCAGGCCATGGGACTAACACTTTTTGCTGGGCGCATTCTCTGTTTGATGTGTAGCTCTGTGTAAATAATAATATTATGAAGAGGCAGTGTTCGAACAATAATTCCCTCCCTTTCTCAGCCACAGATGGCTCATTCCATACTTCATATAGTGACTCTGCTAGTCTTTAGCTCATAGGTCTCCACCTTCCAGAAGGAGTAGGTAGGACTATGAATAATTATTAATAATCGGGATATCTTGCTCAATATCGGGACCTCTACGCGCGAACAACCAAGTTCGCATGCGCGTATGGTTCAGTTCAGGACCCGCCCACTAGTATTTATCCGCGATCGCTCGCCAGTTACGAGTCTATGCTTGAAGCAACAGTACACTGACATATACGCAGTGCTAAAGAGTACCGAGTACCAGAGTCCAGTTGTCCATGATTCGTTGCTCTGCTGCAAACCGTTTTTTTTTCACTACCGCGTAAGTATAATACGTCGGAGAAATCGGGACGAGCAAGGTGATGGGCGGGACAAGGCTGTGAAAATCGGTACTGTCCCGCCTAATTCGGGACAGTTGAGACCTATGGTAGCTATCCAATGAACCTTTTCCTCATCTTTGCATGGAGAACACAATAATGACGTCAAGAGAGGCATTGTTAACCCTCGGCGCGCATGCGCAGCGAGGGTTTGTCTGTCTGTCTGTCGACGGCACTACAGGCTACTAGGCGGCCTATTAGCGATACCAGCGGCTTCAGAACTACGCAAGCCTGAAAATTAAAGGGCAATTTTCCTGAAACGACTGCGTTCGAGAGCTATGCCGTGACAAGCGAAAAAGCCAACATAAGCGCACTCGGCTTACCGCGACCTGATCCGCTGGCTCTGGGGGCTCAGGAAGTCACAACGAACGGCATGTATCGACTCCCGCATGCTATCTACTACTGTAGCTAGTCCTTGTCAGACTCTCCCGGCGCGCTACTAGCGGGAGACCACGAGTAAACGCATATATACTACTAATAGCCCAGCTCATCAATAGCAGTATCACGCATGCGCAGTTCGCCGAGGGTTTGCATATTAGTGCTCTTCATTTTAGCAAAGTATTTCCATTCATACATCTTGCTCCTAATGAGTGTCATAAAGAGAATGTAATTAATTTAGTGCATCAAAAGTGAGTTATGAGCTCTTCAATTACCATTGCTACCAATTAATAATTGTTTTTTCATGTTCATCATCCATGTCTATATACCTGCAGCAATAACAGTGGCACCTGCGACGTATTCGTCAAAATTTCCTTTTACAACATACTCCACCTCTTCAATGCCAATGCCAATGCCATACTCCACTACACTTCCCACTCCATCTGCAATGCACATTTCCCCGGAGAAAACTGCTCTCACACCTTCTGTGATACTCTTTTCATCATTTTTCCTTACAATTTTATCCTCTTCAACATCTGTACCCCAGTTACCCCCAGTATTGCCTACACTAACTACGTCTTTTTCTCTAACCAGTTCACCTTCAGTGTCACCTTCTCCTACTACCAAACCATTTACATCCCTGACTTCACCACATATTTTTACATCTACTTTACTTTATTCATCTTTAACAAATACTGCAACAACAACTCCTGTAGTAATCTCTTTACCACTTTCCACAAAACCTACAAGAATATCTTCTTCAACTTCAGTGTCACCTTCTCCTACTACCAAACCATTTACATCCCTGACTTCACCACATATTTTTACATCTACTTTACTTTATTCATCTTTAACAAATACTGCAACAACAACTCCTGTAGTAACCTCTTCATCACTTTCCACAAAACCTACAAGAATATCTTCTTCAACATCTCCCATCACCAAATCAGGTATCAAATTATTTTTAAGATGACTCATTTTTGTAATTCTAGTCCATCTGCAGTCCATAGGTGTACTTGTCTGTTCTTGCTTATTCTCTGCAGTCTGGACAACCTCTCAGAAGGAAGCAGACAGCCTCGTTACCAGGCTGTCTTCACCCGGTAAACATAACCAAGTCACAAACACCTAAGCCTATCCAAGAGGTTGGATGGGTCAAAGCTCCCCTCTTCCCCCAATACTATTTCTCTGACAGCAGCATTGGTTCACCTTCATGTCCAATGGTAGTGCAGCATGAATTGTTATGTAGAAAAGCCGGCTAGGTATTGGGAGTAGCCGAGATCACGACATGTGAATCTCCCTCTGGCAATGGGATTTTTGCAAGTGGAAAAGTCAGTTCTTCAAAATGAAAGGGATGTAGGGATGGCCCAAAAGGAAAGAACAATGGGTAATTAATAGGGATGGCTCAAAACATGGAAAAGGAAAGAACGAGGGGACATTACATTCATCAATAAAACAGAGATATATAGGGATGGTGTCATGTAGCTTCGTGTGTCTTAGCTGTGTAATGACCCCTTGTTCTTTCCTTTCTCTTCATTTTGAAGAAATGATTTTCCACTTGTTTCCATGAGCAGCTATATACTACACATCATTTACTTTAATGTGAATAACAACACCTTTTTTCGATAAGGCCCTTTACTCAATTTTGATATTTCCACATGTTATATACAAAGATCCTGTCTTCACATCCCCAGGTGTGAAGACATCTTCTAGGGAAACAGCAGCAATAATTGGAGTTGGAGTGGCTGGGACTGTACTAGGAATCACTGCCATACTAGTGCTTGTGGTGCTTATTTACATCATCAAAAGAAGATACATCAAGTCGTGAGTTTGGCCGTGTATATACCGCTGCTTGAAAGATTTATTAAACTTGCTCATTTTTCTGCTAAAGGGAATGTAGCAGCAGTATGTAAGGGATAAAACTGATAGGGCCTTAAGTTTTAGCAACGTTCCCTTTATTACAAAAAAAGTTGCAGAAGCCAGTCAAGGATCAACAATAATTTTCCCCTCCAAGAACTAACATTGATTCATGATACAGATACAGAAGGTTTGTTTTTTAACATTAACTACTTTTGATAATAGCTTATAATTAATAGCCTCGGTTCCCCACTCCCCCGGAATTCCTCGGAACGAGGCTAACATTATGACAGCAGAATCAGGGCTAGATGACTTGGGGTTTGTTAGTCTTCCTCCCACTGACATTCATAGTTGCTATAATATAGTCCTATCCATTGCAGTGGTATAGAGAACGATAACATAGAACACCTCAAAACAGATCTCGATAGAAAAGGGATGATTGTCCCTAAGCAGCTTCTTGAACTTTCATCTGTTGTTGGACAAGGTATTATAGCATTACTTTTTATACATCATACTTCAGAGTTTCTCTGTATATACAGGAGAGTCAGGTCTGGTGTATCGTGGCTATATTAACTATGCCTCTGGCAAAAAAATTGTTGCTGTGAAAACATGTAAAGGTATAATTGCAGCATGGTATGATTTATTAGAGTAAGTAGTGTTGTATTTATGAAACAGCCTTATCTTGGGCAAGTGATATGGAGAGACTGATGAAAGAAGTATCTGTCATGTTCTCTTTCCGTCACTGTAATATAATGCCACTGATTGGAGTGTGCTTTGATAAAGGGGCTCCCCTAATAATTATGCCCTTTATGACGGGTGGAACTGTGTTGGAATATGTGAGACGACACAAAGAAAGCCTGCATTGCACATCCACCTCTGAAGTATGTGGTTAGAGAGAGAGAGAGAGAGAGAGAGAGAGAGAAAAGTTTTTTTGTGTAGGTGAAAACTGCCATGAACACGTGTCTGGGTATGTGTCTTCAAATCAGTAAGGGTATGGCATATCTTACTGACCAGAGATTTGTCCATCGTGACCTTGCAGCAAGGAACTGCATGTAATGTTTGGCACACATTACGAGCACCCTTTCAAAAATGACCTTTTGCAGGATTGATAGGAATGGTGTTGTTAAAGTGGCTGATTTTGGACTAACAGAAGATGTATACAACACTAAATACCTCAGTGTCGAGGTAAGTGAAGAGAGACTGCCAATCAGATGGATGGCCCCTGAAAGCATCGAGAGCAACATGTTTAACGAGAAAACTGATGTTGTAAGTATTAACAGGCCTTGCAGAAATCTACATAATCATTTTACTATATACAGTGGTCATATGGAGTGACATGTTGGGAGATATTCACATGTGGAGGAGTACCTTATGCTGGTATTCATCCTATGATTGTTCTAAGAGAGGTCCGATCTGGCAAGAGATTAGAAAGGCCCAGTAACCTTGCCTGCTGTGATGAGATGTAAGACCACGCACTTACAGTATAGTAATTAATTATGTGTAATCATTCCTTAGTTGGGATATGATGGAATCATGTTGGGCAGGACATCCTATTCAACGTCCAAAGTTTGTCAGTCTCACAAAACTGTCCTCTGGGCTCCTGGAAAAACACTCAGACTATACGAAACTGACTCATGTAATAATATAGAAAGCTTACTCTTAGCAATTTTTGGTTAGCTACTTATATATAACAATGTATGCAGTTATTATCTGTGGAGTTGTAGCTACACAAGTGGAAGTCATTTCTTCAGAGGGATAATATAGAGATGGCTCGAAGCACCAAAAAGGAAGGAACAAGGGTTTGTTAAAACGCAAAGACTACATGATACCATCCCTTTATCTTTTCTTGATATTATTTTGCTACGTAGGTGGTACGGCTCTCTGCGCGACCTAGTCTCTGCTGCTCCAAATCTTGAGCAGAAGAACCTATTTTATGCACCCGCGGCAGATTCTTCGGTTTCGTCGTCCGCAAGTCCATCCGCGGAACTATGGCTACAACGCATGTCTCAACTACTTAGTAACGGAGGTAGAAAGGCAAGGCAAGGCAAACTAATCAACTACACCAAGAACACTAGAAAGAAGAAGAGCTGCCCTGGGTGGGATTGGAACCCACGACACTCTGCAGTCTAGGCAAGCGCTCTACCAACTGAGCTACCAGGGCAACTCAGCTGGTAAGGGGCTTTTCTGCTTGTGTATAGTGTGTGGCATAAACGACTATAGACAGACCAAAATGTCTCTGGCGGTGCGACTGAAAGAACACAAGCGATCAGTTTTTAACGATGACAGGAGAGCATCTGCTTTAGCAGAACATGCTATTGATCCGGGACACACAATAGACTGGGAGAATGCTTCAGTTCTTGGTTTATGCAGGGGCGTAGACACAAATCAAAACGTGGGGGGGGCTTTAGCTTTATTGCGGTGCGCATGCGCATTCCAGCGCACGCCATGGGTTAAAAACTAGGGGGGCTTCAGCCCCCCAAGCCCCCCACAGCGCCTATGCCCTTTTTATGCCAACATCTGCAACAGAGATAATTATCGTGGTATATCTACAAGCAGACCACCTCCCTCACTAAGGAGAAAGGCCCCCTTCCACCATTAACCAGGCTCTATAGTCAGACTATGACATTCCACCCCACACCACGTTCCATCACCCATTAGCTACCTGTTGTTTCACTTAGCTATACTCTCACTCCCTGATGGCAACAACTATGGAGGACCTCAGAGGCGGGGTAACAATGAGAGTGGTCAGCCTTCTAATCGGCTTTGTCAGACATCTCAGCCGATTTGAAGGCAGAGTACTCCCATTGCTACTTGTGGAGGTATATAGCTTCGAATTAAGAATATTGTAGGGATGCCATAAAAAGCAAGGAAACAAGACAGGGATGACCTAGTGCACGTGATGCAGTCGTACAATGGATGATGGCTACATACTTTGAACTGACATCGCTTGCTCCTGTAAAAATTTCCTCCACACAAGCCCTATATTATTGCAAAGTACGAGTGTGCTCCCTTGTATGATGCACAGCTATGATTTATTTTATAAGCACATTAGACAGGTAATACCATCTGCTCGGTTTTCAGTTGTGACTGCATTGTGTGAAGTCTAAGACTTCTACATTTGCTCAACTAACCAGTTTTATATACAATGCTGAGTTCTTGGCCATCTACATACAAATTCCTTTCACCCTTGTCCTCGCACTTCACTAAACAAACAGTAAAGGGGGCGACAATTATAGGGCTTGTGTGGAGGAAATTTTACAGGAGCAAGCGATGTCAGTTCAAAGTATGTAGCCATCATCCATTGTACAACTGCATCACGTTCACTAGGTCATCCCTGTCTTGTCTCCTTGCTTTTTTATGACATCCCTATATTCCACACTTTTTTATTTCTAAGAATTTTATTTACTTGTCTCCTTTACTTTTTACTGCATTCACATGCATGGTGTGCAATAAAAAGTTGGGCATAAGCCCATAAAAAAGTAACATTAGTGGCTTTAGCTATTGCCTCGATGTTTTGTCGTCATTCACATTACATCAGTGCACCAACTTTCATTGTTAGAGGACCCATCATAAGCAAGTTATAGGCACTGACACCATTTATAAGTCTTTTTTTGTCTCAGGCTGTTTTGTTGTTGTTTAAAACCTTGTAATTTCTGTTTCGATGAACGACTCAGTGTATATACCATTTTTGGAGGACCAACCACATAGGGTGAGGCTCGGGGTGAGGGGGAGGAGCCTCAGGGATTGAAGATCTAGGAGGGTCGACGCGTCTCCCCCGACCCGCTCTAGTTCACACAAAAGATTATGGCTGAGTTTATTCGAGGTCATCCCGAGTTGCAGCCATTCGTGCTCTCCAATGTACGCCTGACTGGTACCACAATCGGTGCAGGAGCCTACGGCAGCGTGGAGGAGGTCGCCGTGCCTGGAGCCATCTGCGCCGCTAAAAAGATCCACGACTTCTTCCTGGACGCTGCCCAAGTTACATCTGCTGCTGTCCAGAAGGCTACGACGCAATTCGTGGCGGAATGTCAGCTGATGAGCACTCTCCGCCACCCGAACGTCGTCCAGTTTCTGGGCTTGTGTTTCATGCCCGGCTCGCGCCTGCCAGCCATCGTCATGGAGCGACTACTGACGAGCCTTCACGACTTGCTGGACCCAGAAACTTACCCTCCACCCCCGCCCGATGCGCCAAAGCCCTTCTTCCCGCTGAACCTGAAGTGTTCGGTTCTTCACAACGTGGCGAGCGGTATAACCTACCTCCACGAGCGATCGCCGCCCATCATACACCGCGACTTGTCGGCCAGAAACGTTCTCCTAAACTCGGGGATGGTGGCCAAGATAGCGGACCTGGGAGTGGCTCGGATCGTGCCTCGAATGAGAATTGCAGCACCATGACAAAGGCACCTGGTGCAGGCGTCTACATGCCTCCAGAGGCTCTGGAAGACCGACCTCAAGATGAAGAAGTATCGAAAGCAAAATATGGTGCAAGCATCGATATATTCTCGTTTGGAGTCGTGGCTATTTTCACACTCTCGCAGACCTTCCCTAGCAGTTTACTGCCTACTGCCTATCGCGAGCGTGGCCGTTTGCTTGCTAGAACTGAGCTTGAGCGACGAGAGAGGTACACGAGGATGATCTACAGTCAGCTACGCGAGAAGCATCCTCTCCTCCAGATGATTGAGGGGTGTCTGGACTTCCCTGAAGACCGGCCGAGCATTCGCGAGGTGCTGCGTTTGTTGGAGGAGGCCAGAGCTGAAGTGAGAGACGAGCAGACAGACATGAACAAACTGGAGCTGTTGCAAGCTCTTCAGACACAACCCGGGAACCAGGTGAGAGGGTCTGTGTATAGTGAGGGTGTGTTGAAAATTGGCTTGTGTTTGTACGTAGCAGAATGTTGAGCTATTGGGACAGCTGAGGAGAGCGGAAACTGAGTTAGCCGAGGCCCAGGGACAACTGAGACAAAAGGTGAATCACATATAAGCATGTTTGTCAACAAAAGTCCAACATTCTCTGACTATAGGAGGAACAACTGCAGTCTGGCGAGAGAGAGAAACAACTAGTCAGACAACAGCTGATCCTCTCACAAGAAACTGAGACAGAGAGTTAGTTTAGTCTGTGGAACTATTGTCATTGTGTCAAGGCCCTCCTGACTGCAGGAGACTGAGTTAGTGCAGGCAAAGGACAGGGAGCTACAATCGTGTGTGAGAGAGAAGCAGACAGTCAGAGATGAGCTGACGAGAAAGGAGCGAGAGTTAGCCGAGGTTCAACAGCAACTGAGACAGAAGGTGAATAGATATAGGTGCTCAATGTGTCCTGTTTTGTAACTAGATGTCCTCCTGACTGCAGGAAGAAAAGTTGCGATCAAGTGAGGCTCTAGTGGCTGACTTCCAGCAGGCCCTCCAGCAGAGAGACTCTGAGATTAAGAGGACAAAAGTCAGTTTGTGAATCTTTAATACCGAGAACCTACTCATTGGACTTCCCCTCCTATTCCTAGACCCAGTCGCGTCCCCTAGTAACCTATTCCATGCCATCGTCAGATAAGAAGGTATGCACTATACTAAGTGTACTAGGGTCAAAGCAGGGCCATGTATATATGTGTGTGAAGGATATAATAGGGTAACCAAGGTTGCTGCCCCACACACAGAGTGTAGTATATATCTGTGGCGGGAACAGTGTAGATACACCAATGGAAAATGTGCCCATGGTAGTTTGCAAAAAAATAGGGCTGTCATCATGTGTACCTTAACACGGCATCACACCAGCCTTTTCTGAATTAGTAGGTGCAAAATGCACAAATGTATATAGGTAGTCTGTTTTAAAGTGCCAATTACATTCCATTTTGTGTGTGTGTGTGTGTGTGTGGTGAGTAGGCCATACTCACTGTAATGACAATTGACTGTTGGTTTGATATTACAAGAGCCAACTGTAGTTGCATATCAGATGACAAACTGCATTCCTGAGATGTGAATGTATACTACCTCACTCTACTTTAGCTGAGTGTGCAGTGGGGCCACAAGAAGAGGGCACCATGTGACATGTCTAGGGGCTCTGCGACAACCGACGGCCGGTTTGCCTATTTTACACCGTCTGGTTCTGCCTCGGTCTACCGATACGAGTGGGATTCGGAGAAATGGAGCCAACTTCCTTCGTGTCCTTCTCTTGACTCTGGTTTAGTTATCATTGACCGGGAGCTGACTGCCGTGGGGGGATATGCTGCAAATGATTCCACTTGGCCGAGAATGGTTTCTACTGACAAACTGCACACACTACGACTGTGGAGATGGGTTGAAAAACATCCTCCAATGAACACTGCACACATCTCTCCTGCTGTAGTTAGTACACCCGAATACCTCATTGTGATTGGGGGAGGCAGCCATACGATCCATTCATTTCAACCATCTGAATGGATTTCTACAGTCGAGCTTTACCATTTGAAGACGCGGAGCTGGCACTATCTGACAAGTTTGCCACAGCCTCTCACCCTCCCTTCAGCCACGATATGCGGTGACCAGTTGAATGTGATAGGAGATTACACCGAGGGCTACACGTGCTCTCTCCAAACCATACCGCACGGTGGCAAACCGATCCCATCGTCTCTCGCCCTCTCCTGGAAACCTCTCCCTCCTCTACCAGTGACGCAGGCTACAGCTGCCACTGTCTGTGGACAGCTTGTCATCTTTCGAGGCGGCTCTTCAGTCAACTCAATTCACCAGCTAGTGGACGGACAGTGGGTGGAGATTAGCTCTATCGGTTATAGTAGGTTGGGTTGCTTAGTGGCCAACCGATCCCCGGAGGAAGTTGTCATAGTTGGTGGGTGTGGTGTCGTGAATGGTTTGATTCAGACTGTAAATACTGTTGAGAAATGTATTATCACAAAATAATTTTTTCACCTGTCAATCACTTTTGTAACAGGCCTATCGGTGTATGATGAAAATGATCTTGTATTATAATTATATACCTTGTTGTCTGTATTTTTTTATATTATGTAATGATAATTACTTATCTCCTCCGATTCTTATACAATGCGCAGGCACGAACGTCACATGTATATAGCAGCTGAAAGAAAGATCACGTTGAATCACGAGAATTCTTTGATCAGGTGATGATGGCCTTGAGTGAATCAATGACATCTTTAGCTAATTTCTTCCCCTTTTGCTTAATAGTTCAGTTCCCCATTCATTTCATAACCATGATTGTTGGCACATTTTTTGGGGACAATCATGATAATTACAAATAATTATTATTGAAAGTGCAAAACACTCGGGCGAACTGCGCATGTGCGATACTGCTAATTGATTGGTTGGGCCGGCTATTTGTCGACTCGTTGTCTTCCCCTAGTAGCCCGCGGAGAGTCAGACACGGGCTAGCTACAGTAGTAGATAGCATGACATGCCATTGGTTGTGACTTCCTGAGCCCCCAAGGTACACGGAGCGTCGCGGTAAGCCCAGTGCAATTATGCATATTGGTTTTTTCGCTTGTTTTCACGGCATATCTCTCGAAAGAAGTCGTTTCAGGAAAATCGCCTAATATTTTTTCTGTCTCCCGTAGTTATAAATCCGCTACCGGCCGCCTCGTAGCCTGTAGTGCCAGAATAAGCGTCGACACACACACACACAGACAGACAGACAGACTACTGTAACCCTCGCTGCGCATGCGCGCCGAGGGTTAATTAATCGAAACACAAAATCTAAACATCCCCTTGAACAACAATAGACTTAGGGTGCTAAGGTGATGATGAAGCAGCTGAAAGGAAGATCACGTTGAATGATCACGCATCAAATCCACAAAATTTTTAAATGATCATTACATAGGTCGGGTAAGTAATGGTGTGCTGCGAACTCCACCCACACAGCTTTTTCTGGATCTGAGTTTTACATGTTCAGTCAGCATTGAAGCTCATGGAGTCATGTCTTTTCAAACAGGTCCAAGCTTTAGACTTAGGGTGCAATAAGGTGATAATGAAATGAATTATGTGAAAGTGATCACCAAAGTTAATGTTAATCGCAAGTCTACTTGGTGTTGTGTTGTTTGATGTGTGCTTTCAACTTGGGAAAGTTGGACTGTTCTTCCCCACACACATGGCATCTCAGTGGCATCTTCAGCAGGGAGTCACACGTGGCCTTGTCAAACACCTCCACACTCCCCTTCTCCTCCAGTGAGGAAATGATACTCTGTGCATCAATGAAAAACTCTGTCGTGAAAGAGTTCCAGTGTTTCTTGTGTTTGAGGCACCCAGAGTCAAAGTCTTGGCTCACGACGTGCATGTGGAGTCGGGCCATGCTCGGCTGTGCGTGGAAACCGTATCGAAAGGCGAGTTTGGGCACTGCCAACTCTGTTACAAAGTCTTTTGCTACTTGGAGCACGTGTTTCAGGAGAGGGAGGTGGGACACGCTGAGTTCTTTGAGGCTGGAGATGTCTGTATCGGGCAGGACAAGGTAGTGGTGTCTGGCCTCGGGTATTTGTCCCTGATCATCACCATTCTGTCGTCTGACATGACAATCATGCTGGGGTCATTCATGGACTGGAGTATACCCTGGCTCCAGTGTCCAGTCGGGCGCTTTGCGGGCGGTGTTGCTCTGCTAGCACAGCCTGCTCGCTTCATCTTTGATCCTCTTTACTCCAGCAGGAAAATGTATCGATGATAAGATAAGGAAGGGCGGAAAAGGATGATCCAAGTGGTAGGAGCAGGAGTGCCTGTCGCAGGTGGGAGGGGTTCTTACGTCATGATGTAAATAGCAACCTTTGACCCCTAATATCCGACGTCTGAGTTGTTGGTGGTTTGTGACGTTGTCTGAACTATCCTTGACCTCGGTAAAAGGGATGTCGGCTACTACGGAGGAAGCAGCGCCGCTTAAAACTCACTCCAGAAGGGAGAGAGCCTTCCTGGGGCAACTACCGAGCGATTTCCTCCGCGTAGAACCGGCCTCAACGGCGGCTCACCCCTCTTCCTCCGGGTACTGTCTCACTCTAAGTGATCGTACAAGTGTTTACCGCTCGCTTGTGTAGTACGAGTCCATGCACATTCAGTGGCTCTCGCGCTAGCTTGTTTGGAACTGGAAACTGCGTCGCCCCATGCTCTTATCTGCATGGCGCCATAAAGAGAGATATGCGTGTCTGTTGATACTTTATGTAACCTCTTGTACCCATATTTGAGAGTCATCAGGTCCTATTGCTTGCTTCTTTCAGTGGGTGCTTGTATCATTCACTTGAATGAGGAGAATAATGTAGTATGTGTGTGTTGTTTCTGTAATTTTGTAACAGGCCTATTGATGTATAATGAAATGATCTTGTACCTTGTCTGTATTTTTTTCCTAATTATGTAATTATCTTCTCCGATTTTTATACAATGCGCAGGCACGAACGTAACATGTAGCAGCTGAAAGAAAGATCACATTGAATGATCACGCTTGAAATCCCCAAAATATTTTTTATATAATTATTATTATAGGCCCAGTAATGCCGCGCTGCGAACTCCGCCCACACAGCTTTTTCTGGATCTGTGTTTTACATGTTCAGTCAGCACTGAAGCTCATGGAGTCATGTCTTTTCAAACAGGTCCAAGCTTGTCACTCTCAAAAAGAATTCTTTGATCAGTGATGATGGCCTTGAGTGAATCAATGACATTCGAACTGGTTGAAAAAACCGCACAAATTTTTGACCTTCGTCGCCCGTTTGGTAGATGGTATCGTTTCTGGGACGAACAGACGTTTCGAGGAGTGAGATATAGAGTAACGGACAAACAGACAGACAAGAATCATGAAGTGCCAACCCTCGGCGCACTGTGACGCGCACGACAACGGCGGGATTCGCGTGCGTGCGTACGTACGTGTACGCGTGTATGCGCTTCCGCCGGAGTACAACCACCTAACAGTATGGGAAGGAGGTGTATGAAGAGATCTCTTCCAGCTACAAAATCCTCCTTCCTCCAGAGAATACCACTTTTGCTACCTCTTGCAGCTCTTTGATACGGCGAATGGCGGCCGCAAGCGTTCACACCTGGCTAAAATGACCGGAATTAACTCAGTTCGGCATATTATATAACGGTGTATGTCAATAAAACTATAATAAGCAGTTCGCCGAGGGTTTACACTGAAGTGCAAACCCTCTGCGAACTGCGCATGCGCGGTATATTAGTATGCGCGTCTCCCGCTACTGTATAGCTCGCAGAGTCTGATACGGGCTAGCTACAGTAGTAGATTAGCATGTGAGAGTCGATACACGCCCTTCGTTGTGACTTCTTGTGCCTTCAAAATACACAGAGCAAGCAGACCCGGTCCTGTGCTAAATATAAGAGCATGCGCATTTTCCGCAGCGATAAAAATGGCCGACTGCGTTCAATGGTGGAAGCGCTCTAGCTTTGGAACGGAGCGTTTTCAGAGAAAACCGTTCGAAATTTCTGACCTTCATTGCCCGTTCGGTAGGTGGTATCCTTTGTGAGACGAAAGAACACTCGAGAAGTGAGATGAAGAGTAACAGACAGACAGACAGACAGACAAACCCAATGAATGAAAAGCACTAAAGTGCAAACCCTCGGCGAACTGGGCATGCGCGGTACCGCTAATTGATGGGCTGGGCTGCTATTAGTATGTAGTATACTCGTGGTCTCCCGCTAGTAGCGTCTGACACGGGCTAGCTACAGTAGTAGATAGCATGTGGGAGTCGATACACGCCCTTCGTTGTGACTTCTCGTGCCTTCAAGATACACAGAGCAAGCGGACCCGAGCCTGTTCAAATATAAGCGCATGCGCCTTTTCCGCAGCGATAAAAATGGCCGACTAGCATTAGCCGTACAATGGCGGAAGCACTCTAGCTCTGCAACGAGCATTTCAGAGAAAACTGTTCGACAATTCTGACCTTCATTGCCCGTTAGGTAGGTCGTATCCTTTGTGAGACGAACAAACACCCGAGAAGTGAGATTGAGAGTAACAGACAGACAGACGACAAACCCAACTACAGTACCCTCGCTGCGCATGCGCGCCGAGGGTAATGAAAAGCACTGAAGTGCAAACCCTCGGCGCACTGTGACGCGCACGCGTAAGTAAACGTATGCGCCGTACCACTCTCTTCCCAGCTCGCGCAGAGTCTGGCGCGGGCTAACTACACTACTAGATAGCATGCGAGAGGCGATACACGCCCTGCGTTGTATCTTCTGGTGCCTCCGAGGTACGCAGAGCACGCGGATCGATCAGACCGCGTCCCGTCCGTTGTGTATTAGCATATTGGCTTTTTCGCGCTCTAGTTTTGCAACGGAGCGTTTTCAGAGAAAACCGTTCGAAATTTCTGACCTTCATTGCCCGTTCAGTAGGTGGTATCCTTTGTGAGACGAAATAATACTCGAGAAGTGAGATGAAGAGTAACAGACAGACTGACTGACAGACAAACCCAATGAAAAGCACTAAAGTGCAAACCCTCGGCGAAGTAGCTCGCAGAGAATCTGACAGGGGCTAGCTATAGTAGTAGATAGCATGCGAGAGTCGATACACGCCATTCGTTGTGACTTCTTGTGCCTTCAAGATAGACAGAGCAAGCGGACCCGGTCGAGGTAACCTGTGCTAAATATAAGCGCATGCGCATTTTCCGCAGCGACAAAAATGGCCGACTAGCATTAGCCGTACAATGGCGGAAGCGCTCTAGCTTTACAACGAAGCATTTTCAGAGAAAACCGTTCGAAATTTCTGACCTTCATTGCCCGTTAAGTAGGTCGTATCGTTTCGTGAGACGAACAGACATTCGAGAGGTGAGATTGAGAGTAACAGACAGACAAACCCAACTACAGTACCCTCGCTGCGCATGCGCGCCGAGGGTAATGAAAAGCACCAAAGTGCAAACCCTCGGCAAAGTAGCTCGCAGAGAGTCTGACACGGGCTAGCTACAGTAGTAGATAGCATGTGGGAGTCGATACACGCCCTTCGTTGTGTTACTTCTCGTGCCTTCAAGATACACAGAGCTAGCGGACCCATATAAGCGCATGCGCATTTTCCTCAGCGATAAAAATGGCCGACTAGCATTAGCCGTACAATGGTGGAAGCGCTCTAGCTCTGCAACGGAGCATTTTCAGAGAAAACTGTTCGAAATTTCTGACCTTCATTACCCGTTAGGTAGGTCGTATCCTTTGTGAGACGAACAGACACTCGAGAAGTGAGATTGAGAGTAACAGACAGACAGACAGACAAACCCAATGAAAAGCACTGAAGTGCAAACCCTCGGCGTACTGTTACGCGCACGCGTAAGTAAACGCATGCGCCGTACTACTAATTGCTGGGCTGGGTTTAGTTTTAGCTGTTACCCGTGGTCTCTTGCCAGCTCGCGCACAGTCTGACGCGGGCTAACTACACTACTAGATAGCATGCGAGAGGCGATACACGCCCTGCGTTGCATCTTCTGGTACCTCCGAGGTACGCAGAGCACGCGGATCGATCATGCCGTAGTAAGCCGTTGTGTATTTACATATTGGCTTTTTCGCGCTCTAGCTTTGCAACGGAGCGTTTTCAGCGAAAACCACACATATTTTCTGACCTTCATTGCCCGTTCAGTAGGTGGTATCCTTTGTGAGACGAACGAACACTCGAGAAGTGAAATGACGAGTAACAGACAGACACACAGACAGACAGACAGACAGACACACAGACCCAATGAAAAGCACTAAAGTGCAAACCCTCGGCGAACTGGGCATGCGCGGAACCGCTAATTGATGGGCTGGGCTGCTATTAGTATGTAGTATACTCGTGGTCTCCCGCTGACACGGGCTAGCTACAGTAGTAGATAGTGGGAGTCGATACACGCCCTTCGTTGTAACTTCTCGTGCCTTCAAGATACACAGAGCAAGCGGACCCATATAAGCGCATGCGCATTTTCCTCAGCGATAAAAATGGGCGACTACGCATCAGCCGTACAATGGCGGAAGCGCTCTAGCTCTGCAACGGAGCATTTTCAGAGAAAACTGTTCGAAATTTCTGACCTTCATTGCCCGTTAAGTAGGTCGTATCGTTTGTGAGACGAACAGACATTCGAGAAGTGAGATTGAGAGTGACAGACACACACACACACACACACACAGACAAACCCAATGAAAAGCACTAAAGTGCAAACCCTCGGCGAACTGCAAATGCGCGGTACCGCTAATTGATGGGCTGGGTTATTAGTGTGCGTTTACTCGCGGTCTCCCGCTAGTAGCTCGCAGAGAGTCTGACACGGGCTAGCTACAGCAATAGATAGCATGCGAGAGTCGATACACGCCATTCGTTGTGACTTCTTGTGCCTTCAAGATACACAGAGCAAGCGGGCCCGGTCGAGTTAAGTCTATGCTGAATATAAGCGCATGCGCTTTTTCCGGAGCGATAAAATGGCGTCTACCGGCATTAGCCGTACAATGCCGGATGCGCTCTAGCTTTGCAACGGAGCATTTTCAGAGAAAACCGTCCGAAATTTCTGACCTTCATTGCCCGTTAAGTAGGTCGTATCCTTTGTGAGACGAACAGACATTCGAGAAGTGAGATTGAGAGTAACAGACAGACACACAGACAAACCCAATGAAAAGCACTAAAGTGCAAACCCTCGGCGAAGTAGCTCGCAGAGAGTCTGACATGGGCCAGCTACAGTAGTAGATAGCACGCGAGAGTCGATACACGCCATTCGTTGTGGCCTTCAAGATAGAAGGAGCAAGCGGACCCGGTCCTTTGCTAAATATAAGCGCATGCGCATTATCCGCCAGCGATAAAATGGCGACTACCGGCATTAGCCATACAATGTGGAAGCGCTCTAGCTTTGCAACGGAGCATTTTCAGAGAAAACCGTTCGAAATTTCTGACCTTCATTGCCCGTTAAGTAGGTCGTATCGTTTGTGAGACGAACAGACATTCGAGAAGTGAGATTGAGAGTAACAGACAGAACACACACAACAAACCCAATGAAAAGCACTGAAGTGCAAACCCTCGGCGCACTGTGACGCGCACGCGTAAGTAAACGCATGCGCCGTACCACTAATTGATGGGCTGGGTTTAGTTTTAGCTGTTACTCGTGGTCTCTTGCCAGCTCGCGCAGAGTCTGACGCGGGCTAACTACACTACTAGATAGCATGCGAGAGGCGATACACGCCCTGCGTTGCATCTTCTGGTGCCTCCGAGGTACGCAGAGCACGCGGATCGATCATGACCGTGGTAAGCCGTCCGTGTGTATTTGCATATTGGCTTTTTCGCGCTCTAGCTTTGCAACGGAGCGTTTTCAGAGAAAACCGCACATATTTCTGACCTTCATTGCCCGTTCAGTAGGTGGTATCCTTTGTGAGACGAACGAACACTCGAGAAGTGAGATGACGAGTAACAGACAGACACACAGACAGACAGACAGACAGACAGACAGACCCAATGAAAAGCACTGAAGTGCAAACCCTCCGCGCACTGTGACGCGCATGCGTAAGTAAACGCATGCGCCGTACCACTAATATTGATGGCTGGGTTTGTTTTAGCTGTCGTGGTCTCTTCCCAGCTCGCGCAGAGTCTAACGCGGGCTAACACACTACTAGATAGCATGCGAGAGGCGATACACGCCCTGCGTTGCATCTTCTGGTGCCTCCGAGGTACGCAGAGCACGCGGATCGTTCAGACCCTGGTAAGCCGTCCCGTCCGTTGTGTATTTGCATATTGGCTTTTTCGCGCTCTAGCTTTGCAACGGAGCAGTTTCAGAGAAAACCGTTCGAAAATTCTGACCTTCATTGCCCGTTAAGTAGGTCGTATCCTTTGTGAGACGAACAAACACCCGAGAAGTTAGATTGAGAGTAACAGACAGACACACACACACGCAGACAGACCCAAGTACTGTAACCCTCGCTGCGCATGCGCGCCGAGGGTTAACTACTGTACCCTCGCTGCGCATGCGCGCCGAGGGTAAAACTACTGTAACCCTCGCTGCGCATGCGCGCCGAGGGTTAACTACTGTACCCTCGCTGCGCATGCGCGCCGAGGGTAACTACAGTAACGCACGCGCGCCGAGGGTTAATTAGCATGCGCCGTACCACTAATTGATGGGCTGGGTTTAGTTACCCGTGGTCTCTTGCCAGCTCGCGCAGTCTGACGCGGGCTAACTACACTACTAGATAGTATGCGAGAGGCGATACACGCCCTGCGTTGCATCTTCTGGTGCCTCCGAAGTATGCAGAACACGCGGATCGATCCGACTGTGGTAAGCCATCCCGTCCGTTGCATATTGGCTTTTTCGCGCTCTAGCTTTGCAGTTTCAGAGAAAACCGTTCGAAATTTCAGACCTTGATTGCCCGTTAAAATTTTCGGCCAAATTGCGTGGGAGGCACTGTCGCAAATCGCGGAATTGGGCTGCTAGACGGGTCCCTGTGCTAACGCATGGTCTTCCGACGCCCACCTCTTTTGCCACTTGCGCAGCAGAATTAGAGTAAAGAAGCTTTGTATTTCGCGCTTTTCACGCCCCTTTTTGGCTCACAGTAACGCCACAGCTTGACGATTTTGCAGGAAATGAGCTCTTACAGGAACTTGTTATTGCCTAAACTTAGGGGGTGCGGTCTGAATGACACGTGACGGTGGTGTGATTCGTTTTCAAAAGGGAACGTTACGGATCGTTGTTTTTCCCCGCAGAGAGCAAGAGAATGGATTCGTCAAGGTCTTTTGGTGAGTACTATATGCAGTTTTCCTGCGTAGACACCGCGCACATATGCTGTCACGCTGTTCGCGCAGTTTACGTGTGAGTATGCTGCTGGGTTTTGTCCCACGTTGACTAGCGCTCGCTGCACGCTGTAGGTACGTCGTCTTCCTTTTGCAGCCCTGTGTTCATCTTGTTGCTTTATGACCCTAAGCATTCTCGCGCTGATCCAGAGTCGTTTGCCCTGTGGAAGGCCCTTTGTAGGCCTTATGTGTCCCTGTGTTCTATTAGCAAGTCAGCAGGACTCTTCATGTGTAAGTCACGTGATTTTGCCTTTGAATACGCTCAGCATCCCCCTTCCACCCACCTACTAAGAGAATTGTCAAGCTGGCTGCTGCGGTTGGGAACCTCTCAGTATTATCTATCTAGATTAGAAACTGCACCTAATTTTCCCACCAACACTGAATAAATAATGCTTGCTTTTGCCAGTTTGGTGATGTGTGATGGTTCCCTCATTTCTAGAGACGCTTCTACTGTACTGGTGGAGAGAAAAAATCGTCGCAGCCATTCTGAATGTACTGGTGGTGTTCTATCATCATAATGAACAGGTGAGTGTCGGTTATTTTTTGTCAGTGCATTTCTATTGTTTCTTTCTCTATCAACTCACCTTCACCGTGCTGACGCACACTGTAATAAGTGCTCACCCAGCCAGTATCGCACGTTACCTTCTTTTGTGGTGATTTTTTTTCTTTTTGGTGGCAGTAGGCAATTGTAACATGTACATATACATGTATGTGACTTGTAGGTTGCTATGCATGCTCTACATGAAGGCCTGTGATAATTTCTGCACTTTACCTTTCTATTCACTCACAGTGTGTTTGTTGATGTGATGTTTCATATACACTGCAAATCATCGCTGTACTAGTGGTCTTCTTCATCATTGAACAGTGGTTTGTTGTTTATTGCATTTCTATTGTATCTGGTTCCATCAACTCACCTTCACCGTGCTGATGCACACTTTTTCGTTATGTTGGCTGTAGTCAATTGTAACTTACCGGTAAGTGACTTGCATTGTTCCCATAGTTTTTATGACCTGTGGCAATTTCTGAACTTTACCTTTCTATTCACAGTTTTTGGATGTGATGTTTCATATACACTCTGCAGGTTCCCTCATTTCTTCTACTGTACTGGTGGAGAGGAAAAAATCATCGCAGCCGTTCCGATGGTGTTCATCATAATGATCCGGTGAGCGGTGGTTTGTTTTGTTATAGTTTTCCTGTTTTTCGACAGCCTCCAACTAACCATGTGCCATAACAGTTATTTGGGGGTTTCCCCCTGTGATGTAGGTTTTAGCCCCTAATGACCTTGCCCTGTTAGCTCATTGGGCAAAGCACTTGTGCCTAGACTGCAGAGTGTAGTGGCTTTGAATCTCACCCAGGGCTGGGCAGCTCTTTTTTCAGAGTTGTCCTGGTGTTGTTTGCCTTCCTCTGCTGGTAATGTTGTTGACACATGTTCATGGCTACACTAGCACACCATCTGAATTTCTTCTGATCTCGCACCCACTGAATCCTTTAGCATTGCAACTGCAGTGTTCAAACCCCAAAAAAGTGGGAATGGCTGATCTGATGAGTCCTCCCACTATAAAATATAAAGGACGACAACCATCTCTGGGATGCATGGTTCCCAGGTTTTTTTTACCTGTAGCTAAATCACAAACTTGTGTGGAAGTGTACCCTTCCCTTTCAACTGCAAGAGTGATGCCACCACCATGAGTATTGTCTTAGTCACCCTCTCTGGGAACTGTTTGGGTGAGCCTTCAAGGTGTGCAGGATTGACCCAGTTGTGCAATCTCTGAGAGTGTGCTGTCAGGCATGCAGGTTGACCTGGTCTTTAATCTAGGGCTTCCTAATCTACCACCAAAATCTCATTACCTTCATATTGTTAGTGTAGCTGGTGGGGTGAGGTATATACTGAGCTGCCTCACTATTCCTAGTGCTCTGGCAAGTTTTGTTTCCAGTGGACCAGAATTGAAATTGGGACAAACCAGTCAAACCGGTATTCTGGACCAGTTAGCGAGAAACAGGCTGATGCACTCGTACTTCTAATATGTAAGTGCTCACCCAGCCATAGCACAACATTACTGTTTTTGACTCTCACTTCCATCATGCACACTTCACTTTACACTCACCCAATAGCCACGGATTGTATTGCCTCAGCTCTAGTGGTCATTATTGAGGTGTGGGTGCAGGCAAGTTGCACACAGATGCACAAAACACCCAGTTCTAATTAATGCACGTTGATCAGCGGTAGCGACAGATTTCCCCTCTCTCTTGTTGTTAGATATTGCATGGAGTCAATGCACACTCTACATGTACTGTTTGGAGTATTGCATTTATGAATTTCTATTCACTGTGGAATTGTATATTCTATAATGCAGGTTCATCCATTACAAGAGAAGCTTTTTCTAGACTAGTGGGGGGAACAACATCATTCGTTCCAAACTTAGTAGTGGTGTTCTACATCAATCAAGAGTGCCGTCATGATCTGCTGGTGAGCTGTGGTTGGTTGTCACTGACCTGTAAGTGGGTACCTAATAACATCCACTCTTCATGTGGATTCACACTGCCCGACAGAACCATACAAACTCATACAGTAAACCCTGGCATGGATAACTTTCTATATAGGCAAAATATTTGTGTGGTGTGAATCCACTCGTGAGTGACGACATTGTGGGGCAGTCATCTCTGTGTATGTATGAATTGAGACTGTCCCATGATGGGCCTTCAACCTCCTCGTGGTGTCACTTGGGAGGAAGTTGCACACAGTTTGCAACTCCCTGCGAATAGAAGGCAAAACAAGAACATGTGTGATGTATGTTATTTCTCACTGTGCTCATTACCTTGCAACCTTTCCTATCATGCTGATTTGCTAGTGTCTGGAGGAAGCCACATTCGTAACAGTCTGTGGAGACACACATTACAGGGTGATGCCTGTGTAACAAACAGTTGCATGCCCCGAACATCATCAGTATGTATATAATGTGTAGACATTGCTACTCACCTCTACGATACTTACATTTCACCCCTTCACAAATGGCACTGGTATACGAGTGTCAGCGACAGATTCACGCAATGAAGCGGCTTATATACTCCTTGCACCGTGTTCACTACTGCAGTAAAAAGTAGGGCTGTAGGGTCCTTGATGTGGTATGAGCATGCTCATAACCATTTCAGTGAGCAATACTTCCAAATGTTGTACCCCGTGAAAAATTGCCTCCATAGAAATAGGTCAGACTGTATTCCAAATTATCATCTGTGTCCAACTTCCTGTGCTCTCCAACTATCACCAACATTCTATACTCACTTATAGGGCCAACTTTTTGGATTTAATACCATGTTTCTGTGTTATTCTTCGTATCTCCTCTTCTCCCATTTTATAGGCTTTCTGAAGTCTTGCAAAGAGGGCTATGTACCTATTGTCTACATTTGGGATCTCAGTTGTTTAGTGAGTGTGTCTTTGTCACGATGAGATGGCCAAGTGTGACTCTTGCCACATCTGGTATCACCATTACTGCATGGACATTCCCAGCGAGGTGTTTGGGGACTCTGTGAGGTCCACTGGGAGTGCAAGAGGTGTATGCACTCACCAGCACTGGTAGGTCAGCACAGTGTGTGACTCTGACTCCAACTGTTTGCTGGAAGTTTCTCCGCGCTACTACCAGCATAACAGATTTATTTGCCGGTTCGGTGTCATTCGGGAGGAAGTTGCTATTATTTGTGTTCGTAACTTTCTGCTAACAGAAGGCAAAGTTTATAAATCCATGTTTATACCTGTGCTGTTTTGTTTGGTTTTGATGTTTTGCTGAAGCACTTTCATCTGTTTCCAGCAGTGCTAATTTGTCTAGACAGTCACCGAGAGTTTACAGAGCATAAGATGCTGGGGGACATTGTGGAAGGAAGTGGGTCATTATGCCAGTGTAAGCATACCACTTTCTTCTGGAGTGTTTTCCAGAGTCTGCTTATCATTGTGCTCTATACTTACTAGCTTTGACCCCCTTTTCAAATGACTTGATGCAGGGAAGGTTTTTGAATGTGAGCAACTTCATACTAATACAGCAAGGGGGCCCTATCCAACTCCCATCTCTTTCCAGCACCTATGTATTAGGAGCTGCTTTTATGTGTATGGTAACTTGCCCTAGCACAGTGGAGTGGGCTCTTATAGAGATAGTGTTTATTAGGAAGGAATGACTACTACCAAAAGGGAAGCTTTTTGTACCCGAGGTTAAACTATTCCCCCTAGATGAGTTTCGACTCTGGATTACGCCCTCAGCTTTCTTTATGTACGATCACTCTATTCGAATTCATTCCTTTCCGCCCTGTGCCCCCACCAATTCTTCTCCCTCTCTAGATTATATGGTATCATTAGTTTCCCTCCCACAGGACTCACTGCATACCTCAACTGTCGCTGCTCATCTCCCGCCCCTACAGCCCTCTTGTTACCTTGACTTCTCATTTAATTCCTAAAGCAGCTACTTTGGTCACATCTGTGCCAAGGTTTCATCTTGGTTATCCTCATTCCATCACAGTGTGCTACCGCTTTGAACGTGAGGAATAGCCCAAGGATTCCTATGGTAATACAAAAAAAAAAGTATGGTGCTAGGGTGCATATAAACTCAGAATGGGTGGTTGTGGGGATAGAAAATTTGCAGGTGCAGTAGGAATAACCACCCCCACTCTACCACCGTTATTGTAGTGTCACTGACATGTATAATTATGTCGGTGAATTATTGTGTATGTTAATTAGTGGCACATGTACATAATTATATACAATATGTATAGAGAGAGCATGCATGAAATATATGTCATAGCCTACCAGCCATAGGATATAGATAGATAGATAGATAGATAGATCGGAAATAAATATAAACAAACCACCACACACCATAGTTACAAACCCCAAAATATATCCACACAACACAACACACACAAATACACGAGACAGACAAGATAGTAGGACACTGGGTGCCAGCCTTGAGAACCGGGACGGTGGGTTAAAGAGTCTTTATGGCTAGCCAACTCTCCCCACACACCCAGCATCCAAACTCCACCATCACAAACAATGACATCCACCACAGTGAGTAACGTACGATAGTACAGTCACGACAACACATGTAGAGTACGACTAAAATATAAATATAATATATAATATATACACAAACACAGATGGTAGAAAAAGAAATTGGTAGCATTGTAGAAAAATAGAAACTTGTAGAATAAAAGCACTGAAGTGCAAACCCTCGGCGCATTTGTGACGCGCACGCGTAAGAAACGCAGGCGCCGTACCACTATTGATGGCTGGTTTAGTTAGAGCTGTACTCGTGGTCTCTTCCCAGCTCGCGCAGAGTCTGACGCGGGCTAACTACAACTACTAGATAGCATGCGAGAGGCGATACACGCCCTGCGTTGCATCTTCTGGTGCCTCTGAGGTACGCAGAGCACGCGGATCGATCAGACCGTGGTAAGCCGTCCCGTCCGTTGCCTATTTGCATATTAGCTTTTTCGCGCTCTAGCTCTGCAACGGAGCAGTTTCAGAGAAAACCCCACATATTTTCTGACCTTCATTGCCCGTTCAGTAGGTGGTATCCTTTGTGAGACGAACGAACACTCGAGAAGTGAGATGACGAGTAACAGACAGACACACACACACACACACAGACAGACAAACCCAACTACCGTAACCCTCGCTGCGCATGCGCGCCGAGGGTTAATGACTCACTTGTAGCAGTAAACACATGGTACAAAAACAGAATGACTTACTTGTAGCGGTAAAAACGTGGTAGAAAAATAGAATCTGGAATAAAATGACTTACGCAGGTGCACTATCGTGGTTCCTATTAGTGCCGCCCCACGTAGTGTACATAGTAAAATGTATGCAGTAGTCAACGTGAAGCTTATGTCTGACAACTGTGTGTGTACAAAACATCTAGCTACCAATCCCACGGGATCTTCTACTTGTCGAGACATGGCGGCCCAGGAATCCATCACTGGCTGGCAAACATACACCGTCCTCAATATGTCTACAATATGTCTACGTACACTGCGGTTGTATTTGCAATACAAATGATTTTGCGCAAACCTTCTAAATGCTTTACATAGCTCCGCATATCTAAATCCTTGCTTTATTAGTTTTTGTGTGAGTTTGTAATGTCGCTCACAAAATTGCTCGTAACCACTGCATATTCTACCTATACGTACAAGTTGGGAAATATATACACCATAAGCTGGTTTAGATGGGATGTTAGAACTCATATTTGGAAAATTCACGATCTCAAAGTGAAAACTATCCCTCTTATCGTACAACGTAGTAGAATATTTCCCATGTTCTATAGTAATAAGTATATCTAAGTAGGAAAGTGTAGTTGGGCTCTCCGTAGTTTTTTTAGCTGAAGCTCAGAAGGATAATTATGTCCTGTATGGCGTCATTAAATTGGATGTTATTTAATATAAGAAGGTCATCTATGTACCTCATTGTATTGGTGGTGTGAAAATTAATTTCTAGGAGCAGCTATACATATACAGCAATAATTATCACCATACAGGGCTTACTTACATAGACAGAAACAGAATGAAGTTCGAGTTCCAACTAGCTATGGATTTCTAAAAATTCCCTGATGACCAAAGGTCACATCCTCAACGTCACCTGCCCCAGACCAACACCACCTTGGACTTTTATCAAGGCCCCCAGGGGCCTGTTCGGTGGGAGGCTGTTGGGGATGTTGGCAGGGGAGGACACATTTCCGGACCATGAAGCCACCGGAGAGCCCGAATATATAAATGTGTCTTTCAGGTGGATAATGATCTTCCTGTACGTGTCTGCTGGAAGCCGGTGGAAAAGCTCTGGGTAGAACTCTCTGCGCGTAGTTCCCACGCTAGCCGGCCTTTCCAAAGCATGGTCATCTTCTGAGCAAGGCGTCATCATTACAATCTGGTACACGTACGCTTGAAGTTTTGTAGGCTTGTTGGTGCATCGTTTGCTTGCAGGATTGGGGCGTTTGGCTGCCCCAGAGCGGTGTGTACTGCGTCTCAATCATAGAGTATGATTAGCCCAGGGTCTTCCGCTACTTCTCTCGAGTCCTCGGCGTCCATTGGGGAGTCGCAGGCGAGTTGCAGGGCGAATCGAGCAGGGGGCCGGGGAGTCGCAGGCGAGTTGCAGGGCCGGGGAGTCGCAGGCCAGTTTCAGGGCGAATCGAGCAGGGGGCCGGGAAGTCGCAGGCGAGTTGCAGGGCCGGGGAGTTGCAGGCCTGTTTCAGGGCGAATCGAGCAGGGGGCCGGGGAGTCGCAGGCGAGTTGCAGGGCGAATCGAGCAGGGGGCCGGGGAGTCGCAGGCCAGTTTCAGGGCGAATCGAGCAGGGGGCCGGGGAGTCGCAGGCGAGTTGCAGGGCGAATCGAGCAGGGGGCCGGGGAGTCGCAGGCCAGTTTCAGGGCGAATCGAGCAGGGGGCCGGGGAGTCGCAGGCGAGTTGCAGGGCGAATCGAGCAGGGCCAGGGCCGGGGTATTGATTACAAGTCATAAATGCTTTCATACTTTTATACAGCATGTGAGAGAAAGGACAAGGTAGCTACTCGTTCAAAATACATGTCGTGAATGCTTTTGTACTGTTACACACAATGTGAGAGGAAGGACAGGGTAACTACTCATTCAGAATAGCTTGATTACATCTGGTGATTGCTTTTACTGCATGTGAGGGAAAAGAAAGGATTAGATATACTCTGAATACTCAAATTATACGTGAAGAATGCTGCATAAATAAGCATCCTGGGCGAACAAGTTAGCCTGTTAGGTAAAGGGCAGGCCAAGTTTTAGGGGTTTATACCTTTGACACATTTCATAATTAGGGGACACCTATATAACACAAGATGTGACAATTTGTAAAAGATTACTAGGGGCTAACATGTGGGGGTATAAACACACCAGGTATGATATTCACTATGTGTGTAAATACAATAGGCTATACAGATATACAAATATAATTTATTGGTGTCGGATAGGCTAGGTAAATATCTTGGAAATCTGTACCTTATACATCAAGGCAGTGAGGGGCTTGCTAACCATCCTGAATACCCTGATTATGCATAGTGACGGTTTCGTACATTTCGTACTTTTATCAAGCATGTGAGGGAAAAGACATGTCTACTAAAGAAGTGTGGATATTTGTGAGAGGAGGAGGAGGAGGAGGAGATGGGGGGATAAAATTGCAGAATAGCAGAAAGGTAAAATAATCGTAATATAAGACGGGAAAGATAACTATGACTATGTGTGCAAGATACGTATATACTTGCAGCTAAATTGGACCAGTGAGTTTCTGTGTCTGGGAAACTTGTAAAAGCAAGAATATGCAGTGTTGGCGAGAAAATAAGTTGCAGTTTCTAATCTAGATATATTCCCAAAATTATATGGTTTTTTATCTACATCTGTTTCAGAGGTCCCCAAACGGCAGAGGTCCCCAAACGGCAGTAGCCAGCTTGACACTTCTTAGTAGGTGGGGCATGGGGAATGTTGGGCCTATTCCAGGCAAAATCACGAGACTTACATATGACTCCTGTCTGCTTAGAGGTCATTATTAGACTAAAACACAAGGGGCACATAAGGCCTACAAAGAGCTTCCACAGGGCAAACGACTCTGCATCAGCGCGAGAATGCTTAGGGTAGATGAACACAGGGCTGCAAAAGGAACACGACGTACATACAGCGTGTAGCGAGCGCTAGTCAACGTGGGACAAAACCCAGCAGCATACACACACGTAAACTGCGCGAACAGCGTGACAGCATATATATGTGCGCGGTGTCTACGCAGGAAAACTGCATATAGTACTCACCAAAAGACCTTGAGGAATCCATTCTCTTGCTCTCTGCGGGGAATGCCGAGGAAATGGGCGTCGGAAGACCATGCGCAAGCCCAGGGACCCGTCAAGCAGCGCAATTCCGCGATTTGCGACAGTGCCTCCCACGCAATTCGGGCGAATCTAAAGTAGGCCGTATCCTTTGTGAGACGAACAAACACCCGAGAAGTGAGATTGAGAGTAACAGACAGACAGACAGACAGACACACAGACAAACCCAATGAAAAGCACTAAAGTGCAAACCCTCGGCGACCTGGGCATGCGCGGTACCGCTAATTGATATGTAGTATACTCGTGGTCTCCCGCTAGTAACGTCTGACACGGGCTAGCTACAGTAGTAGATAGCATGTGGGAGTCGATACACGCCCTTCGTTGTGACTTCTCGTGCCTTCAAGCAGACCCGAGCCTGTTCAAAATATAAGCGCATGCGCATTTTCCGCAGCGATAAAAATGGCCGACTAGCATTAGCCGTACAATGACGGAAGCGCTCTCTAGCTCTGCAACGGAGCATTTTCAGAGAAAACTGTTCGAAAATTCTGACCATCATTGCCCGTTAGGTAGGTCGTATCCTTTTTGAGACGAACAGACACTCGAGAAGTGAGATTGAGAGTAACAGACACACACACACACCCCAACTACAGTACCCTCGCTGCGCATGCGCGCCGATGGTAACTACTGTAACCCTCGCTGCGCATGCGCGCCGAGGGTTAATTATTATGAAGATCTTTGGCCTTGTAATCTTTAGCGAATTTCTTCCCCTTTTGCTTAATTTGGTTCCCCATTCATTTCATAACCATGATTGTCGGCACATTTTTGGGGAAAATCATGATACAATGTCTCCATCGAAACACAAAATCTAAACACCCCCCTTGAACAACAATAGACTTAGAGTGCTATAAGGTGATGATGAAATAAACTATATATAATTATGTGAAAGTGATCACCAAAGTTAATGTTCTACTTGGTGTTGTGTTGTTTGGTGTGTGCCTTCAACTTGGGAAAGTTGGACTGTTCTTCCCCACACACATGGCATCTCAGTGGCATCTTCAGCAGGGAGTCACACGTGGCCTTGTCAAACACCTCCACACTCCCCTTCTCCTCCAGTGAGGAAATGATACTCTGTGCATCAATGAAAAACTCTGTCGTGAAAGAGTTCCAGTGTTTCTTGTGTTTGAGGCACCCAGAGTCAAAGTCTTGGCTCACGACGTGCATGTGGAGTCGGGCCATGCTCGGCTGTGCGTGTAAACCGTATCGAACGGCGAGTTTATGCACTGCCAACTCTGTTACAAAGTCTGTTGCTACTTGGAGCATGTGTTTCAGGAGAGGGAGGTGGGACACGCTGAGTGCTTTGAGGCTGGAGATGTCTGTATGGGGCAGGACAAGGTAGTGGTGTCTGGCCTTCGGGTATTTGTCCCTGATCATCACCATTCTGTCGTCTGACATGACAATCATGCTGGGGTCACTCATGGACTGGAGGAGACCCTGGCTCCAGTGTCCAGTCGGGCGCTTTGCGGGCAGCGTTGCTACGCTAGCACAGCCTGCTCGCTTCATCTTTGCTCCTCTTTACTCCAGCAGCAAAATGTATCGATGATAAGATAAGGAAGGGGGAAAAGATGATCCAAGTGGTAGATCGAGCAGGAGGAGTGTCTGGCACAGGTGGGAGGGGCTCTTACGTCATAACGTAAATAGCAACCTTTGACCCCTAATATCCGACGTCGACGAAGACGGAGTTGTTGGTGGTTGACGTTGTCTGAACTAGTATCCTTGACCTCGGTAAAGAGGATGTCGGCTACTACGGAGGAAGCAGCGCCGCCTAACACTCACTCCAGAAGGGAGAGAGCCTTCCTGGGGCAACTACCGAGCGATTTCCTCCGCGTAGAACCGGCCTCAACGGCGGCTCACCCCTCTTCCTCCGGGTACTGTCTCACTCTAAGTGATCGTACTAGTGTTTACCGCTCGCTTGTGTAGTACGAGTCCATGCACATTCAGTGGCTCTCGCGCTAGCTTGTTTGGCACTGGAAACTGGGTCGCCCCATGCTCTTATCTGCATGGCGCCATAAAGAGAGATATGTGTCTCTGTTGATACTAGAGCTGGAGACTATCCTTTATGTAACCTCTTGTACCCGTATGTAAGAGTCTTCAGGTCCTATTTCTTGCTTCTTTCAGTGGGTGCTTGTATCATTCACTTGAATGAGGAGAATAATGTAGTATGTGTGTGTGTTGTTCCGTGGGTTCGTAAAGTGCACACCGTGTCAGTTGTAGTTTACTCTACAGACCTATTACGCGGACCTGTGTACCACAATTTATGTTTGGCATGCCGAGTCTGTTATTTAGTGTGGTTCATTAATTATACAAGTAAGTATAGAAATTTCCCTGTGGTAATCTTGTTCCATTGGCTGTTTGTGTCTAGGGACCAGCCTCACCTTGCACCAATGAGTTTTGGAAGACCAGCGGCTCACCAGCGCCCTCATGAGGCAATGCTCGGGAGACTCAAAGTTACCATTGCTCAGGTACATTACTCTATCCTTCCCTCTCCCTCCCTTCCGATATCTCCATCTCTGTATCTCACTTCCTCACTTCGTCTCTCGCTCCTTTTCCTCCCTCTCCCCCTATCCCCCTTCCCACACACTTTGCATGTGGCACACAGTGTGGTGTGTAAAAGCACGACAAACCAGCTTAGTAGAAATTAGGGCGCAGTGCACTGTATACGTTAGTTCCAACTACGTTTCTTTATTCAGCAGCAGCAGTGTTGAATCACAAGGGATTCTTAGTCTGATGCCCACTCAGGGCAGCTCGCTCTTTCTTCGGTTTGTTTTGGGTGTAGTTGTGTTGCCTCCACACAATCTTTACTACACGTACGCAAGCTCAATTCGACCATTAGATCTTAATTGAATGGATGTAGTAGTGAAGCTTGTTGGGTTCCTTTGCCTGGTGAGCTATGTAGCTGTTGAAACATACACGCAGTATACATATACTCCTTCTTGCTATGTACGGAATCACCCCACTGAGTGTTACTATGGATGCCAAAGCTCTCTGTTGTGGACAAGGCTTGTTGTTGTCAGTTGTTGAACTATTGAAGACATAGCACTGTCCCTTAGTCCCTTAGAAATCTGTCTGCAGGTAACTGTATTGACACATGGTGCCCTGGTGCTGGTGCCACTAATGTAATAGTGGGGGGCCTTCCTAACCTGGAGAGCTGGCTGTTAGTCTAGACAGGTAGTCTGGACAGGGTGCCTCCCCCTCATTAGTACTGGGAGTTACTTGTCTAGCTACTACCTACAGGTCATTTACAGGAGTATGTGATACACATTGGCTTGAACTTGCCCTTACGTCATCCATCATAAACGTAAGGCCAACGCCACATGATACTGCTGTACTTACACATAACTATGACTCCATACATTAGTACAAATGTCGATAAAAATTTCATGCTGCTGCCATCCTGCGTCGCTGGCTGAGGAATAGGAGATTGCGACCCTGCACCAGGAGGATCGAGTAGTGGAAGTAGGCGAAATCCCTCATTCTCGTGTGCATGTACATAAGATCAATATGGGGACTTAAAACTATGGTGTATACTTGTACCATAGATGTATAGTGCCTTGGGAAAGTGTTGTCACTACCGCAGAGGGTAAAAAAAAACAGCTAGGTGTATTCTCCATGTGATGAATGCCTATCATAGTTATAAAGAAGTGAAGCTGCGAGGGTTATGCACCGTAAAGTGCTTTTCTGTACTCAGTGTGTATGTACAAATGACTAGCCTTTAGAGACTTGTACAATGGTCCCCTCTCTCTTGACAACCTCCCCCCCTCCCCACCCTCACTCAGGCCAAGCTGTCTAAGAACTACGGGTTCACAAGGATGGACCCATACTGTCGCATCCGCATCGGCCACTCTGTCTACGAGACACCCACTGACCTGAACGGCTCTAAGAACCCTCGCTGGAACAAAGTGTTCAGCTGGTAATGATCCACTCTAGTATGCTTACTGTATTATGGGTATTGCCATAATATTATAATACAGAAACTCTTGACCACAAAAAGTAAGGTGTGGTGAACTGTGGTTTTAGCAATGCGTTGCACACTAGCCGACTGTTTTGGAGGAAAAGTGTTTTTTGTCATATTTCAGTGTTTCCCGCAGGGTAATATTCAAACAAGGTGCTTATGAATTATTAATTCCCTCAGCTTTCAGGCTGAAAAACATTACTTGCTACTCAGTTTCAAGGCACTTCCTGTTGGGAAATCCCCTACTTGCCTAAAGCCTTTCAAGTGCTACTCTATAAGCCATACACAGTGTAACCATGCTATATACATGTAGTTGCATTTTACGCATGGGCAATAATTGTACACGTCCATTTTCAGGATTTTTCATTCCGGGCGGAGCGCCCGGTTGTTATAATGCTGCGGGAAACACTGTATTCCCATTGTTACATATGTAATGTGGAGTAATCTATGATTAATTTTCTCTCTTTCTATCTTCCAGCAACATACCACGTGGGATAAACAGCATGTACATTGAGATTTTCAATGAGGTACGCCAAGTCCATATCAATACAACAATCTTTGAGTTATTTAATTTTATACTCAATAAACACGTTGAACCACAGTACACATTTCCGTATGTGAACGTCATTCAAAACTTCAGCACAAGTTTTTTTTTGAGTTTTTGACGACTCCGTTTCCCTCGGTCTGTATGTGCAGCGAGGGTTACAGTACTCAGCCCTTCTGTCTAAGGCTATTCTGGCACTACAGGCTACGAGGCAGCCTATGACTGATAGCAACAGCTTTAGAGCGATGAGAGCAGAGTTTCAGTAACAGGTTATGAATTTAGCCCCTTGCATACTGACACATTCCCTATAATCTGAGACAACCCGGTGAAGAAAGTGGTTGTGCAAGTGGCTTACATTACTCCATTATTGGCGAGCGGGAGCGAGCTAACCTAGTGGTACGAACAGCGCGATTTTTCTATATATATAATTATATATTTATATACGACCGTTTGTACGTCGTCCATATCCTATCCACTAACCATATAACCGTATGGTGTGCAGCGCTACCTGGCTCTGGACGACCGAGTGGCGTGGGCCTACTTCCAGTTCACCAGTGACATGTTCAGTGGAGAGACGATAGAAGAGTGGGTGGCCCTGTCGGGGAAACAGGGGGAGGGGCAGGAGGGAAACATAAACATCATCCTCTCTTTCACTGTTAGTTGAGCACTCTTATTAGAGGGTAGTACATACAGTGCCATACAAAAACGTTCAATATTACGAGTACAAACTTGTGGCGCCTTTTATTTGCCCATGCAAACTTCAAAAAGTATATGCTCATCTGTACATGTACACTACTTTATGGATATCCCTACTGTGGCTTTTTAACATTCCTACAGTTTTTGTGTGGCACCTACAATGTAATTAACCCTCGGCGCTCATTCGCAGCAAGGGTTCACGGTCCTTGGTTTGCATGTGTGTCTGTGTGTCCGTCTGTCTGTCTGTTACCACGTTTTCTGCGACGAGACAATAAAAGAGCGATACCAACGGGTTCATCGCTACACTGGCTTCATTTCTAAAAAGGCGATTATCGTAAAAAGAATACTCCATTAGAAAGTTATGGCGTGAAAAGCAAGTGAACAAGCCAATTGCAATTTAGCACAGGCTTACCTCGACCGCGTCCGCTCGCTCTTGTACATCTTGCAGGCACAACGAAGGGCATGTATCGACTCCCGCATGCTATCTACTACTGTAGCTAGCCCGTGTCAGACTCTCCGCAAGCTACTAGCGGGAGACCACGAGTAAATGCATACTAATAGCCCAGCCCATCAATTAGCATGCGCAGTTTGCTGAGGATTTGCACTTTAGTGCTTTTCATTTACATTATGGAGAGTGTTAAAAAAGAGTGGAAGTCATTGCTGTGTGCGTCTGGACATCGCTTTGCCGGAATAATAATATTGTTAATCTGCCGATCTACATATTGTGCCTCTGTGCTGTGCACAGTGTCCTATTTTGGTCATACATACAGTGTGGCTTACTCACAATAAACCTATGTGTACATGGACTACTTTCTCTTTTCTAAAACACTATGAAGTGTGTTATAAAGCAGTGTGGCTATCATCTTTTCCCCTGTTGTACTGTGTGTGCCCCCCACTCTCAGCCTGCACCCCCAGCCGCGTCCTACCAGATGGGGGCCTACGGCAACCAGCCAGTCAGTATGGCCCCACCGGGGATGCCAGGGGCACAAATGTTGTACGGAGGCGGCTATCCTCCTACTCTGTCTCAGCAGCACCAAATGCAACAAATGCAACAGCTCCAACAGCAGCAGCAGCAGCAACAGCAACTTGCAGGTTTGGTTTTCCCGAAAGTTTACTACTGCATTAGTCTTTGAGTGAGGTCGGTCGTAAGCATTTTAGAGGGAGTGATCAATCGCCCTTTTGAAAAACTCCCCTAAAAGTACTTATGTATTATGTTGTTTAAGATTGTCGGCCCGTGTTCATTGTCATTTATCCAAACTTCCATTTTTACCACTTTACTCCTTGTACGGAGGTTTTAAGAGGTTTCCTACGACTTCACATTTTTAGTATATAGGGTAAAATTTGTTTACAATTTCCGAGATTGTGATTGTAGCTAGAAGGTAACTGTTTGAAAAACTTGAGTCTGTCTCTTTCTGCACCCCTGTGTTTGTTTTGAGAGCTTTCTACTTTCTATTTTGTAATAATGTGTCAGACCACCATTTCGGGGATTATGATTGTTAACGTATGATTCTCTCCCTTTCTGTTTCTCTCCCTTTCTCTCTCTCTCCCCCCTCTCTCCCTCTACCCCTCTCTCTCTCCCTCTCTCTTTCTCTCCCTCCCCCCCCCCTGTGGTCTGTTATCCAGGGATGCAGCAGGCGACGCAGCGACCGCAGATCAAGGACGAGGACGTCTCGCGGCTCCAGGAGATGTTTCCGACCCTCGACACGGACGTGGTTCGCTCCGTCCTCGAGGCCCATCACGGAGTGCCCGACTCTGCTGTCACTGCTCTCCTCCAGATGACAGAGACCTGATTAGCTACAATCAGGACCGTACAACCCCAATTTCGGACACACTGACTTGTATAACATTATAATTATGCACACATGAACACACATTGTGGCTCTCTGGAGAGTGTATATATACTTGGACCTGATGTCTGATTCCGTCAATGCTTTTTTATTAGTAGCCTTAGCAATTTCCTGTGTATAGATTGGTGGAGTATTGTGTACGTATTATGTACGTATTCAAGTGCACTGCATACTACCAAAGCAGCTCTGGGTTAAACTATAATACCATTTTGTTCTCCAACCCACCGTCGCAATAAAATCAAAGCTTGCCTGCACCAGAAAACGACTCAGAGCTGCTTTGGTAAATGTGCAAAACCCTCACAGAGTGTGAATGTAGGCTTAACTGCTGTGAATGTATGCATTAATATAGGTGTTGGTTGTCCTATATAGAGTGTCTATGATGTGTTGGGTGTCTGTTGTGTCCACTTCTTGGACAAGATAAAGGCATGCAACTAAGAAAGGAAGTGGATTTAGTGCGCCTAACGCTGATGGTTGTTTGTGACTCAGTCTTTAAATGAAGTAACAAGACTATCACTAAGTACGGTAGTAGTTAGTATAATGACACAGGTTGTCCTGCATTATGCCCAAACATTTGAGATTTTCATGTTTCACTTTCAGTTTCAATCATATCCAACTTTTGACACATCAGATTGATCCGTATCGTCACACAAAGAGCATGTATCCAAGAAATGGCTTAAATCGCATAATCTGTACTTGATTTATTCAAGAAAGCTAGTTTTCAAAATTGTTGTTGTTCAGTTTAGACGCGTATCTCAAAAAACCAGCTAAGATATGGAGATGGAACTTTGCACAGAGATTGGAATCCATGACAGGTCGTGCAAGAGCATTTTTTTCCATCAAACATTACAAGTTTGTAAACAACAACAAACAGCCTCAAGGCAATTGAAATGTGCTTGTGCATATAACTTGCTTATGATGGGTCCTCTCACAATGAAACTTGGTGCACTTATGTAAAGTAAATGACGACAAAATGTCTGAGACGATATCTTAAAAAGCCAATGTTACTTTTTTATGGGCTTATGGCACACCATGCAATAGAAAAGAATTCCATTCACCTTTTAGCAATAGAACCAAATCACTATAATTATAAAAGTGAAGAACTAGGTATAGCCTGTAGGCGGCTTAATGGTGTAGCTAATGCAACCACCCATTGTGAGGTAAGAATAATTATAGTACGGTGAAGGGACTACCTCAGTTACAATGTAAACAAGCGTTGTGCTAGCTATTCCACAAAGGTATTATATAACACTAAGGAACAAGCAATGGTGTGGGAGCATGCTCACCCAATATATACACATCTCAAGACCAGCAAATAAATGCAGGTGAAGTGTGTTGAAACACAGTTGGTTTGGTGCTGGCTGCACTTTCAGTTGTTGTTGGTTAGCCACTTTTCCCAACGGTCAATTGTCCCCACAATAATAGGATTCATTTCCCTTTCATTCATTTTTGAATCACGAGCCAGCACAAGTGGAGGTGCAGTTGGGGAAGGTTAAGTGTTATAGTCAAACCACCCCGAACTAGCGCACAACAACCTGATACACCTTGTTCCCCCCGGTGGAGGTGCAGTTGGGGAAGGTTAAGTGTTATAGTCAAACCACCCCGAACTAGCGCACAACAACCTGATACACCTTGTTCCCCCCGGTGGAGGTGCAGTTGGGGATGGTTGTCGAACCTCACCTAACTTGACAAAAATGGCTCATCATGCCTTAATTATTAGTGTGCTCTGCACTTCTCAACAGCACCACACCATGGACCAATATTATTATTAATTTTGTTGTATCATAATTATATACGCTTGGTTGACGTTACTAAGCAACTACTGTTCCTGTACATAGCTATGATGTACTGACTACAACTGTTTTATGGACAGTTATTTTGCCTAGATTGAATGCAATTCAAGGCTTCTTTGACGAGTGAACACAACTTAACCTGTCCATGAACTACTCTACATAATTATAGCTAATGCATCTTTTGGTAATTGCATGAATCCGCTTTCTTTTTTATTCCCGATACTGCTTTCTATTTGACGCTGTGAAAAACGTGTACTTTGTAGAATGTTGCAGTAGGTAGCTATTAATTATAATTATTATGTCATAAGATCTTGCATAGCTTCACATTCCGGTATGATGCTAATGTAAGTTTTGCAGACCTGCATGACTTGACATGCTGGGGATATCTACTGTCACGGTTTAAAAACAAGCATGCTGGGAAGTGAGGTGCAAGTCACTAGCTAGTGGCCACGCAGAAGAAAATTGAAAAGAACATAATTCACACTAATTAACAATAATATCTCAGCTTGTCTCAAGTCTCTACAATTTCTTGTACAATCTGGAGTATTCGTGCTGCACATGCTTCAGCTTCCTCGGCATTTTGCAGTGTAAAATTTTCATAGGGAGGAGACGGTGACAGATTTTGCTTAGGAAATCGTGTATCTTCATAGTAGGTTGGCTCTAATGGTTGTGCAAGTGCTAAAAGACCTCTAGCTATTTCTGGTTTCACTTGTTCGATGGCATGTGCTAATGGGATTATGTTGTGGTTTTCACGCGATTCCTCCCTCAAGCTGCACGTTGCGTACATTGCACCCTTCAGGGCTTTTTCAGCTACTTCGTGTGCCAAGAAACAGACATGACCAGACAACGTGACATCAATTCGAGCCTCCTGTAGTAGTGTCTTGAGTGCCTTTTCATCCACTAATGCCTGTCTCACCCATTGCTGAGCCTCCCTCTCTCTTCTCGGTGGAGTATACTCCTCATCGAAAAAAGATTGGCTTGCGCCACCTCTATGCCATTGACGGTGCCTTGGTCTTGCCCCGCCGCTGAACTGTTGCTGATATTCATCATGGTACTGCCTATGCTGTCTAGCAGTGCTGTCCCAGAAATGTTGGAAATTCCGCCAAGAGTATGTGCCTGATTCATTTGATATGCTTGGCCCGGCACCCCTCTCTAATCTATCCAACTCTTGTAAAAGGAACTTGAAAACCTCCTCGGCTGCATCCTGATTATGCGGGTTCTTGTCGGGATGCCACTTTAGATAGAGACGATGTATGGCTCTCTTTCGTTCCTCCTTCGGAAGATGCCAAATCTCCTGCAGCTCTTCCCTAACCTCATCTTTCGCCTTCTGGACATCAATCGGTGCAGGAGTAGCAGAAGTGGCCACTGCAGCTGGAGGCGGTACATCTTCCGGATTTCCCTCAAATGCCACAAGTTCCTGACAGTCTGACTCAACCTGAGGAGCTTCTTGAGGTGCAGTTTCACCTCTAATAAACTTGAAGATTTCTATAGCTTTGACTCTCTTGCCCTTCCCTCCCCGATCTTCTTCACTTGTGAATATTATATATTTCATGTGCATTGGCCTCAAAGGTTTCCCAGAGTCATCTTTCAAACAGACAACATGACTAACCATAGCCACAATAATCCTCTGTTCTTCCTCTAGTGGTTGATATGCAACAAACTCTTGTGGTTGGAAGATATTGTGACAACTTTGGTCTAATCTGAAGTGCAATGATGCAGGTATAGGAGCCCCGAGTGTTAGCTCATGATCAATATCGACTCTGTTTGTCAGTTCACTGCAGCTAATCTGATTATCTTGCATGAAGTTGTACACATCTTCTGTAGTGCTTGACCTCAACATTTTTGCTAGGAAATCTTGCAAAGTGCTCAAATCTGGAATATCTGTGTCTCCTAAGCATGACAATAACTGCTTTGCTATTAAGTCAAGGGCATCAGATATGCTATAGCTCCTAATGCTACGGTCAACGTATACATGGTATGATTGCTGCTTTTCCTCTATGTAACACGATACAGGCTCAGATGCTATTTTTGTTTCCATGTTATCGTTCAGAAACAGGTCTAATATCAGAGGTTTAACACAATGAATTTCAAGTGAATCCAAAAACTTAGTGGTGTATTCCAAGAATACTGAACCAACTCTCTCTTTATCTTTCAAAGCCGCAGATTTCACAACCAAGGACATTCCCTGTGTGAGATTAGGAACCATTAATGTCCTTTTTAACTCACTAACAAAGTCTGGTACATCCTCACAGGGTTTGCAAGTGGTAGAAACTTGAGTAGTACACAAATGTGATAGGGGCCTTGGCCTAATAGACTTCGGAAGTAACGCTGAAAAAACCTCTGGAAACATATTTTCGGGAGTCCAAAGCAAGAATAGGTTTGTACCTTCCAAGTTGATCGTACCTCGGATTTTACTGTGCACCACCATATCAGTCGGATGTAGTCTGTTGTCTTTACCAGGCAAATACAGTGGTGTTAAATTTTCTGTTAGGGCTATCTCTCCCATTCTGAGATCGGACTATCTCTATTCTCCTTCAGTAATGACTCCATCTTTAGCATCGCTACACTGACAGCTTTTCTTGTGTTTGGATCGAGCTCCATGCTACCTGCACCTGTAAAGGCTGACTCAAGAACTATCTGCATGTGCCTCAATTCAATGGAATTTTGTACACCAAGCCTCTCCAGAAATTCACTAGCACGATGTAAAGGTCGCTGGAGGCTGTGAATGAATGGGTAAAATGGCTGTGTAATTTCTGTTGGTCTAAATACAACACAATTAGGCTTAACCAGAACGGGAAATTGGCCCCCTTTATCGTCAAACATTGCGTACACAGGAATGCATGGTAGCGACTTCAGTTCATCAAGTTCTAATTCTGGGGATTGTTGCAGGCGCTCAAATATCATTGCCATCACATCCATTAGCTCACTGTGGCCTTGCTGACAATGGGGGGCAGTGTATTTCATAAATTGGTTTGGATCTGCAAAGCATGTCTTTGTAAGAACTGTGAGATTCATGAGCACATCTTCAGCCGTTGGCTCACATATACCAAGATTTTTAAGCAAATCTTTGTTGTTGTCCTTGACTGAGACAATGGTTTTCACTGCCCACACGAGGTCTTTGAAGTGTTCAGTGCAAGAGCTGCTAATTTACAGAGAGGTAATTTTTCACCGCTACGAAGCACCAAACAATTTGGGTGCCTGAGGAACTTTTTTTATCCATTCTAACTCTGGTATTGGAGGTTGATACACAAATGGTATATCAGAAATATTTGCTAGAAGATTTGTGTCACTGTGGAACTCATGAAACTTGGCCTCTTGTTTTGAAAAGAGATAGTCCAAAAGTACTTTAGAGCTGGCTTTGGTTTTTTCCTTCATTTTTCCACCAGCTACATCATTACAAAGTGTAACGAATACCTCAGAAGTTACATTTTCTGAAGTCCGATTTGCATAAAAAATTCCATCCACAGATCCTCTTCTTTTCGAAACTGATCTGGAAGCATTTGGAAGTGCTCTGGAAATGTACGGAAAATTACCTTCTTGTGAGTATGAAAATTTTTAACAGGCTGCAGAGTTGTACCATCTTCTCCTATGCAAGGAAGTTTTGTAAGCTGTGAAACAAAATGGTTTGCTGAGCTGTCATTTTTCTGTTTGACAAAGTTTGTGTCGAAAAGGACATCTCGGATGTGACTCAAATGAGCGTATCGTTCACTTCCATTCAACGTGGAAAATACTGGAAAAATAAACCTAACATAAGTTTCCTCAGCTGATATTGGTTTTATTCCAAGAAGATCATCAACACCCAAATCCCTCCATTCACGTTTGGGTTTCAAAAACACAAGATCAGTGCCTCTGAGCCATTTCTCAGCACCTTTCTTGCAAATACCTTTCGGCCAAATATAGACTCTTCTTCCCTCAATTGCTGTGAGGGTGCCACCGACTGTTTCAAACAAAGGCAGGCTTTTAAGATGCGTGCAACATTCCCACATTTTTCTGAAGTGGATATTTGAAAAATATGTGAGAAGTTTTGATGCAATTTGCACAGTCATGACATCTGAAAAGGGGAATTCTCTGTGCAAATAGAAGAGGTTCTTTAGGATTCTTGCATGCTCAGAAAGTTGGGGACAAAATGTGCATGCAATTTCAGCGGGTACTATTTCAGTGTCTATAAATGGCCCTTTGAAAACCTGTTCTATCTCTGAAGAAATATCAGGGGTATGGCATGTCTGTGTTTGCCTGAAGAGCAATTGGAAGTAGTTGGTCGTCTGATTCACATCGAAATAGTCGACGATCCTTTGTTAACAGTAGAGCCCATACTTTCAAAACTTCGGCCAAAACTGACTTGAATACTTCATCGTGAGAAAAACACTCCCACAAAAGTTTTACTACGGCCATGTTTACTTCTTCATCTTCTGCTGAAACATATCTGTTTTTTAACTTGGCTGGAAGAATGGTTTCAATCAGCTCTTTCACTATTTCCACACGTTCTGGATCCACTACTGAAAGAAAGTAGGATTGAGAGTAAGAGCATTCAATAAGCTCTTCGTGTAAAAATCTATTGGGAGATTGTGGAAACAAGTTTGTGTACTCTGAGCAGAGAATTTTGTTTGCCTGATCGAAAATACACAGCTGATTATCAGCATTCAAGAGTAGTGGCTGGCCAAAAGGCTCTTTGGGAAACGTACACTGTTCTTCATCACCCTCATCCAAGAGAAAGTCAGTGAAAGATTTAAAATCACCAACACACTGGAAAGGTGTTTCTTCAATTTGAACTGGGTAATTATCAGCAATGAATGCCTGGTTAAAGAGACTGTAGAAATTGTACACACTCTCTGGAGATACAGATGGAATTTTCAGTTCAGCCTTTTGAAAATGGTCCAAGATCCATAACGGGGCATACGTGATTTTCATCCCAATTCTTTCCAGGATTGATTTGATTTTGTCATTTTCACTCTCTTTGTGTGCAACATTTCTCCAGAAGTGGACCTGAGACTCAGGCATTTGGTCACTCTTGAGTGGCCTCCACTGCAGAAAATATTCGTCTTCGGATGATCTGAGAGATTTTTTGGTAGGCACTGCTAATACTGGAGAATTGCAGGCAGACATTACCTTATAAACCTGTTGAACTAATGTCAGCCATGGCTCTGATAGTGGCTCCTGCCCAGAAGTATTAGGAAAGCATAGGTAGTAGTCTCTTAGGGATTTTACGAGGGAATCTCGACGATTGCATCCTTTTATATTGGGAAAATATTCTGGAATGAGCTCTAGAAATTTGGCATAGGATGAAGCAATGGCTTGAAGAATGTTCTCATTCCAGCGTGACTTGTCGTCTCCCCTATCGTCTGTGGCTGTCCAAAGGTTTCGCCGCGTGGAATTTAGGATAAAATGGCCATTTATGTGAACAGGTAGTTTAGAGGACAGAGGCAAGGGAAGAAAGCAGAACACATTACCAACAAAGGGCTCTTCTCTTCTACGACTCAGAGGAGCTGCCAAACCATGTCTTGGCTTGACTTGTTCCACATATTTCCAGGTTTTCACTCCTTCTTGAATATCTCCAATGCCCTGCTGTACAAGCCATTGTTCCTTTCTTTCTCTCCCCTTTGCTGATTCTACGACAGTCAGTGGATAGCATGTGACAAATGGCCTTGTAGGTTCTTGGGTAGCAAAAGTCTTAAGGTTTGCAGTCAACTCCTTTCGATTCTCCATAGCTATTTCACCAAGTTCTGCTCTGTAGGTATTTTCTAACTCTAGCACTCCCCTGCCACGGACAACGAAAAACCGAAGTTCGGTGACATTATTTAAAAACAGCAGAGATTTCTTCATGCTAGGTGCCCATTTCAATAGCAATCCATGCAATTTTCCACCAGTAAGTACCAGATCATCCAAATTTTCTTTAAGCTCTCGTACAATATCTGATGACTTGACAAGTTTTTTATTGTATCTAAGAGGAAATCGAAAGAGGGTACCACCTACCATTTCTTCTGGCTTCTTTTTAACTTTTTCCAATAGATATGCAGATTTGAGGCCATCAAAACTGTCCCAAAACTTTTTATCAAGGTTTCCATACATTGCACCAGGATGTCTATCAGTTGCTTGTGGGACATATTTCATATGAGGATCCAGGATACAGAGCGTATTTCCACCGGTCAGAAAACTTGGGCAGTCAGTGAGATGGTAAACTGCATTGAAGCCTATTCCATACTGACCAATGGTCTCTGAATCAGACCGCTTGCTTCCAAGACCCAGGCATTGTATACCTTTGAGGTCTTCTTCAGAAAAGACACTGTCATTCCATACTAGTAGGGCTGGACCCTGAAGATCTCCCCATTTCTCTGATAGAACGTGCTCCTTTCTATGCTCTCTCATATCCAGTATCACATACATTTTTGAGGCTTTAGCGTCATCAGCATTTTGAAGCAACTCTTTGAGAATGGTCATATCAAAAGGGTAGTCGCGTATTATATTCTGGATTCTTCTTGTCAGTTCTTCATGCTGACCAAATTGGGCAACAGAAAAGCTACTTCCAAGAACAGCGTAGCGTGCCAGACTGGCGGCCCTACACAATTGCACTCCAAGAGCCTTAGCAAGTACCAGTGGAACTCTCTCATGTACATACACATAGTCCTTATCTTGTGCTTTCCATGGCATGTCATTGTAATACAGCTCACTTGCTTCACGCATTATGAAATCGGTATCTGGCAAAACGATTGGCCTAAAATCAAATGTGATATTTTCAGAGGGCATTTCACCCAGTATAGATTGCACTAATTTTTGGCAGTTCTCCGGAATCGGCTCTTCACCGAAATCCCTTTTCAAACATTGAAGAGCACTAACCAAGTCTTCCGTACTAAATTTTCCCTTGATTTGAAGAGCTTCTTGGAGTTTCCTTCGTGTGTCCATACAGGTTGGAATCTTGAATAAATACGGTCCATCGTGCTTCCAATCTCGAGCCACGGCGCTGCGTTTGATGAACTCTCTCTCTGTCCAAATACATGGTTTTTCCATGAGCTCGGATAAATCAATTTCTCCCGGGCTGTCTCTCAGCGTTGTCTCGAAAAATGCATAGGTCTTTCTACATATGCGGTCTGCCCGTATGTTACCATTTCTTCAGATTGATCAAAATTTTCAATCAGGTGATAGAAGTGTAGTGTTACTTCTGCGAAAGTTGGTGAGGACCTTACCTGAAGAATGTCCTTCACTCTGTCATTTACAAAGCCACATCCACCTTCACTGGGGTTACTTTGGTTAAGAAACGCAGCTTGGGAACCTGCAAGGTACACATTTGTTAAGTCTTTCTGTATATACACAGATGATCCTTTAGTCACAATGTCTTTTCCACGGTAAAGGGTATCAGACATCCCTTTCCACTGAAGTGGATAATCTTCAGGCTTTTCAAGAACTGGTAAGAAAGGGATATCTGATATGGCTAAACAATCTTCAGGAAAAAAGATTCATTTTTGCCTTCCCTCAGGAGACAGTCAAGGATAAGATGCACTCTTTCCATAGCCTTACACGTGTCAGTGTGATATATCTCGGCAATTCCTGCAGCGCGCTCCTCTAAATGCTCAAGTGGAATGTGGTCATGGAGCACTCCGAGTTCTTTCATTGCCTTATCAACCAGTTTCTTGCTACAAAAGCTTTGCAACGGAATGACATTTTCATCAAGTTCAAAAAGCTTTGCAAAAGCAGCATGTGGATGGATTAATTCAGTGGGCAGTTTCAAAGGTTCACCATCAGGTTCGCATGGAATGCATGCATTGCTCTGTAAGCATTCCTGAAGGTAGACAAATCTCTCATTTTTCCGATCCAGTACTGTAGCATAGCATTCTAAAGCAAGACACAATACTTCATTTCTGCTTTCCTGTATAGCATCAAGTTCGTTGATACTCTGAAAAAGTGGTCGAGGAATGTCCTTTCTGATTCTGTAGCATCCTAAAATGTCGAGATAATTGTGGTAATTCGGTGGAAGGTTTACTATAGGCAGTCTCAGGTGATTCACAACATCCAGCACAGAGCTAGGTATGTCTGTGGTGCTGTGCGAAACTCGCAGAATATTTGGATCAAGAAATCTACTCTCATCCAGCGTTAGCCAGCACTGAGTCGAAGCTGAGAAAAATAGCTCCCGTCCCTCGATACTTCTATATATTGCTTTTACACTGCAACGCCAAGGGTTTTTCAATTCAAGCTCTTTCTCTACAGGCCACATTGAAAAGAACTTGTACTCTTCTAGTTTTGAATCTGAGTTCAGCTCTTTGAGTGCCTCTAGCAGTCCACAGTAAGCGGAGGAAATCACACCTTCCATTAGAGATACATTCCATCAACCTCCTCACTTGCAGCATTATCACTTTCGTCAGAAGTCCAGATTCCTCTTCTGTTGTTTATGACGGCAAAATTGGAACTGACGTGAACCGGAAGGCCTGTCTTCATTGACAGGGATCAAAGCACATTGTCCCGCTTATAATCTTTTGCGCTCTATAGCAGTTCCTTCATTACTAAGGGGAGAGAGAAAGCATGCAACTGACGCAGTGGAATATTTCTGGAGTACACTTTGGCTACTTGTTTCCACTAGCCAGTATTCAGTTGTGTCGGCTGAGCCGTTGACTGAGCAAGTGATTGAGTGTATACATCTGCCTTCAGCCAAAGTTTCTGTATTCTTTGTGATTCTCATCAATTCTCTTGGCTGCTTCTGCCCATGGTTTACTTGAGAAAATGTGATGGAGTCTATATTCTGAAGAAACAGCAAAAGCTTCGAATTCGACTTCTGCATCTGTTCCATGAGCTGTTTTATGTCATGATCCGTGTAAATTTTCTCACTCAATTCACTTACTGTCGTTCGGAAAGGGAAGCGAAATGTTGTTCCTTCGTACTGGACTGCAGGATCGAAGTCAAATAGTCCAACATATGGTTCCAGTTGTTTAGATCGACTGATGAATCGTGATGTAAAGCAGAGTTTCTTTCCTGGTCTCGCTGGATTCTTAATTTCATTCTTGAGGTATTTCAGCGTCGGATCAAATATGTACAAAAGGTCGCTGCTGACAAATGAAGGGACGTCAGTGATGTGGTACACAGAGCAGAAGCCTATGCCAAACTTTCCAATTTTCAAGGATTGGGCCTCCTTTGTAGCTCCTGCTAGTTTGGTGATGTTCACAAAGTCTTCTTCTGTGAACATGGCATTGTTGTTGACGACTAAAGCAGGTCCATGACACTCAACCATTCCAGGGAAGAACAGGCCCCTGCGCCTGTCCGTGTGGCACCGTTTGTCATAGCAGATATTCATTTCCGTAGCTCCGGCATCATCAGCGTTTTGAAGGAGCTCTTTGATGATTGTGAGACCGTCCTTGTAGTCTTTCAGAATATTTCTGAGTCGGACTGTAAGCGGCTCACTTTGACCAACATCTTCAAAGGCATCTTCTGAAATATTGAGATGTTGGCTCAGTGGGGTCAGTTGCAACTGATACGCCATCTGAGGATTGACTCGACCATGAACAAAAGTAAAATCAACCTCGTTATCCTCGGAGTTATTTAAGTAGTCTTGCAGGAAGTTATTGTCGGCGTATACCACACCTTCTCCTGCAACAAGCTGAGGCCATGTTTCATCGGATTGTACCGGGACTAACAGATCTTCTAAGTCAATATCGAATATTTCACCTTCCTCGCTCTCCGTTAGCCAGTGTAGTATGGCCATAACCAACTGCCAGGCTTGTTCACTACTGATACCCAGACTATGGGAGTCTCCTTCTTTGATTGCTGGGAGGATTCCTAGGATCTGTTCTCTAGTGACCATCTCCTGGACACCAAGATCCTTGAATAGGCACTCAAACTGGGCCAGATCATCTGGAAGGATGTAGACAAATGGCTCCAGATTGTGCCTGAATTCAGGGTTTTGAGCAAGTGCAACGTTCTGTGGGTGAACAAATTTCCTCTGTCGAGTCAGCCACACACAATGTTGAGTCTCCTTCAGTTGTGAGAGGTCTGCGGCGTGACCTTCACTGCTGTAATTGGTCAGCCACACGTAGATAGTGTGCATGACACTTCTGATTTCTTCAGTTTTGCCAAATTGCTCGCAGCTCAAAATAACCGTCTCCAAATGAGCCATTATGTGCCTTACCATGTCTTCAGGTGCTGGCTCAAAAGCTTTGCATATGGCATTCGGGAGAGAGTGCTCGACAAGGTACATCTGTGAGCCACAGGCAAGGGCAAGGGACGTCTGCTCTTTGTGCAAAAGGACTGAAGACCCAAAGGAGACGAAATGGGAATCACACCCACTACCTTTCCAGGTCAGGCACGACGGGTAATTTCTTGGAGGAGACAACTGAACTGGCAACCAGCACTTGGTGACTGACAGCTCTCTCAGTGCTTGTGAGAACTGTAAGCTTCGCTGGTGGTGATGCAGCGAGTGCGCTACAATGTACACATTCTCATTCAGCTGATGCTCCCACCGCTTTATGTACGTCAGAACCGCTTTTGCTCGGGTACGCCTCGCCTCATCAGCTCTCACAGGATCATTACTACCGGGATATCCGATACTGCTGATGATGTCAACAATTTCTTGTTTGGACACAAAGGTCTTAAGTCCGCACAATTTAAGAATCTTGACGTATTTATCCCTGCAAATGGGTTCAATGGAAATACTGACTCTTGGAAAAAGAGGTTTGAAAGCTCGGGGTCTAAGGGAGTGTATAGGACATTGGGCCTCTTTGGTTTTCCACTAGACACCGGGACAAATGGAAGTGTACCTATTGCCTTTTGCAAGGCCTCTACACTATGATGACCAATGCTCGACGTGATCACATTGTATTTTTCTAACACTTCCATCATTATCTTGTTTGCTGCATTTCTTCCTAGTGCCCCTCCCTCAATTTTAGGGAAAATGAGTCTAGTGAGGACGTCAACTGTTGTTGTGCAATGCACAGAGAGGTTTTGCAATAGTGGCTTTTGGTAGAAGCCAGACCCTGAGAAAAGCACAACACTTTTGGGGAGATTTTCCGTGCTCAGCGGGAAACTTGGAGGCTCGATCTGAGCCCCTCTTCCAGTGGACCTTTCTACTTGTGCCACTGAAGAAAGCTTGTTTTGTAGTGTTGTGAACATTGGTATCTCCTTTAGTATAGCTTGCTGTTGGTAGTTTAGGCCTCTGGTGTTATGCACTTGCATGATAAGCTCGGCAGCCTCATCCCTGGTGAATGAGATGCTGTGGTATGAAGGTGATGCAGCCTGTATTGCACCTACAATTCCTTCCGGAGAAAAGATATTCATCACAGAGTGAATGTTTCTATGGTGTACAAATGGATGCCTTTTCTGTAGGCAACACTCTACACCCAATTTCTGCAGAGCACTGATAAGACTGCCATAGTTCTGAGTACTGCTTGGAATGAACAAAACCGCTGATGCCTTACTGAGCCTCATTACTACAGTGGACTCACCTACTGGCACTAGCGGCAGGTTTTGAAACAGATGCAAGCTTTCCCAGGTATCCAATACCACAGTCGCTCCAACCACTGCATATCAAACTTTGAGTAAGGCAGACAAATCTTGTTCTGGTTTGGCAGAACTCTTGCAAGTAAACTGGCCACACTGTGTACAGTGAGGACATGAAGGTTACTATTGTACACTCCACTGGCTATGGCATTCAACTTTGCATAAATGTGGGGGTCAATACTATCATCCACTAATTCTCCTTCGAGAGATGGGAGAAGGTGCCTTGGGCACTGTGCTGTGCATAGGTAGACTGCACTGTTACGGTATGTCCCGAAAAGGTACAACGTAAAGGTTCCATTAGCAAGTGGCAACAGTGCTAGGTTTTGCATGTCTCCGTATTGGTTGTCTGAGAGACAGTATCGAAGCAACTCTAGTTTCTGCTGCCTCGATAACCCAGTGTAACTACTTGGTGTCTTTCGCAACTCAGCTCTAGCCAGAGAAGGTGAAACGGTCACATATGCAACGTTGGAGAACATCAAAGCATTCCAAATTCTATCTTTTATGGCTACCAGCTTCACTCCACAGGCTACAAGGGCAGTTTTTACTGCTTCTTGTAGCGTTACTCCTCTGGGAACAAAGACTGCTGAACTGACCTTAATCCACGTAGGGAATCCCCCTGGTTTTGAGAAAGGAATGACCTCACTGGAAAAGAGGGTTTTCAGGAGAGGTTTGAGTATTTCTTGCCAGGGTGTTCCAGTCACCTTACTGGTATCAGGCCAGGCTTGGCAGAACTGATCAGGCTCTAAAAGAATCTTAGCGTGGGCTAGAAGCAGCATGGCATAGCAGGGAGGCAGGAGCTCTCTGACTAGCAAATGGTTCCACTGAGCTGATGGATCGTTTCGTCGCTCAATAGTTTGCCATTTTAGCTCTCGCCGTTCGTCATTGAGGCTAAATGTACCATTGACATGTACCGGTAAGTTACATGTTACCTCAAGAGGCATTGGCAGAACACAATACACACGCCCGCCACTGCTACTGGCACTTGTTTCTAGTGCCACCCCAACCCAAGGGAACGCTTTCAATTCTTTCGCTAGTCTTCTTACTTCGTCCGACTGGGATCCCACTTGGGTTGCTACCAGCCACTTGCTCGAACCTGATTTTCGTGTTTGATAATCGTTAACATCGACCTGAACATGTACCACTTCACTCAACATATCCCTGAAGCCGTACGATTGCGCTTCGAAACGCCTCTTGAGGTTAGCTTGAAATCTTGAATGAGTTTGACTCAGTTGATTGAGTGGCGAAACTTCAGATATGCCAATATCCAAGATGCTTGAATGCTTACCAGTACTCCCAATTTCAAAACTTTCACACTGCGAACTGATCGAAGAAAGAGCAAAATGCACTGGGCTTCTCCCCGAAGAGCGCTGAGCAGGTTTCGAAGCTTATTTATGTCATATGTATGAGATGACACCCGCCTTGATCGACTTACATTGCGCAATGGAAACCGGAACAGAGTACCATTGTAGCTACGGTTTCGAACTGAAAAACCGCACAGCCCTTCAAAAGGCACAAATGTGTCTGAACAGCGTGCATTCTTGTAGATTTCATACCACCGTCCTCCAGTCTGTCGAGGCCAGATCTCCTCATGTGGATCAAGGTAGGCCAGTCTGTTCCCACTGACAATGGTGGGCAGGTCTGTAATGAATGTATATATACATGAATGTTGAATGGAGAACACACATTCATTACACATTCATTTCTTAGGGGGATGTAGTATATACACTATAACTGTAAAGGTGAAATGTCATGATTTCTCAGCAAACTTGTGAACCTAGGGTTACAGTAGCCAGCTACTGAGTTTGTAAAACGTTTTCCAGTAACAGTGACGTCAAGACTTTTTGTCCCTTTAAGCAGAAGACGCTTACAGTATAATACCTATCATTCTACACAGCCCAACACACCTGCGGTCGGTCCAACATAAAGAGTTACTGAGACACGGTGTCTAATGTAAGCTTCCGTTGAAAATTGGTTCGGAACACGTTGTGATTGTGACGACAGCACGGCGGTGACCGCGGGACCTGCCAGCGGCAATCATACTCGGAAGGTGCTGGCACATTGCTTGGCAACAGTGCCCTTAGCCAATTAGCCGGCATAAAGGAGTCGAATTACATGTTGCTCTTTCCACAATCCTCCATACTTCACCAAAACCCTCAACCACAGTGTGCACAGTATGTGCGCAGTTTTTCCATATTATGTATCCGACGACATACTTCAGCCTGTGTTGCACATATCGATGGCACTGAATTTAAGGCATATAATAGCTAGGCGTTCTCGCCGAGTTTTAAGGTATTTTGACATCTCCCCAAGTGTGCATGTTTGAAAAATGCACATTGAATTATGTGATTGATGTGGTCCCTTCTTTTTATCCATGCAACAATTACATGCTCTGACTTTACATGTAATATTAATATATTTTGTAATTATTATCACAGTTTTGTCACTACAAGTTTGTAAACAACAACAAACAGCCTCAGGCAATTAAGTGCTGTTTTTCCTATAACTTTGTACACTTGTATACTTTGGAAGTGAAATAAAAATGTAGATGACGACTAAGAATCCGAGGCAATAAATACATGTTACTTTTTATATGGACATTATGCCCCAATGCATGTGCATGCCGTAAAAAAAAGGAAAGGAGACAAGTAAATAAAAAATTCTGCGAATTAAAAAAGTGTGGAATATAGGGATGCCATAAAAAACACACCTGTTATAGATTGACTGGTCATTAATGCATTGTGACGTCACTTACATTTTCTATTTCCTATTACATTTTTATATCACTATAAAAGTAGCTTTACGTATGCATCCTGTGTGCTTTTGCCATTCTCTATCGATGTTTGCGAACCTAAGTTACGACATATTTTTGGCGACGAGGACGGGATGGCAAGCACCGGTACACTCGGTCGCGTCGACGAATACGATGGTACCAAGGAAGACTGGCCCCAATATGTGGAACGATTGGAGCATTTTTTCTGTTTCATTCGCGTGTACGAAAAGCGGTTGAATCTATAGCCAACTACGTCGCCAAGCTACGTTCTCTCTCCGAATATTGCAACTTTGGTGCTGTTTTGAATGACATGATTCGTGACCGGCTAGTTTGCGGGGTGAATGACGCTGCAATACAGAAACCTCTCCTAGCGGAACCGGCTCTCACGTACAACAAAGCAGTGGAGCTGTTACAGACCACAAGCCATTGCTAGGTTTACTTCAGGCAGACCGTGCTACATCGCAACAGGCATCATCTCGCATCAAGAGGTGGTTGCTATTCCTCTCGAACTACAAATATCGGCTGGTGTTCCGAAACACCAAGGAGCATGCAAATGCGGATGCCTTGAGCCGTCTGCCACTGCCTGACCAACCACCTAAGACGCAGCAAGAGCCTGAGCTAGTTTTACTAGCAGCTCATCTGTCCGAGTCCCCAGTTACTGCTGACAATATCCGCGTGTGGACTCGGAGAGACAAGACGATGGTGAGAGTCTTCCAGTACATCCAGCAAGGATGGCCGACTGAGAGTGACCCTGAACTAGAACCCTACTTTTCCCAGCCGCCTTGAGCTCTCTAGTTACGAGGGGTGTGTGCTATGGGGGGCACGTGTTGTAATTCCACCCCAGGGAAGAGAGGCTGTGCTTCAAGAATTGCACGAGGGCCATCCAGGCATCTCTCGTATGAAGGCACTCGCCAGGATGTATGTGTGGTGGCCCGGTATCACGGCAGATATCGAAAAGTCTGTCAGGCTCTGTCGGGAGTGTCAGTCATCACCACCTCCCGCTCCTCTACACCCCTGGAGGTGGCCTACTAGGCCTTGGGCTCGGTTGCACCTTGACTTTGCTGGTCCCTTTCAGGGAAACAACATACTCGTTGCAATTGACGCCCACTCCAAGTGGATAGAGGTTGTGTGTACTCCGTCCATGTCATCAAGCTGTGTCATTGACGTGTTGCGGACACTGTTTGCCAGATTTGGGTTGCCGGAGATGATTGTTTCTGACAATGGAACCTGCTTTGTTAGTAGTGAGTTCAAGCAGTTCCTTCGCAAGAATGGGGTCAGACATACTACGTCAGCCCCCTATCACCCGGCTTCTAATGGCTTAGCAGAACGTGCCGTTCAGATCATCAAGAGAGGTTTGAAGAAAGTTACTGAAGGCACAATGCACACCCGGCTGGCTAGAGTGTTGTTCACTTACCGAATGACTCCGCAGAGTACCACAGGCCAAGCTCCAGCAGAGCTGCTGTTGGGAAGACGTCCACGCACATGTCTGGACCTACTCAGACCAAATACCTCTGACCGAGTCGAGCGCAAACAACAGCAACAGAAGTTCAGACACGACGGTTGTGGACAGACTCGAACTTTTCGCATTGGTGATACCGTTTTTGTGAGAAATTATGGTGCTGGATCTGTGTGGCTACCGGCCAAGATTGTTGAGAGTACTGGTCCAGTCTCTTTTCGTGTTGTTCTGGAAGATGGCCGTAACAGATGCTGCCATCAGGATCAGTTGCGATCCCGGTCGTCGACGATGGTCCTTCAGAGATGTCTGAGGTGTCAGTGGATGCCGAGGGAGAAGCTCCGCGTATAACTACTACTCCAATTACTCCCACTACTGGCTCCACTGAGGATACCTCTCATCCAGAACAAGGACCAGAACAGCCTGTGTCCTCAGAGTCAGCACCAACGAACAGTCGAAGTCGAACGCCTCCGATCGATATGAATACCCGTCGATATCCTCTTTGTCAACGCAAGACTCGAGATTGGTTCGAACCTGGAAAGAACTAATTATTATGTGACTGTGTGAGTACTCATGTATGTGTGTATTGTAGTGCATGCATGTTGTTTTGTTTGTGTATATTAGAAGTACCCTCTTTAGGGGGGAGGAATGTTATAGATTGACTGGTCATTAATGATTTTGTGACGTCACTTCCATTTTCTATTTCCTATATCACTATAAAAGTAGCTTTACGTATGCATCCTGTGTGCTTTTGCCATTCTCTATCGATGTTTGCAAACCTAAGTTACAACAACACCTGTTATGTGATAGACTGAGTTGAAACCGATCCCGAACTTTCCAACTTTGAAAGGGTCTTCCGCTTTTACACTCTGCTGCATGTCCTGAATACTCTGCCAGTCTTTTTCCTGGAACATGGCGTCATTGTAGGAGAGTAGAGACGGTCCCTGAAACTGGCCAAGACTGGAGTAGATCAGTGACTGTGATCCATGCTGACGGCTGTCCAGGTAGAAGTGCACAGTGCTTGCTCCAGCATCGTCAGCATTCTGAATTATTTCCTGTAGAGAGTGAGTGGAAAGGGTGGGATTAGCGGGTTAGGGTTGACTCTCCTGTACAGAGTAATGAGTGTAAAGGGTGGGATCTCCTAAATGTGTGTGAAAAGGTGGGGATTGAGGTGACTGCGCATTTCTGCCTCTCCCTTTTCTCCAGTTACACAGTTATAGCTCTAGCTACCCAGTGTGACCTATTCTGCACACCCCTAATAGCTATTCCTAACATAGTTATAATGGCGGGGGGTCGATGCATAGTGCCGCAAACCTTGAATATTTGGCCGTCCGGATACTTGTCCAGAATCTTCTGGATGGTAACGTAGAGTGGCGGCTGTCGCTGGCCGAAGGTATGTCCGTCGATAGGACCACCACCCGGGTCCATCGTGCGCTGACTTCACACAGAACACGCTGCCGCGTCTTGACCTGCCAGATTCCGCAGCTGCACGCGCGAATTTTATACGGAGCGCCACACAACCCGCGCGCTTTATATACAATAATTAGAAGGGCCAGAACCGTAGTGAAGTAACCCTCAAATATGCATTTTTGAGTTGCAGCCACCAGATATATACTATACGCCTATGCATTTCCTGCGGAAGTCATATTCATCTCTATACATATCTATTACTCTGTACTAAGCTACCCTACTGTAGACTCCAGCTTCCTTGGCTCTTTACGATGTGGCAAAGCGAAGTAACCCGCGTAACTGACGTCACTTTCAATCACGTGCGGACGCGGGTGGAGCTGAAAAAAATGGAGGACGATTCTGACTCGAGTTTTGCAGCCAGTTGTAGCACCCTCCACGAGCGTTTCTTCATTCAGTGTTACTGATACACGACTCTCAGACATCTCAGCGGCAGATGGGTCTGCCGCTACGTCGTCCTCTGCCACGGTGGCTGCCGCAGTGTCGATCGCGCCGACATCGTCTACGTCGCAGAGTTTCGATTCGTCTACGCCTAGTAGAAAGCGTAAAAGAAGTGTGGACAGCTGGGAAACGAGCAAGCGAAAGCTTCTACGGAACTCTGGCAAGGAATATGTAACTGCTTCCAAGAAGAACGTGAGTTTTTGCATGCGTAGTGAGCAAGGAAATAACACTAACCCTGGTTTTATGTACTATAATAGGTTCAGGCCAGAAAATGCGATCACCAACCCTGTGGTTGTCCTCTAAAGTGCTATGACAAAGTCTCACATTCACAGAGAGAGGCACTCTTCACTGGTTTTTGGTCCAGTGGCGACTTTAACACCCAGAATGCCTACTTATGTGGATGCATCAAAGTCATCGCGATAAAAAGGAGGTACACCACTGCAGCTGCTGCTTCACGTCGCACACAGAGCCGTGTCTATTACGTACAGTGTGGCTCAGGGATGTCGGTTCGAGTGTGCAGGAAAGCGTTTCTACATATTCATGCTGTTTCTGGTGGGCGTATTGACCGTGCACTTAAGTCATTTGTTGAAGCGGGTGGTTCACCGCAGATGGACAAACGGGGCCGGCATGAACCTGGCAACAAGACACCAGAAGAAACAATCTCGTATGTGAAGCAACACATTGCTAGTTTTCCTCAGTATGAATCGCACTATTCTCGAACTGACAACCCCAATCGAAAGTACCTAAGCCCTGATTTAACAGTTTCAAAGATGCACAGCATGTACAAAGAAGAATGTTCCAATGATGGGAAGGAACCAGTCAGTGACTGGCTCTATCGCAAAGTATTCAATGAAAACTTCAATCTTGGCTTCGGAAGGTAATAATCTCTAATCTTTCACACTCCTTTTGCTCATTTGCACACTCCCACTTTCACTTTCCTTTTATTATCTGGGCTGTTTTATTACAGGCCTAGAACAGACACATGCAAGGTGTGCGACGAGATGAAGGTGAAAGTGGATGCCGAGACTAACACTGTGACGAAGCAGCAGCTCAATGGAGAATGGGAATTACACAAAAGAAAAGCAGAAAGGGCTTACCAACAGCTTAAAGAGGACACGGCTCTTTCCAAGTCCACCAGCGATGTCGATGCAATTACGTTCGATCTACAACAAAGCCTTCCTACTCCTGTTCTGACTACGAACGTCGTGTTCTACAAACGGCAACTTTGGACCTACAATCTCGGCATCCACGACTGCAAAACATCAAAAGCCTACATGCACATGTGGCACGAAGGTACAGCATCCAGGGGATCGCAGGAAGTAGCGTCATGTGTTCGTCGTCATTTGAAATCAAATGAGTCTACAGCGAAACATCTTATTGCATTTAGTGATGCTTGCGGGGGGCAGAATCGAAACATCAACATGGTTTGTATGTGGTTGCACATCGTTGCCAGTGATGATTTCCCATACACAGTGATTGACCATAAGTTTATGGTTTCAGGGCATTCGTACTTGCCCAATGACAGAGATTTCGGTGGTGTGGAATCAGCTCGCAGACGTCAGTCACAGATCTTTATACCAGAACACTGGTATAGGCTTGTCGAAAAGGCCAGACGTACAAACCCATTCACTGTTGTACGTATGTCAGCTAGTGATTTTGTGTCAGTGAATCGCTTGACTGAGAACATCACCAACCGAAAAACTGATGCCGATGGAAACAAGGCCGAATGGCTAAAAATGCGATGGGTACGTGTGGAGAAAGACAAACCCTACAAGTTCTCCTACAGGTACGTTGAGTAGTGATTTTGTGATGTAATGCATAAACTGAATGAATTTTATTTACAGGTACACTCATAACACTCTGGAGAACTGGAAGGTGGTTGACATAAAGAAACGGAAGGCTGGTCGTCCCCTGGACCTTGGAACTCTCACTCTGGAGGACCTATACAGTGGCCCACGTGCAATCAACAAGAAAAAAGCTGAGGACTTAAAACAGCTTTTGTGTTTCATTCCACCCATTCATCACTCATTTTACTCTTCTCTGTTGACCACTGAGGCTGAACAAGATGATTAGTGGGTACTATATCAGCTGATGTTGTACTTGCCACTTATATCTCTATTCTTTTCACTTTCATCATGCATTATCTATGAAATGAAATCTATAAGCATGTCTCTCTTTCATTCAAACAACTTTTAGTACCCTTTGAGGTATACACACAAACTCTCATCTGCATATCAGCTTCAGTGAATTTTTAACAGACTCTAGACTTTGAGGTTAACGGGGTTACTTCACTATGGTTCTGAGCCCTTCGTATGTAGCTTTAATTATTATTACATGTACCTCTTTTAGACTTTGATGTGCACTCATTCATGAACACTCGCTCTGAAGTGAATTATGCACGGAGAAAACTAGAGCTACCTAGACCCATTGTATATACTGTGCACCATATTGTGCAAGGGTCAAGTAATGGGGTTTGTCTGCCGATTAATTGACCCTAGGGTTAGGCCTTGTAGCCTACCCCATGCTGAGTTACCTGTACCCTGGCCATGAAATACTAAGAGCAGGGCAAGTGGTCTGCAGCCAGGCACATGAAATGGTGATATAAGTTCCATTAAGGTTATGGTATACTCACGCTATTTCACGCGCCTAGTCTACTTCCGTTTTTATTTATGCGTGAAACATTTTTTCACGTATGCGCATGCCATACTACCACGCTTTGAAACGCGAACTCGTGACGTAAAATGACCTCATGACCGAAAATGCGCCTGGTCAGAATAATGTAGTACCACTTCTTGCCAATAATAGATCCACTGAACCAAGTTTTGCCGGGTAAAAGCAGTCCCTGATGGCAATTAAAGCATGCTACAGAAGTTTTTTTTTCGTACTAGGCCGATTTCAATAGTTATGTTGCCGTGAATTTCGAAGTGCCTCATGAAAATAGCATGTTTTTTTTAAAAAATGCTCTGCTTCTGGTTTTTGTTGCGCATGTAGAAAGATCTGAGTCGTTGGTGCAACATGTATCTAGGCACGCTCACGTGGGGTATATACCTGTAACCTTAAACGGTGCTATGCCTAGTTACCCTTTACTTATAGAGTTTGTAGTGAGTTTGACTTGTGTGTGTCTTCTCTGCTGCAGAAATGTCGGTACCAGGACTTGGTGAAGATGACGGTGGTTTCTTGTCCGACTGTGGTGGACATCACTATCGTTAGACCTGACCTCAAGTTCCAGCTGGGCTTCACCATCCAGGACGGAGTGGTAAATATGTTAACCATGCACGCACATAACAGTGTGACTTGTCTTGTGTATCAGTCATCAATGTGTGACTTTGTACAAATGCTGCCTCATGTTTAAGCCGCATTACTTCTGCAAAACCCGGCAATCAGGTTAAATGTTGGATTAATCCTACGCAAAGCTATGTGTAAGGGTGGGATTTGCTATAAGTACCCTGTAGTAAAAAAACAAAGGGGTTGCTAATTGATAACAAATTACCACATTTCAGGTCAGATCTCTCACTCGTGGATCCATAGCTGAGCGAAGTGGAGTTAGAGTGGGTCATTACATCATCGAGATCAACGGGACCAGTACAGTGGGTCTGTCCCACAAAGACCTTGTCCACCTTCTCACCACCACCGTAGGAGATGTGAGTCCTGATCCCCTCCCTGCGTACTACACCATGCATCCTGGTGTACTGTACTTAGTGTTCATGTTGTGTGCAAACAAAATGATAATAGCTACGTATGTATGTCATACACAGCTACAGCTATAATGTGCTTGCATGCTGTAAAGTTGGTTTATGTACATACATATGTACATGCATGATGCATATGCAGAACAGATATTTGGCTAACAATTTTTGGCTGAACAAAAGTAATAGTACTACAGTTGTAGCATGTATATTTGCAAATGCCATAATTTTAGCTTTTTTTATACCGGCTTATTAGCTGTATCATACATATAGTATATCTTGTTTCTCGTTTAACCCTAGCAAGCCACATGCATATATATTTATATATGCCCAGAGCCTCTAAGAATTTATATGGCTGTAATACTAGGCGTCAATATGTTACACATCAATTTCTGCTTATTTAAGGAGATACCCATGGCGTCCAAAGGGTTATTAAAGTGAATGTGTACTTACAAGATAGTAGGTATGTAGCAATGTGTGTACTGTACATTATCATCTCCCCTGTTCAGCTACACCTGAAGACCATGCCCCATCTCATGTACAAGCTGATAACAGGTCAGGTCATACCTCTCTATCATTAGCCACAGACACTCACTCACAGACACTTCATGAATCACAACCAGATATTCATGCACCAACCAATACTCTGTGTTCACAGTAGGGTATTGAGAACCAATCATTGTTTACAATAATTATTATTGTACAATGTGCAATCATTTTTATATTTTTCTACACTTTAGTAGTCTGGTGCGTAGCATATAATATAATTATACGATGCAGTATGCTAGAAATTCTATATATCATACTGATCGAAAGGTTAAAATAAAGAACACCACCACCTCACACACACATACAGGAACACACACAATACGCATGACTGCACAAATTACACACAGCAAAGAGAAACTGTATGAAATGCGTATTATTCAGCATAACATGTGTAAGCGGATGAAAATGTCTACTAGAGATATGTATGATATATAACACTGCTATGAATGTACAATATTGGCCCGGTAGTTATTAATATGAGCAACATGCTGATGATGTAAGTGGTCTAATGATTCTGGTCCATACGAGAAATACCACCAGAGCCATTAGATAGAGTGAGGGAACAAGGACCGCAATTCCAATTAGGACCCCACTCACACTGAGTATGCTGTTGTACCCTGGTCCAGAGTGTTTCACCAGTGGGTTGATGGCTATATTAATCATTATATTGAGGGTGATCCCCATGTAGGTAGCTAGCAGGGCTGCCATCACCAAGACTGTGATGTAGTTGTCCACTTGTAGGTGTTGGTGGGTGTAGCAGATATAATAATTATAGCGATGCCAGTATACTAGAAATTCTATGTGTCATACTGATCGAAAGGTTAAAAGAAAGTATAAAGAACACCACCACCTCACACACACATACAGGAACACACACAATATGCGTGACTGCACAAATTACACACAGCAAAGAGAAACTGTATGAAATGAGTATTATTCAGCATAACATGTAAGGGATGAAAAGCACTAGATGATGATGTATAACACTGCTATGAATGTACAATATTGGCCCAGTAGTTATTAATGCGAGCAATATGCTGACGATGTAATTGGTCTAATGATTCTGGTCCATACGAGAAATACCACCAGAGCCATTAGATAGAGTGAGGGAACAAGCACCCCGATTCCAATTAGGACCCCACTCACACTGAGTATGCTGTTGTACCCTGGTCCAGAGTGTTTCACCAGTGGGTTGATGGCTATATTAATCATTATATTGAGGGTGATCCCCATGTAGGTAGCTAGCAGGGCTGCCATCACCAAGACTGTGATGTAGTTGTCACTTGTGTGTCGGTACGGCTGGAGGCTGGCAACAGTGCAGATGTATATCAGGATACATATGCTGGCAGTGGGATAGTAGTAGTTAGTGCGAGCTAGCCCAAACACACCACAGACGATGAATTCCAGGAGCAGGAGAAGTCCTGAAAACGAGCGATAATCTCTGGTATTGTTTGTCCCGTTTTTAAAGCTGCCTTGAAACACCTCTATGAAGGTTCGTAGAGAGTTTGAGTTTAGTTTCAATTTGTTCAGTAGCTGCTGGAAGCATCTCAAGGGGTAGACAAACAAGAGGACCATTGGCAGGAGGTTGAGCAGCACCACAACTAGAACTGCAGTCCCGGCAAATGGGAGGTACTCCCAGGAAAAGTATGCGACGGCTGGTGCATTGAGGACGTTGTACGTGTACGTCAGCTTCGGCTGTGAGGAGCTAGCGTTACTGTCAAAAGAGTAAGAGATACTTGGGATTAGAATGACAAAGGAGGTGAATAGAAGTCGGGCGGTAGAAAGGAAAATAAACGAAGCAAACACGTCGATGAGAGACTTCTTTGTGTGCCAACGTTGCCTCATCTTTCTCGAGAGTTTTGCGACTGGCCCCCAGATGCACACTGCTAGTCTGAAGCCCTTGTCATGAAAGGTGACCAGGGCATAGGTGAGCATTATGAGGAGGAGGGGGTATATTGCGATGGCGTAGTCTAGTGCCAGTGTGTGGAGGGTTGTCACTTTTGGGTGCAGGCAGAAAGGTTTGTATGCTGCTCTAAAGAAGTCAAGGTTCCACACATCTGCCACTGAAGTTAACAGTCTGAATGTGTTCTTGTCGAGTTGCAGCAGACCTGAGTCAGAGAGACTGGACAGGACTTGTAGTTGTGTTGGGCTGGCCAGGAGCTGGTACATAAGCGCAATGCTGCTCACACGAGGAGACGTTAAGCTTATGGAGAATATCACCACCACGACAAAGAAAACGGTGAGTGGGATGAAAGCTACGGTGATGTATTTCAACCAGTTGTAGCGATAGTTCTTGCACTCAACACACTTGATTTCGTAGGAATAGACGGGTGGTGCGGTGCCCTCTATACACTGTCCACAGAGCCGGCCACGTCTGTTCAGACCCTTGCAGATGTAGCTGTTGAGTTGTGAGATGTTACACGGGAGAGGGAAATCCCCGTGGATTGCATTACAGGTGTAGAGACAGGACCCAGCGACCAAGACACCGTCATCCTCTTGAGTCATGCACACACACTCCAGTAACATGGTCTGGAGTCTGTACAGGTTGGGGCCTATCCCGTGAAAGTGTGGTCCAAAAGAGCACGTGTCATTGCATTCGGTACTCACTAAGTTCCACCATGGGGGACACTTGGTTCTCGGTCCTCCTGTGGGTTGCTCTTGTAGGAGACTAGGATTCAGGCTGGGTTCAGAGCTGCAGTTCTCCTGAAAGACTGTGAGAGAGTGATCATAACTGAGTGCCACCGGGTTCAACTGTGGTGTCAGTAATAGAGACAAGGTTACAATGACCCACTTCATGCCCACACACTAAGTGTCCTGTTCTGGCACTGGGGATAGACTTTTATTTATAATCAAGGGCAAACACTTTTGGGGGAAAGAATATCAGCCACAATCTCAGGAAGTAATGAAGGAGTGAAAAACAAACATTAGCTCTCTCGCTATCTGAGACGACAGGTCATACGACAACATTCAGTTGCTTTGCCCTTTCTGGTACTCTAAGCCAGACATAATCGGTAGTTAG